CAATCGCCACTTTTGGAGGTCCAAACTTGTGGGAAATCGAGGGACTCCTGAATGTCAAAGGAGCTCATGTGCCTGCCTGTGGGTCCCTGTCCCTGCACCTTAGATTTCAAAAGGGATCCATGTGAAGCACGCTCACTAGGTCCTCCAGCAGAGAGGTTAGAATAAGGGCTACCAACTTCTTTCTGTACTCCGTTTTAGTAGGGGAACCCTCCCAACCAAAAAAGTGGTGAGAAAGGGCACCTAGCTGGGGACCCAGCTCAAGACCACTAGTTTCACTGATGGATTTTTTGGTTAGGGCAGCTTCACGGCGCACGCATCTCGCATCTGCCTGCGTGTTGAGCAGAGAGGCCATCCGATTCACCACCTGCGTGCGTGCGGAAAAAAAAGGAAGAAAAATCCATGCGGGGGGGCCAGCTTTTGTCAGTTGGCTGTGGCTCAAACAACCGGAATTCCAACATGGCTTGCCCTGGTAAGTGGAAACATGGACCAAGACCTGCGTAACCCTCCCTGTTTAATTTTGAGCCACACCCAGTTGGCTATTTTGATATCCTGTTGGGCTTCCTTCTTGTTGGTCTACAAACTTGGCCGTAGCCGGCTTCAGCCTTCTCTTTTTGGGATGGCAGATCATGAGCTCGCCGTTCAGTACGCGACCAACGACCCAATCTCGGAAAGCAGATTCGTGTCTCTGCGGCTGGAGCGGTTTGAATAGCTCTTCTCTGACAGGCTCTCTGGCTACTCTGGACAACCTCCCTCCCCGGGCAGTGAGGACACGCCGCTGCTCTCGACATCAATTGATCCCAAAGCCCTCGGGAAAACACCCAAGGGATGGTAGTCTAGCAGCGTACTAGTTGACTTTTCTCCAACAAATGCGTAGCTTTCCGGGGGGCTTTGAATGGAGCCATGATCTTCCTGTCTGCGAGAGACCCCTTCTGCTAAGGAAATATGACGCGAACCACCAAGGCAGCAAGTCGAACCGCCTATCATCTGGCAATGGTTAAAGGCAACAACAAACCAAACAGCAAACAGTTTCGGGTACGATTTCCATCAAGCAGGTCTCTTCGATGAAGATGGTTCCACGGAAAACTATATTTGTTGTAAACAATTGCTTCAGATGTCCCTGTCCCTAGGGGGGCTTAGATTTCAAGGGATCCATGTGAAGCAGGCTCAAGATTACTTGTTTTCCCCACTAGGACCTGGGAAAGTTGGGGTCGACTGGACACTTTGACCTATGTGTCAAAACAGGGATGACCCAACCTGGTAGCTTTCACAATTCGGTGTGTTCTCTTTGGAGGGGACTTTCCCCTGTTTGGCTTTCCAGGGAAACCAAGAGAAAAAAAGAGAAAAAGAACAAAAAACACAATTTTAAGCGCATTTTGGAGGGGTCCCCGTAACAAAGACACCGCCACTTTTGGCCCCCCCCCCACCCGGGCCCTGCCACCTCCGGCTGCCAGGTTCCCGGGCTCTCTCCACATAGGCTCGCGGGTTGAAGGCTTTGAGGAAGGCCAGCCACGCACCAGCCCTGCCAGTCCAAAGACGTTGGAGCGGCCTTTTCTTCCGCTGGCTTTTCCGGCCAAAGTACACACGCCCTTTGCATCTGCGAAAAGACACTAGCAACCGGTCTTGGCCAAATGGTTTGGGTTCGCAACTCTCCCCTTGCCGAGCTTCGCTGACAGCTCTGCTGTGAATTATCATCTGAGCCCAATTCAGTTGGCCACCAAATTCACTTTACTAACCCCAGAATCAGTGAGAATGTGCAGCGTTGTTCTTCTGCAAAGCTGCAAGTCTTCCAATAGCCCTAAAAACTGAGATCTACAACCCCCCAAATCGATTTCCAAGCACCCCTAATTTCACCGCAAAAGTCTAAGTGCTGTTTTTTTTGTTCTGCAGGTGCAGTGGTCAAGTCCGAGCTGCATGACTTCCTCGTGCAGGGCGGGCATCAGCCACCTCAGCTAGCGAGAATTCCGAGATGGTGATGACTTCTAGCACGGAAGACCTGCAGAACCGAGTGGTGAACATCAATCAACCCCGCCCAAAGCTCAGTTGTTCAGTGACCCTGGGCAAAAAAGGAACCCTTTTTGGGGCTTGGACCATTTTTGGTGGGCCAGCCACCAAAAAAAAAGTTGGAAACAAATTGGTGCCACTGAACCACTGAGAAAGAGTGTCACCCCAGAATCTCCCAATGGAAATTCATATCCGTGTGTGTGGCTGTGTGCCTCGAAACGAGGAAATCATTTCACCAGGCGTGGAAAATCAAGGGAGGTTCGGGCCAGCCGATCTCCTCCCCTTTCTGTTTGCCTGGCAGAAAGCACAACCTGCTGTTACTCAGAGCCGGGAACGCTAATCATCCCATTTGGTCAGGAAGCAGCATCATTCCCACACTTTTCTGGATTTTGCCATGTTGAATCCGGATGAACAAATCCGTCGTAGGTGTTCCCCTCAAGTGGTCTGAGCCAACCAGGGGGATGCCACTGTCAACTAGTGGATCCTTACTACGTTCCGTGAGAAGCAACCGGCTGGACGCGAGACGAATGATTCGGTCCCCAGCCTCCAAATGCTTTCGAAGAAGGTGAAGTAAATCCACGACCTCAGGCGAGAACCAGCTCGAAGCGAATCGGTGCAGGGGAAATGGAACGAAGCGCGAGGTTGACCATTCTTGGCGAAACAACAAAGACAAGAGGGGTCACTCATCAACTGAATGCTTTTCGCAGAGAGATACCTCCCAGCCTCCTGGAAGAACACGACCTGAAAGGGATCAAGACCTGTCTTGAGACAAGCTCAAATGAGCCATGGCCAAACTATATGCAGATGTGAGCTGACATGGGAAAATTCTGCCTCTAAGCGCCAGCTCGAAAGACAGTGTTGCTCCCAAACTTTTGGCACTTTTGGGACGCACCCCCTGCTTACTATTGGGAAGGGCTTGAGAAAGGTTCTGGCCAGGTTGGCTGAACCCATGTAGGGGGCCCACTTACTGCAATCCCCCAGTACAGTACAAACAGGTCCCTGCTGGGGGGGCATTAAACACGAACTGTCCTTCCTAAGGCTTCCTCGTTTTTCCTTGTTGTTGAGCGTTTAGAGAAACACGGGACCAAGCGCTTGCCAAACTCCTACCCTTGTGGTTTGGTCATCTGTGAAAGGTCAAACCAAAGGAACCCCTTTTTGGAAGTTGGTTCTTAAGGGGACCCCGCCCCCTCCCTCCCCAAAAGATAAACAACCCCCCCTTTCACTGAAGGTCAAAGGATTCTTACGCATCCGTCCACCGTCAGCCAAGGCTGAGGGTCGAAAAATGGTCCACTCCTCTCCGGAAATTCTCACCTTGACCCAACCAGCGGCCCTCCTAAAGGGAACCACAAATACTGTGTTGGTGGGATGAAGGTTAGACATGATGACTTTCCTGGGTTCCAAGTCAATTTGCGGAGCAACTTGAAGCATTCCGAGACTTGCCTTCACACGCGACTTCGCCGGATGGTTGGCCTTATATGGCCCCAAAGGATGGCAACTCAAAGGTCGCGGATTTGCCAACTTCTCGGGACTGAACATTTGCACTGAATTAAAGGGACCTCGTTTAAGGAACCCGTATCTGGCCTGTCACAACCTTGGCAGCGACTTCGTTGAAGACAAACCCCTGCCCGCAAATTGGGACTTCTTGCACCATTCAAGATCCAAGGCACTTTCACAGGCTCTGAGAAGGGACAGCAGCGCCCTTTGATTTGTTGGGTTACCTGCAACTCAACACTATGGCCCGCATTAAGGCAAGCGTGTTCTTGATTCCTTGCGCCAGGCCCTTCCGAAATCTACTCGTCCACTCCGACTCCTGCCTTTATGCTCACGGCCAGGACATCTCACACGGGTAGGCTTTTTGAGGTTGGACCGTTAGACCCCCACAACATGGTGTCTTTCCTTGTGGTTTCCCTCTAAAACCACAAACAGGGGTACCCTCAAAGAAAACAGACCCACATGTGTCGCTAGTTCAACTCTATGTCCCGATTCAACCCTCCAACAACTTGTGAGAGATCTGTCCGGACATCATTCAAACGAAGGCCGATAAAGCAATGTTGGGTCTGAACCAAGTGCTTTGTGTCTGCTTTTGGACAAGTCGAGTGGTTTCTGCTTCTTGGGCTCCAAGATGCAGGCTTTGTGGCGACTTCTGAATTCGAAGGATCCCTTGTTGAAAACCCCCCCCTTCCGAGTCTTCTGCACCTCAGTCCTTCCAAGAACCGTCACGGGCCAAGGGCTTGGGCCAAGGGCTTAGGCCAAGCCCCGCACTTGAACAGCGGCGGCATAGCCCACACCTGACATGGGAAAGGGAAAGGGCCCGGTCTGCGAAGTGATCTGCCCACGGCAGTCGAAACTGATTGGCCCCCTCTTGCAAAGAACTAGTAACTGGAGGCCCAAAAGCCGAGTGTCGGTGAAACCTCCAACGTGGAGAAGTCTTCTGGGCGCAACCTCCGTGGCGGCTTCCAAAATAAGAAGAACGCCTCTGGCAGGTTTGGCAGGTGCTTTCCCCGTAGCGTGTGGTGGACGTGAGGCATTTTTGTGTTTTTGCAAACACCATGGGTGTGCGTCGTTTTTTTGAGGCTACCCATCTTGGGCGTTGTTTAAAGGACTGTCAAACAGAAACAAACCACCTTTTTTTTGGATTCCCCCTATTTTGATAAGACAAGTCAAGTCCAATGTGACAAGTCCATACCCTTTGCGGTATTGTCCTTTGTAGTACCCTTTCAGTGTCCTTGCCTCCATGCCATCTCCCTTGCAAGTGGAGAAGAGACCACCCTCAAACCAGCGACGGTTTCGCGGTGCTAAGACGAAATGGACTCCGCTGTCCCCACTCGGATGATTTTGGGGTGGTTCAACTAGTTAGCATTAAAGCGACCATAAAACCAACAAGTCAAGTGGCATCTGCAAAAATAAGCATTAAAATCATTCCAACAAAAAGTTTATCTTGTTCACCTAAACCTTGGTTTCTCCAACGGGAACCCTCGCGACGAATACCACAGAAGGACTTAGGGCCGCAGCTCGGCTCGCGCCTGAATTCGCTGTTCCCAAGCTTGGTTTGATCATCCAAATTGGTTCAACAATCCTGTTCTGTGCAAGAGATGGCACAGGTTTAAAAATCGAACAGCTTCCAGATTGCTTCAGCTTCTGAAAGAAACCCTTAAGCAACCAGGGAAGAGATTCCAGATTGGTTCAGCTACAAAAACACAATAAGGAACAACCCTAGTACCCTTAACAACAAGGAAAGAGCTTGCCAGATTGAATCAGCTTGAAAAACCCCTTAAGAAACCCCTCTTGTACCGGTAGCAACAAGGAAACATCTTCCAGGTTGGTTCCGCTTGAAGAAACCCTTCTGCTCAAAGAAATGATTAACTAAGCTGGGTTGTCCTCAGATCCCCTACTCAAAGTTTAACCTTTGGTGCTTCCACTCAATCAACTCATATTCTCAAAACCTAAGGCACCGGACGGCTGAGTCTCTGAGTACATTGGTTTGGCTTAAAGAAGCCCTTCCGCTCCAAAACATCCTCAAAAAAACAAACTCACAGGCTAAGCACTTACGGAACCCAACCAACTAAAAAGCTCAAAACCTAAGACAAAGGTTGGGAACCACGGACTGAAGGGGTTTGAGTGCTACCACGCCAACACACAAAAAAGCAGCTGAACAACTCCCCGGATCCGGATGGCACGATGGCACCCCAGACTGAACCGGAAGGGCCTTGAAGACCGCCCACTGCATCCAGGAGAAGGGCGGGTAGGGCGAGAGCGCCGACCAAATGAGGCCAAGCCACGGACCCAGGCCTGTGGCCTCGATCCAAATCCCAAAGCGAGCGACAAAAAATCGGCGGCCAAAAGTTTGTTGCAGACCCCCAGTAAAAATGAACAGAGCCAAAAAACTAAAAAAACTAAAAAACATGCCAAGTACAGTGAAGCTACTGCAAGGGCACTGAGTGTGCCGGCACTCTACGGCCCTTTAAGGGGTAAGAAACAAATTGGACATGACCCTTGGTTCATTCGTTTCGACACGCTGGCCTCATGAAATTTTACCCATGGATCAAAGTCACCCGCTAAGTTGTGGGTTAAAGGGCAACCACCCCATGTTCTGACTTTGAAAAACCCCCCAGAAACAGTCAAAATAATGACCCCAGCCCTTTCAATAGTCTCTGTTCTTGCGAGGTTGCTTATTCTTAATTCAGGACTGCCGGGAGTAGTTTGCAAATGAACAGAGCGAACCCCGAAAAGAAGAGGTTCCATGTTGACTTTGGGGAGATCAAAGGAGGGGCGCTTTGGGGCAATCTAAACAAGGATGTAGGGGGCAATTGGGCTCTATAGCTCCCTTGATCGGCCCTGGCTCCTTGGCTCCCCCCATGTCCACTTCATGAACCTGAAGGATCCATGACAGGAACCTTCACGGAGTGGCAAGCCTGTCACAATCCTCGGCTTTGTGCCGGCACCAAGGCCCTTTAAGGCGAGAAGACCGGGGCATGACTCTACTGCAAGCGATGTTGCTGCATCGTGTCCTTCTTTGGTAGAGTCGGGCTGCCTATTTGAGGGGTTCGGACAAAAACCCAACATACTGCCCAAAGAATGTATATCTTATTGTTTGCTTCACTTTGAGTCACTGGTAAAAGGCAAAAAGTATCCTAAGTCTACCGCAGCATCCTTTGTGGCTTTTTTTTGGGCAGATTGAGAACTGGGCCTAAGCCAAAACAGCCGCTTCCCGGGATGATCCATGTGGGGAGCTTTCCCAAACAAGAATCCCTCATTCACACTGTGTACCGTTGCGAAATCCTTTTGCACCACTTGGAAACCATGGTTGAAACCATCTCTTAGGTGGTGCGAAATGGATTGTAATCAGTAATCCTAATCCCATCTGGCACAATTATTTTGCGGAGGAAACACAGCGAGCCTTCCACAGCAGCTGCAGCTTGATCAGGATCGCATGCACGAATGCCGGCTCATTGTAATGCGGCTTCTGGCAAAGTGGAGTCCATGGGAAAAAGAGGCACCTTTGCAATTTCGATTCGACAGGGAAAACACATCCAAACCTCCAGCGGATATCGGGGAAAGCACTGCCTTGCGTACTTGGCAAAGAGAAACAACATTGTCCTGGACAAGGAGAAGCCCTTGGTCTTTCTGGGTGTTTTCTGGCTCTCGACCCCCAAATGTTTATGCGCGCGAATTCATGGTTGAAAAGTGCAGTCCCCCCTAAAAATGGTACCACTTCCCGCCGCTTTGTGGGTCAAGGGAAACACTCCCAACCAACCCCTGTGGTTGGACAAATGGCTGCAGGAACCGAATGATTTCCGCTTTCCGCGCACCTGAGTTGAAAACAAGAAGCCAAAACAAGAACTCCCACCTCGGATGAACCGCCTTCGAACTTCTCTTCTTCCACGCTTGCCGGCCTTCCAGGGCCACCAGGACTGCAGGCGCCACCACAGCTGGTGCCCATGCTGCGTTGCGCTCCCGCGCCCGAAGGCGCTCCGCGCACCCCGCGCGAGCCGTGCGTCCGGCGAAGTCGCCGGCGCACGCCGCGCGCCCGGCCGAGGCGCTTCCGGCCGCCGTGGGGATGGCCCTGCGGGGCAAGCAGAGCCTAGGCCCCGGAAACCCAAATGACAAAAACGGGTGTCTTAAATTGGTATCTGTACAAGTTGTCAATTACAGACATCTAGTATATGAGAGATATATATTGTAAGATATACATTTGACAAATATATATATATATATATATATTATAGACTCTGGCCACGTTGCAGCCTCCCTCTATCTTCCATTTCTTGAACCACGCAAACACCAAGAAAGCATTTTCTAAAGGGAAACCAAAACGGAGGTTGATTGACAGCGGGTTTTGACATGTTTCAACAAGGGGTTGAGCCGATGCTTTTTGAGCTGGAAACTGAAAAGGCCCGAAAGGTGGGTGCAAATGACTGACGTCCCAAAAAAGTGGGCGCAAGCTTCCGACAAGGTTTGTTGACCCCAAAATGTTTATGGTTCACTGAATGTCCCCTTCACAAATTGCGTGGTGTCCATTGACATTGCCAGTTTGGGAGGTTCCAAAAAAGGAAATTGTTTGCCCCAAGATGCATTCACGACCATCTCTACCAAGCCGAGAGGATGATTTGACTCAACTGGCAATGCTTTGGTCACTTACTCTCTAAAGTATAGTGTGCAAATCCCAACCTAAAATTATGTCCACCCAAGCACCCCAAGTCCCCAGTTAACGAATACTCTCATAATATCCACATGGGCCGCGGGGAATGAAGTGCTTGAGCCCGAAAAAAGCTCCCGGGCCTACAAAGCAGAGCCACGAGCACAGCCCCAGGCTGAAAGCCTCGGGCGGCTTCAAGGCGGAAGGGGCGCGACGGTTCTTTCCGGTTGGTGTCCCTTTCAAATCAGCTAAGATTGGACCCTAAACAAACATACATACCCTAGGTCCTCCAGATTTGAGAGATTAGAATAAGGGTGCCATTTTTTCGGTAGTCTATTTTAGTACGGGAATTGTCCCAAAAAAAAGGGTAAAAGGGCACTAGTGGGGAACTTAGTACCCATATTCTTGAGGGGCACTTCGTGCCACAAGCAGCGAAATTGGGATTCTAAGCGGCGCTGTAGGCAACAACGTCCAACGAAACTCATCTCCGGAGGTAGTTCTTGGTTCCCGCAAAATAAAACAACAGGTTCCACAGAGTACCAATCCCAAAGCATTTAAGTCCGGAGAACGAGACAGAACACACACGCGCACAGAGACACACACACACACACACAAACAAACACAGACACACACACACACAAACACACACAGAGACACGCAGACTCACACATACAGACACGCAGAGATACACAGATACACAGAGACACAGAGACACACAGACACAAACACACAAACACACACACACAGACACACAGACACAAACACACACACACACACACACACACACACACACACACACACACACACACACACACACACACACACACACACACACACACACACACACACACACACACACACACACACACACACACACACACACACACACACACACACACACACACACACACACACACACACACACACACACACACACACACACACACACACACACACACACACACACACACACACACACACACACACACACACACACACACACACACACACACACACACACACACACACACACACACACACACACACACACACACAGACACAGACACAGACACAGACACAGACACACACACGACACACACACACACACACACACACACACGCACACAGACACAAACACGCACAGACACACAGACACACTGACCCACCGACACACAGGCACACAGACACACAGACACACAGACACACAGACACACAGACACACAGACACACAGACACACAGACCACAGACACACAGACCCACAGACACACAGACACACAGACACACAGACACACAGACACACAGACACACAGACACACAGACACACAGACACACAGACACACAGACACACAGACACACAGACACACAGACACACAGACACACAGACACACAGACACACAGACACACAGACACACAGACACACAGACACACAGACACACAAACACACAGACACACAGACAGACAGACACAGAGAGAGAGAGAGAGCGAGAGAGAGACACGCAGACTCACACACACACACAAACACGGATACAGAGAGAGAGAGAGAGAGAGAGAGAGAGAGAGAGAGAGAGAGAGAGACACGCAGACTCACACACACACACAAACACAGATACACACAGACAACCAAACACAGAGAAACACAGCCGTGTGTTGGCCAAATATTGGTATATCAAATTGCCGCAAATCATGAAAGCGCAAGCTCCTGGTGAGAGAGGAGAGAAGACAAATGGTGCCCAAAAGCCATTTCTCTCCTCGTGGCTGGTCATCTCTCCATCAGTCTCTCTTCCTCCTTCCATGTCCTTCTTATTCTCTCCGTGAGCGTGTCCAAGGATTAAGACATGGATTCCTTGACCTGCCGTCACTTTCCCAGGGCAAGAGCCGTCTGGTCCAGGGGTGAGGTAAGAAGCGGCGGAGGACATTGCAACTTGCACTGTTTTGGCATGAGGCTTGCAGCCCCGAGCGTTTGGCGCTTGGAAACTTTTGAGAAAACCGAAGAGGGGATAGTAGCTCACGCTTGGATCCTCAAAAAGGGGGTGGAACGGGGGGATAGTGGCTGACGACCTGACGCGCGGAAGGGGAAACCGAGCGATCGGATGAATCCTGACTTCACGCCTCAGTCCTCCAGGTCTCAGGGGACTTGAAGCTAGACTCAGCTCCGGGCCCAGGTCCGCCGCGGCATCGCGCTACGCCATGGCCAATACGCCGCAAGTTGGCCGGAAGTTGAGTCTGGCTAGACGCTTGACACTTCCATCCCTCCCGAGAAGCATTGGAAACTGACGTGAGGAGGGGTCCTGCAAGACCATTTTCGATTTTAAGAGGGCTCCATGTTGCTTGGTGGGAGGGTATCCCTAGGCTGTGAAGAAACCTGGCAACAAGTGAAAGGAACACTCAAATGAAGCGTCCTAAGCCATTTCTTTGGATGAAAAGAATGTGCGGTCGGCTGGATGATCCTCGTGAATTCCGGGGCTTCCAATGTGTGCGTGCGGGTATTGGCCCACATGGAATCTGGAACAGCCCCGTCGCCCTTTCCATCTGCTCGATTCCAAAATTCTGAACGCGACAAGTAGCAGGCGTTTGAAGGCATGCCCAGAAAACGCAGCAGCCACGGAAAAAAAAGGTGGCGGCACCCTGCTTTGGTGGTCCAGAAAACGGATTGGATGCCTTTCCTGCGCGAATTCCCCACAGTTGTTTGACCAGCCTTTCCGTTTTTCGAACGTTTTAGTACTCTTTTGCTCTCCTGCAGGGCTGGATCCATTAAAACCGCATCCATACCGTTTCGACTTTAAAGGGAAGCCCCCTAGAGGGAATCTTTGGGCTGGAGCTCTGGGATGCAAGCATTCAGATGGCCAATTGCACTTGCGGGCAGGCTTTGTGAGCACTACGCAGATTCCACATTTTCAGCAAGCACCGCGTTTTTGCCTCAGTTGTTCAGTGACCCTGGGAAAAAAAGGGAACCCTTTTTGGGGAAGACCATTTTTAGTGGGGCAGCCACCAAAAAAGGGAAAAAGGGTGCCAGTGAACAACTGAGCACATGCAGAGTGCACCGCGTTTTTTGCTCGCACTGGATCCTCAACGATTCCACATGCTCATCTCGCGTTCCCTCACTTTCGACATGAATGTAGCTCTCAACTTGTCAGACCCGCGCAAAGCTCCAGAAGTAACCTTCCATTTCCATTCTTTCCAGGCATCCTTCTTTCTACAAAACCGCCCAACACCCTGGGGAAACAGCTGCTTTTTGAAAAGAACGATGGTTGAAAAGAATGAGGAATCAACCCCTAGAAAAGCGATTACTGACAACTAACAACCACTGCCCAGAGGCAACAATCCAAGAAGAAGCGACTCTGCGCTTGCTCGATTCAGGCTTCAAGCCTTGGCCCAGATTTGTTCTGACTCTGCGTCAGTTTCGCTCTACCCTAAAATTTATTGAATCATTTGGAGGCAGGGGCCGATTTGAGCCAAGGATGGCAAGGTATACGCTCTTCGTCCCTGCTTCAAATGACTACATGACACCACATGGCTGTGGGTCAAAACCCTGTACGCTGGTGATCATCAAAATAGGTGGCAAAACGATGTTCATCCACCTCAACTCCATAGGTTATGCCCCCGTATGACAGCAGACCTGCCCAAGCTTTGTCATGTCTTCAGTTTTGGGATCGACCCCAATGAAATGCCATCAGAACCGAATCCCCAGCCGCTGTCCGCCTCGGCTCCACTCATGGCCTGCGGATCCTCCCAGGTAGGACCTCCCGGAGGCAACCAGTTCCTAAAGGGGTCTCCTTTTTCTGGGGAGTCCTGCAAACCTATTTCACATTTTGGGGCAGACTAATTATGAATCTGTGGTCCAAGCAACGGGGGGATTTGTACTTGGGGTTCACTCTTGCGAATGCACAAAACCCCTTTCACGTCATGGCGCCATGACTCCCTTCCCATGATAGAAACCAAAAGATTCATCATCTTCACAAACGTACGGTAGCAAAGAGCAGCGTGTTTGTTGCAGCCCGCGAAAAATCAACAGAACCAAACCACTGAAACACATCGAGGTTGATCAAAAGGTCATTTACACAGGACAACCACCGGGGAAACCACTAAACAGGATGATGTACTTCCAAATAAACGGCAAACATTACCCATAGTCAAAACTGGGGGCCTGTAAGGGAATATTGATCAACCCTGACATGGCCAACACACTGAAATACTGATGTGCGGTTCTTGTCTACTGGTGCTACGAGCTCAGCCTTGATCATGGGACGACTGGAGGTCCCTTTACGATTTAAGACTCACCTCTTTCATGGAAGCCTCGAGACGTGGCAAAAGGTGGATCCCATACAAGCGCCGCCGTTCACTCGTTTTCGGAATGAGTGGGATCTTGCAAAATCCCCATGTAAATATCAACAATCAATGGGGTTCAACCACGGATTTGATCTGTCAAGACCAAGAAACAATGGATTCAGCCATGGTTTCATTTCGAACCGTCAGAATGAATCTGTCGAACGGGCGGACATCTGCAGCTTATGGTCGGTTTGGATAGCCCAAACGCGAAACATCAACCCTCGGGCTCGAGTTGTCGCAAGCAACAAAAACGAGAAACCTCAAACCTGTGCGAAAAGGGAACAAAAGACATGGCGCTTGCTTTGCTTCAACAGGAACCCTCCCAACAAAGTGAACCAGAAAACAATCCCCCTTCAAGAAAAGTTAAAAGGATGCCCCCTAAAGAAATAAATCAGCTTTCGAGAGGAACAGGAGGTCGCCACTGGCTTGAAACGGGCCCTACATCGCCCTACCCTCTCGAGCCTGGGCTCGGCCGCGTGGCCGCGTGGATGTTGCTGGGGTAGGGGTCCAGGCTGTCTGGGTGCAACGGGTCGGTATTGGAAACCAAATGGGCAACCACCACTCCACAGATCCTTACGTCTCTTCGTGGAGAGTGCGCACCTAACTCTGTATCCTCTGTATGAGTGTCACCCTGACTCACCGAATCCCTCGCAGCTCAACTACTTGTTGTCAATTTTCAACAACACATCAACCACCAAACGGAAACTCAATTGAACTTGGCAACTTGAAAGGCTCTTTACGGCTAAACGGTACTTTTCTTGCATTGTAGTTGGACAAGCGCAGCCAAATCGGGAGCGCTTCCAGGCTTTGCGTTGGCTGACCCGTGCCCTATGTCATCCCCATGTCGCTCTATTGAACACGGTCCTCGTCTGCCGAGCTGCAAGCCGAAACCGGCAAAACGGATGCTAGGCCGATGACACATTTGGGGGTTGCAAGCATACGAGTACCATGCCCCTGCAAAAGGAACCTTCATCTTCGAAGCTTCTCGCGTCTCATATGAGACATACTCATCAAAGCTGTTTCCGTTTTTGCGGGACATGAAGGGTGATTGGTGAAAGGAATGACCAATGGAAAATATATTCCATCCATCTCCCAGCTAGTAAGGTGAGAGGAGACGGGGAAAAGGGATGAGACTAGAGAATTGGATGGTGAGAGAGTGCTGCCATGGAAGCCAAGTACCTGTCACAGCTGCCGTCACTCTCTCACATTATCTTCTCTGCATCCCATGTCCCATTGCCCGCGAGATAGTAAAGTGGGTGAAAGCAATGGGACTATGAGAGAGAGGGCAATAGAAAGGAGTGTCCCCGTCCTAGGCACTTTCTTTCCTATTGGCGAAATATCTTGTCCATGGACCTCAAGATTCCAGGACAAAATGCTTCAGTCTCCGATCTGAATGCTGTTGTGAATCCACCTTTCAGGGACAGCAGGCACTTTCGGAAACCGAAAGTGCAGCCTGGGCTGACTCACAACGGCGCGCTCTCAGACCCTTCTTCCTCGTTCCAAACGCCTTCAAGCTAGCTGCCATCTCAAGCTTGCCTGAAGCCCAAAACTTGCCTTTTTGTCCAAGGCGCGGAGTAAACACCTATGCATGTGACACAGCATAGTTCATTCAAGGCAGGACTTTCAGGCATAATTATCTGGCATGGGTCTCAGCGCAATTGTTGACGAATTGCGCAGTTTACTACGACTCGCCTCGAAAGAAGGAGCCTTCTATGCAAGGAACAGTCGCAGTCATGGGCGGGCAACAAGACCACGCAAGTGCATAGCAACGCGCTGCCCCTGCGAAACGAGAGGGTCGAGTGCTTGAACATTAGAAATAGAGCAAAGGGCATCCTATGGGTTACTTTCAAAGCTGCGATCGTGTGGTAACCGATATTGAGACGTGGGACACGACACTCACCAGTCATAAACAAACAAGGACATCTGGGATCCCTGATCCCTTCTCATGCTTGCTGCTGTGCGAATCTCTCTCAAAACTAACATTCCAACCCTTGTTCTGGGACTGACAATTGGAGTTAAATACCAACGGTGTCTTTTGCTGCCATACAAAAAACATGTTCAGACCCCAAACAGGATCAGAAGACCTTTACACATGCCCAAGAGCCTATAAATCTCACAAGAAAACTGGCGCGTGTTTTGATCTCGCTTCTCCGCGCCCGCGAGGGCTGTGGGAAAATCGATCGCGGATTTCGATGCCCCGGCAATGGGCCTTGGAATGATCGGACCTCATGGTTTTCACCAGACACCCCTGGAAATAGTGGCAGCAACACCTCGGAGGCATTGCCCCGGTTTGATTTTGACCTATACCCGGTAACCAGGAGTCTGGGGATAAACGATTGGCTGACTTTGGCAATGTTCGTTCCCACAACCCTGCTGCCTCGCGTCAGGCCCGGCCGAGAGCGCAGTGAAAACTACTGGCACGGCGCAGACGCGCGCTGCGCCTCGGGCAGTTTGTGTGACGAGGGGAGGCCTCAATGAGATATTCTTTGGTGGACATTTCGGTGGGGATTCATGTCCACCAACCACTTTTGAGGTGTGGTAAAGCTCAGCAACCAAGACGGTCCTATCAACATGTCTTTCAATGTTGGTCACGCTTTGCAACAGGACCTTAGAGAAAACAGTTCAAGGAGAAGATCCTCTTGGAAGCCAACCCAAACGGAGCTCTGAACATATGCTGAAAATTGGTCACTTTTTGCCGTGAAGCCAGCCAAATTTTAAACATACATGAGAAAGCCTGCTCCAAGTTGGCTTCCTCCGAGAAGCCGGTTCCACGCCGAAACCGTCTGCAAATGTTTCCCTGGTTACTCTTCACAGCTAGGCTGGAATTGGGACCCCAGCATGTATATATATATACATATATATATATATATATATTTGCCTGGATAGTGGAAAACAAACGGACCCCAAAAAAGCAAAAAACAAAAAGGGGAGCTAATTCTGGGGAAGACAGTAGAGCCAACCAAACAGCCTATGAGAAAGAGAACGGCTTCCATATATTGCCAAGCAAACAGGACCTACGATGTGATTTGTTCAACGTTGGACTCCTTTTTAGAGCCAACTGGAAGGTAAAGGTTGTACAATGCCGGTTCCTCTTGAATGCCAACCAAACAGAGCCCAGGAAAATTGCAGTTTAATGCGGGTTTCTATCCAGGTCACCAACAGGACCCATGAGAAAGGACGTTTGCTCTATGTTGGCTTCCTCTTTCAGAAGCCAACCAAACAGGATCTATCAACCGAAAGGACCTGTGCAACGAGGTTGTTGTCAATGTTCGAAGATTTGATTTCCCATTCTCTTCACCCATCGTTCTCTTTGGAAACCACCCATTTTCCAGGGTGTTGGCCCATTCTTTGAAGAAAATGATGCCTGAAGAGAATGGGGAGGGTACAGCTATACATGATAATCATTCGGGGTTGCAGGATTGGCGCATGCCCACCTCTTCCGCTTGATGTCCGTTCCATCAGCTAATTACAGTACCTACGGAGGTCATTGGGTCAAGCTGGGCGCGCCTGCTCCCACCACCCAATGAGACTGTCCGGAAAGTGGGAGACTTGGCAGGTTCGGACGGAAACCTGTGAGAAGCCTGGGCCACTTAACAATCCCCTCTTGTAAGCCACTCATGCCCTCTTGGAATTCATGCATCTTCAGCAAGGGGAATTCCCGCAGTTGGCAAGAAGCTTTCATGAAGATGCATTTTGTGAGTGAGATGCTAATTACTGCCTCCGGAATCCGAAGGATTCCGAAAAAACCAAGAGGCCGAGGCCCCAGCCACCGTGCTTCGGTCCTGCCTGAGTGAAAAACCACTTGGCGCAGGGGTGGGCACGAGGATATGCAACCACTCTCAGCGCTTCGGCGAGCTACAGGTCGTTCTCACGGAATGAGGAAACGACCCCCTATAAACCATCGATATCCCCGTAGGTTCATGATGCTCATTCCTTGAGAAGCAGCAATAAGGGGACGCACTTGGCACGCATCGATGAAAAACACTCGTCTCCACATCTGGGGTTATGGGCTTCCGGGCAGGCGAGCCACTTGAAAGGCCATCGATCCATCGCACCGAGGCAGCAACGAACTCGCGAATTCGCGGGCTCAACTGAAAGCCTCGAAGCGGCGAGGCGAGGCGGGAGGGCTTTGGCGCGTCTGTTGTCAGACAAATGGCTGTGGGTCAACACCCTGTACCCCCAGTGAACATCCCAATCCCCACTGAAATAGACTAAAATGGGTGGTGCACTTACCCCAAAATGGTACCATTGGTTTGACCCATTGCCAAATGGCTTCAAAGTTCCACCCTCCAAAAAACGAGCCACGCAACAATTTTCGCACACCTGGGAGCAACCCGAGCCCCTCTGAGCAAAGGCTTTACGAAAAAGAAAGTTGTGTCCAGAAGAGTCGTGTCGGGGCCTTGGGGGTCACACCAAAGACCCCATTACACGCCAACCCAGCCCAAACCCTAAACCCTAAATCCTAAGGGTATGAATTGTTTGACGGGTGCCGGACCCTCTGCTGGACATCATTTGCTCACTTTGGAGCAGTTCGAAACCACTCGACTTTTGGTTCTAGCATGGCAAGACCCTCTTCATTGATTTGCGCAGGGTTTCTTCATCTGTAAAGGCCGTCATGATGGTCGGAATTGTACAGGTTTTGCTAGATCCACCATGAGATAGGGATTGCAATCCAAACTCAAGCCTCCAATCCTTTCTTGCCGCGTACCTACAAACCATTTGTTTTTTTCCACGAGCGTAAGTTGTGCATGCCGCTCGAAAAGAGCCAGTGAGGGTTTTGTTGATGAGGCAAAAAGGGCCTGTGTCTCGAGAAACTTTGAGGCTTGATCAGCTATGATTCTTATGGGACGCTCATTAGAGGTTTAAAGGAAAGCCAAAAGGAAAACCGGACGAAATCCTGCGTTGCTTTGAATCCACAGGAAACCATTGTTTGTTGGCATTTACAAGGGAATCATCATTCCGGGGTTTCTTATTGGTGGTGCAGAATTTTGTCCATCCACAGTATTTCATTGCGGTTCCCCTATGCAACCTCGATCCACTGGGTAAGGTAGTCTTCGGACACATCCGCGCGCATCCGGCGCAGAACACATATGTTCATAGCCAGTCTACTTCAAAATGTTCCGATGCTGCTTTAGACCTAGCTTCCTCTAAAATGGCCATTCTGGCAAGAAACACAGCGGGGAGTAAGTTCGCGGACTCTGGCGAGCCACAAAAACTCCTCGCTGGTCTAGGTCTAAGACTCCCAAGAGTCGCTCAGCGTTTGTAGGTTTAACTCCATGGAGCCAAGCAATTTGTTGCCCGAAGGTCTTTCCAGTGGGCGATGTTCACAAAGTGCAGGCAAAACGTAGATATAAACATTTTCCAGTATTTTCCTGGATGACACCGAAGAGGGAAGTTGTGGCACTTGGATTCATCCATCTCAGGAAAACTCTTCCCGCGATCTCATTCTTGAAGGATTGAAATGTTGAAAGGAGTTCGGCCTCAAGGGTCTAAGCCTCAACAGCTTATAAATGGTGAAATCCGCCGACAACAAGGCGGCGTGTTGGACATTTACCTCTTTACCTGTTACCCCTCCCGAGGGGGGGGGGGGCCGGAAGACAGTTGCGTAAAAACATTCGGGTGTTCGATTCCCCCCGGGTCCGCTTTTGCATCCTTAGCACCTCCTGGGCAACATCGCCAGCATCACCTGCATCATCCGCATCAGCGCCTGCCAAGGATGCGGATGATGCAAGTGATGCTGGGGATGTTGCCCATGCTGGTGAAGGAACATCTGGAAATGAATAACATGAAGTGATGAAAGAAAGGGAACAAAAACAGACATAAAGGGACATGAACCGAAGTGAAGCAAAATAAAGGGAAATGAAGATCTTCGAAGAAGGGGGGAAAATGCTTTCGGGGGGGAACTGGGGAGAAGACCGGGGCGGGGGGGAAGGGAAGATCTTGGGGGACAAAGGCCTCAGGGGGGAAAGAGGGGAAAGGATCTCAACCGGGAAAGGGGGAAAAGATCTTACGAGGAAAAGGGAGAAGATCTCAGGGGGGGAAAGGCCTTAGAGAGGAAAGGGGAAAGGATCTCAACAGGGAAAGGGGGGGAAAGATCTTAGGGAGGAAAGGCAGAAGATCTGGGGAAAAAAGGCCTTAGGGGGGAAAGGGGAGAAATGATCTCAACAGGGAAAGGGGTGGAAAAGATCGTAGGGAGGAAAGGGAGAAGATCTGGTGGAAAAAAAGCCAACAGGGAAGGGGGGGAAATGATCTGGAGAAGCTCTCAGGGGGGGGAAAGGCCTTCGGGGGGAAAGGGTGGGAAGGATCTCAACAGGGAAAGGGGGGAAAAGATCTTAAGGAGGAACAGGGAGAAGATCTGGAAAGGCCTTAGGGGGAAGGGGGGAAAGGATCTCAACAAAGAAAGGGGGCAAAGGATCTTAGGGAGGAAAAAGAAAAAGATCTCAGCGCGGGGGAAAGGCCTTAGGGGGGAAAGGGGGGAAAGGGGGGGAAGGATCTCAACAGGGAAAGGGGGGAAAGATCTCAGGGAGGAAAGGGAGAAGCTCTGGGGAAAAAATGCATTAGGGGGGAAAGGGGGGAAAAGATCTTTGGGAGGAAAAGGGAAATCTTTCTCGGGGGGAAAGGTCCCTAGGGGGCAATGGGGGGAAAGGATCTCAAACGGGAAAGGGGGGAACAGATTTTAGGGAGGAGAAGGGTGAAGATCTTGGGGGGAAAGGCCTTAGGGGGGAAACGGGGGAAAGGATCTTAACCGGGAAAGGTGGGAAAGATCTTAGGGAGGAAAAGGGAGAAGAACTCAGGGTGAGAAAAGGCCTTAGGGGGGACAGGGGGGAAAGGATCTCAACAGGCAAAGCAAAAAAACATCTTAGGGACGAAAAGGGAGATGATGTCAGGAGGCCTTAGGGGGGAAAAGGGGAAGGGATCTCAACAGGGAAAGGGGGATCTCAACAGGGACAGGGAGAAAAGATTGTAGGGAGGAGAAGGGAGATCTCGGAGAGAAAGGAGGAAAGGATCTCAACCGGGAAAAGCTCTTGGGGAGGAAAAGGGAGAATATCTCAGGGGGGGAAAGGCCTTTAGGGGGGAAAGGGGGGAAACAATCTCAACAAAGGAAAGGGACAAGATCTTGGGGGGAAAAGGCCTTAGGGGGGAAAGGGGGGAAAAAGGCTCAACAGGTAAAGGTTGCAAAAGATCTTAGGGAGGAAAAGGGAGAAGATCTCACGGGAGGAAAGGCCTTAGGGGGGGAAGGGGGGAAAGGATCTCGGCAGGGAAAGGGGGGGGAAAGATCTTAGGGAGGAAAGGGAGAAGATCTGGGGGCAAAGGCCTTACGGGGGAAAGGGGAGAAATGATCTGAACAGGGAAAGGGGTGGAACAGATCTTAGGGAGGAAAGCCCGCTCGGCACCTGAAGTGCCCGCTCGGCACTGTGCCCGCTCGGCACGCCTACCTAAAGTGCCCGCTGGGCACTGTGCCCGCTCGGCACGCCTATCCTAAGTGCCCGCTCGGCACTCCCCCCCCAAAAAAAAGGCGGCAGGCTCGGGCGGCTTTTCCTGCGATGCGCTCGGCCGGGTCTGTGAGCAGGCTTGTCCTGAGAGGGGTCGCGCGGCAGATCGGAAAGAAGCCAGGACGAGGTCCTCTCCGGGGCCGCTTTGGCGGAGGGGCCGAAGGGTCGTCGAACCGCCGGCCTGACACGAGAGCGAAGTCGAACAATTTCAACGGGCAACGGATGAGCCTGCGGCGTCGCGAGCTGCGATCGAAGGCGGGTGTTGTCCTCGCGCAGGGCCTTCACATCCGCCTGACAGGCCGGGCGCGAAAGGTTGAAAAAGCGCCGAGAAGCGAGCCTGCAAGCCCTGGGTCCACCTCTTCTCCGCCACCAACTCCGACTGGAGGACGGCGATCCTCACATCCTGCCGGGACGAAAAAAAGCCTTGCCAAAAGGGGAAAAAGAAAGGAAGAGGACGAGCCTTCGCTGTGACCTCCTTGCTCAGACGCTCCTGCAAGGGGCAAATTTGCGTGCCCCGCCCAACCCCTTCTCGCTACGAGCCTCCCTCGTGGAATCGTCGGCGAAGACTCTTTCGGTCCTAACACTCTGACTCAAACTACTCATGCTTGATTTGTTGACTGCATGTGTGACAAACAAACCAATGCGTTTTCGCCGCCGCCCTCGCCTCCGCCGCCACCGCCCGCCGCCGCCCTCTCCTGCCAAGAAAAAAAAGCGACATCCGATCGACGAAGAAACGAAATCTCGCCTTCACCACCAGGTCCACCCTCGCCTGGTCCTGCCGGACGACAGGCCCCGAAAAAAGCAGGAAAAACAGAGAAAAAAAACAGGCCTTCGCCTGGTTGAAGGCTGTCTCCCGGCGGACCTTCGAAGGCGGCCTCCAACAGCGACGGAAACAAGAAAAAAACGGCCGAAGTCGAGTGCGCCTGCGGCTTGGCCTCCACGATGGCTCCTGGCGGGCGCAGCGACGTGGAAGGGACAAAAAGAGAAGAAATGAGTGCCTGCCAGCCGTGGCCGCCCCAGGCCGGGGCGGCCCAGCCAGCATCCCAGCTCCCGCCGGAGCCGTCCCACTCCTGACAGACGGAAAAATAGAAGAAGAAAAAAAGGGAAGGCCGAACAGGCCTGTGGTGGAGCCCACGGCCCCCAGGATTCGTCCTGAGGGGGAACGAAAAAATGCAAAAGACATGAAACGCACCGAAGGTCCTCCTCCCCACCGCCACCAGCACCACTCATGGCCGCGGGCCGAAAAAAAAGAGTGTCCCGACCCCAAAACATGACCCTTGCCCGAGCCGAAGAGCCTAGTGCCCTACCCGAGCCAAACCTAGTGCCCTACCCGAGCGGAAGGGAGAAGCTCTCAGGGGGGGAAAGGGCTTAGGGGGGAAAGGGTGGGAAGGATCTCAACAAGGGAAAGGATCTCAAAGGGAGGAAAAGGGAGAGGCAAGGATCTCAACCGGGGGAAAAGATCTTAGGGAGGAATAGGGAGAAGATCTCAGCGGGGGGAAAGGCCGAAGGGGGGAAAGGGGGGAAAGGATCTCAACAGGGAAAGGGAGGGAAAGATCTCAGGGAGGAAAAGGAAAAGATCTCAGGGCGGGAAAAGGCCTTAGGGGGGAAAGGGGGGGAAAGTCTTTGGGAGGAAAGGGAGAAGAACTCAGGGTGGGAAAAGGCCTTAGGGGGGAAAGGATAGGGAAAGGTGGGAAAAGATGTTAAGGAGGAAAAGGGAGAAGATCTCAGCCTTAGGGGGGAAAGGGGGGAAAGGATCTCAACAGGGAAAGGGGGGAAAACATCTTAGGGAGGGGAAAGGATCTCAACAGGGGAAGGGGGGCAAGGGGACAATTCCCAAGGGACGCAAATCAGAAAGCAGGCCTGTAATGTCGGCGGCCTGAGCCGGGGGCGTTAAAATAACTTTCAACATGACTTTCCTTCAATAAAAGGGGGCAAACGATCTAATTCCCATGGGTCCGAAAAAAATGCAACAGCCCAGGCTTGGAGTACACTGGGCCGCCCTGCCCTTCTTTCTGGGAGCACTTGATGTCCTGCTCGCTTGAGGTTGCGACAGGGATTTACCAGCCTCCAGTTCAGTTCATGAACACCTCATAGATGGGACTGTCGCGTTGCGTTTGCACTTCCATGTATCCATGGGTGTGTCATTTGCAAGGGTACACTTCTTTGGGTTGGTGTAAACGGAAATCCAAAGGACAACCATATGTTTTGCTTTTGTTTTCTTTTCTTGGGCGGGAGGGTTCCCCTGACAAGAAGGCACACCCACATGAAATCAAAGCTAGACTCCACTCTCACCGCTCTCTTCTTTCAAATCACTTGCTCCCAAGGACCTACTGTAAATCCAAAGGGCCCTGGCTCCAAAGACCATGGTGGGGGAAACAAAAAATGGGCAGCGAGGCCAATGGAAACACACATCCTACCCTTGATGCTTGGTACAAAAAGGCGTCTGGCGAGCTGAAAACCGATAGAAATCATAATTAGCGAGCCAGAGACCAGAGAGGGGACATAAGCATCCTGGGCCATGGAGGCTGCGCTTTTGTTTCACGATTCACCCACCGCAAATAAGGACCCCCCTCCCCACAACAAAATTTTGAAAAATAAGCCCAGGTGATATCCCCCACCGCCCCGGAAGCCCCTGCAACCCAGCCCGAGGTCGCCAAACAAATCTGAGCCATTCATATGCGCAAGTCTCTCAGTTTAAACTAAAGCTCCTGCTCCTCAGGAAAATCTGCCGAAATCTCGAACACCAAGTGAACAACTCATTGATCTCTGGCTGAAAGCTAATCTGTTGGAGGGATATGTCATACATCCCAAAATGCCGTAGAGTGCCAGGCACTTTAATAAAACCCCTCACATTTGGTGTTCTTGGCACTCTAAAAGTCTATAAAGTGCCAGAGTATGGCTGGAAACGGCCCAAGAATTGCACTCGCTGCTACACTTGGATTCGAGCGACCGTGGACAAAAGCGGCGGTGAGTTGGGTGGTCAAAATCAAGTCACCAGCATATGGATCGCAGGTAGTTGTTGTTTCCTTTTAGCCAGGGCAAGCCATTTTGGGGATACCCTACTCTTGAGCCACACCTCAGATGCCCAGTGGCCATGGGAAAAAAGGGCATCCTTTCTTGGTTGGTTGAGTTTAAAGGGGAACCCTTCCAGAAAAAAAAAGGAACCAGGGCGCTACTGGGCAACTGGGACACCCAGTTAATTCACTTGAAACTCGCTGAAGCGGGCGGTTCCGATTGGCTGGTGAGCCTTTTGGAAGACTTTCCATCCAGCATTGCTCAGTGAAAAAAATATCGTAACACTAACCTCTTCCGGGTCCTCCAGTAGAAAGCTTCGCATGAGGGTACCAACTTTTTTCTGTAGTCTGTTTTAGTTGGGGAACCCTCCCAACCAAAAAGGGGGTGAGAAAGGCCACTACTGGGGGACGTAGCAAAACCTCTTGCGTCAACCCAGATTGAAACTTGCCAGCTCCAACCAGACAATTTGAAGCTGGCTTGAGCCCCTTTTCGACCAAGAAATACTATTGTGACAAAAACTCCTCAAATCCAGACCGGTTCCCACATATCTTAATATTATAATTACTGCCCCTCCTCAGAAGCCAAATGTGGCCGTACACGTTAAACGCTTTCGGCCCGGCAGCCCGGTCCGAGGACTGATAGTTCTAAATATTCGGAGCCTCGGTTCCGGCAAACGATATTCGGGCCATGCGATGTTTGGCCTGATGGAATCGAGTGGTTCGTGGATGTCCCAAGCCTTGCAAGAAGGAAGTGTAAGTTGGACGGCCTACCCTCGGTTGCGAAATCTGCTCCCCTGCTAAAAGTGAATACCTTTGAGTGGTTTAATGGAAAACCCAATGGTTGGCAAAAAGTTGAAGTCTGAACATCCAAGCAAAATGCAACAAAGCACCGAGACTTAGGTTCATATGGTCATGGGAGCTGGGATTGAACTCCTGTCATCATCTCAAATAAACGAAGGGGCAGCAGATGTGAGCAAACATTGTTTGTTTGACCTAGAGAAGCCATCAGCTGATCGCGCGTTGTCGCTTTGTATGGTTCTTCTTCCTTGCGTCCTTCCTGCCAGTTGTCTCTCAAGACGTGCCCCAGATCCCCTTTAAAACCAAGAGCGGGAACACACACACACATCTTATATAATACGCACATGTATGTAAGCACAACCAAACAAGCTTCGGCATTCCCCAAGCTTCATTTGAAAGCCACCAAAGGGGGCCCAGTTTCAACCATACCAAGTTCGCATCAAACAGACCTCCCACTAGTCCCATTAATGCAGAATTGCGGTAAAGAAAACAGTATTAAGGCAAACAGATCCAGGGAAGGGTGCATCTGGTCGTCTTCTTGGCTGTACCCTTTGCAACCTGACAGCCATGATCCCTATGTCGTGGAAGGATGCTTCCACGTGAGTTAGCGCTTTGGTTATGTGAACCATGTTTTAGCGTACGCGGCTGTCAGCGAGCATGTCAAGCTTCCGCTTTGCTTACGCAGCGGCGCTTGAGCATTTCACGTTGAGAAATGCTTACGCGGGCGCCACTGCTCAAGATGACGTGGATGACTCGGAGAAGGAAGTTGATGAAGAATTGCCCTCTTGCGGATCCACTTGGCACGGTGCATCTTTTGTTTTCTTCGCTTTGTAGCTTTCTTGCTCGGCCAGACGGATTTGGCCGACAACTTTTGCCGCCAGAATTCGTGTCGCCTTTGCAGCATCATGGCGTCGGCGAGTGGGCATTCGTGCGAGGCGAGCTTACGCAAAGATTCCTCGCCTAGGGCTGGACCCTTTAGTTTTGCACCCTTGTGTTTTGGTAATCCGATAGCCAAGTGCCTCGCATTCAACAACTGTTGCATCCTTCCCAATTCAACCATAGCCTTTCAGCCCTTCAACTGGTGGTTCGGATGCTGGTGGTGAAACGGAATCAAAAGCCTGGGGTTCAAATCCAGATTCAGCAACCACGGGTTGCCCGAAGAGCGCCTTCCGGCGCTTCGCGCTTCGCGCTTCGCCAGCTCTTCGGGCCCCCCAGCTTCCAAGGGCGGCGTCCAGATCCACCAGGCTCTGCAGGATCGCGGCCACCGCCTCTCACACGAGAGGCGTTCTCGCGGTTGATCCCCAAAAATCAAGCGAGAACTGGGGAAGAAGGCTCCTCGAGTTGCACGTTTTTGCTTTCTCTTTACATGTCTTGTTTGTAACACATGCAAACTGGGGCCAGTTTGGGCTCCTCACAGTTCGTGCCGTTGCTCAGGGCCACCGTCCTTGCTTAGTTTGTCCATCCTTTGCAAAAAGCCATGTAGCATATTGTCAGGATCATGGGGCTTGCTATGGAGAACGTCCCCATACCACACCCCATCTTGCTCGGGGAGAGGGGGTCTGAAAAGGGCTTGTTGGAACCAAAACCCACCCAGACCCTTTAAGTATTGCAACTGAGTTGGTCTGACTCTTGCAGCTTCTTTGTTTTCGCGAACAGTCACACTCATAGTGACGGGCTGGCAATGAATTTAAATGGGGAACCCTCTCGAATAAATCCCCACCTAAATGATGCCAATTTCAAGTTGATGCCCGTATAATTTATCCCTCGAAACTCATATCCAAAAGGGTATGGCAGCGAAGTGCCAAGACTCTGTGTGTTTCCTTTCAAACGGGAAGCCGAACTTGGTTCAAGCTGAGCTCGATGGGCTCCCCATGTCGCGCGTTCAAAACCCCTGCTTCAGCTGCCTCCAGTCCGACTGAAGCAAGCTTGGAATCCCCTGAAAACCGGTCAAATTCCCGAATCACCTCTACTGCAGACACCGGTCAAGAAACCGATCAAAACATAGAAGCCGGCCAACTCCCATCTGGACTAGAAACCTGTCAAATTCCCCCCTCCCTATAGCCGGTCAAACCGCAGAAGCTGGTCAAGAAACCGATCAAATCACCCTCTAAAGACCGGTCCAACTCCGGTCCAGCTCCGGTCAAGTCTCCTATAAGCCGGTCAAAATCCCCTTAAAACCGGTCAAACTCCCCATCAAATCCCCCCAAAAAAGAAACCAATCAAACTCTCGCGCATTTCGGCGCCGACTCACTCACTTTAAACACAAGACTTCAAGGCAAACGAAAGCAGCGTACATCAAAGCCAGCCAAAAGCGGACTGGCTGAGGCGGGCAGCGCGACCCAGAGAATTAAGATCCCAGAGCGTGCAAGGGAACCCATCAACGATGTTCCTTTTTCATGTTGTCAAGTCAAAAGATGATTTCTAGTTCTAGTTCTCGTTGAACTGGAAAACAACCCAAACAAGGGGTTTGGAATTTCACTTGCGACAAGTTAAGCACAGAAAAACACAAAGGGAGCCCAGGTTGGTTTCCCCTTTGAAGCCATTGGGGGCATGGAGCCCCAACTTCCGCTCACCTTTGCTCTAGGGATACATTTGGCATACCGAGAGGAATCCAAGAGTTGAATTCTTTGACAGCGCTTCTCCAAAGACCCTGAATAAAATCGCTCGAGAACACAACAAATCAAGCCAAGACCAGTTTTCTTCCCTGGTTTGGTCACGATTTGAAGCCGGGAGCCGGCCTAAAGGACGGAAAGGGAGCATGACATCAGTCCTTATGGGCTTGGCATTGTCATGTACTTGCTGAAACATGACAAAACCACAGTTCGTTGATCAACCCATTAGGTATCTCATTGAAAACCCCTCGAGGTCTTAAGCCTCAGGAGCTCAATCTAGTGTTTGATTGGCCAAAAGTCCAAACTTTTTGTTCAAAAGGGTCCCCAAAACAGATCAAGTCCAGAACTTCAGGGAGTGATCCAACTCCAAGCTGGTCTTTTGACCACGAAGTTACCTCCCAAAAATCGCCCGGGCAGCCCGGCGTCCGACGCTGCCGCGCCCTGCTCCGTAGCAGACTGGCGGAGAATCGCTCCCCAGCCTACACATTTTACACCGATCATTGAAGCAGCTAGTGTCTGTACCCTGACACGAGCCACAATCAAAGCCTGGCATTCAAATGATCAACCCAATCCTGTGGTTCTGGTGGATATCCACATCTAGTCATGGTTGGGACTTGCGCATACTTGTCTATACTCGGGTTTTGATTGTGACTCACATGTGCCATGGTCAAACCTCCTTATTTGGCCTATGATCATGGTTCTCTCATTGTGATGGTTACTAAGGAACCTCACCTGTAAACCGCAAGGGGTCTTTTGACCATGGCGCACATGCAAGGTGCAGGGACTTTTCGAGGGGAAAGGGCGCCAATTCTGCCGGGCAGACCGAGCCGCATGCCTGGCCCAGCACATCAGGGAGGCACCTCGACTCAGAGCCATAGACAGGAGAGCCATTGCAGCCAGGGTGTCATTTTTGAGGCTACCCTTTTTGGGGCTCCGAGACCAACCAATTTGGGTGCAATCATCAAACAATTCGGAGAAAAACAACAAAACAAACCGCTATTTGGTAAGACCCATGCACCTACTTGTGCCTGAGCTAGACGAAACTAATTTGGTTAGCAAATTGGATCCTGCTTCTTAGTCTGCTCGAACTTGTGTTGCTTTCTTTATTCGGGTTCGGGCCAAGTCTTCCCCAAGAAGCGAAGGTTGGCTCTACAATGGGACGCTCACCCTATCAAGCAACAACAGGTTTTTCCATCCTGGGTTGGCATTGCGCGCTTGATCGGATTGGCCACAGGTCCAAACTCCTGGTTTGCCACTCAACCGGTCACCCCACACCCCACACCCCACACCCCACACCCCACACCCCACACCCCACACCAAGCAAAAGGACCAGCTCCAGGAACTCCGAAAGATGACCCGAGCGCGTGCCCCAAGCTTTCGGTCTCTGGGGCCCCAGGCCCAAAGCGCTGCTCCGGCCAGCCGTTGGTGGGCCTGGCAGGAAGTGAAACTCACGCCGGGCCTCAGCTGGTCGGCAGGAAGCTCGTTCTGACCGCTCGAAAAGATTCTACGTGACATCAACCCTGCTTTTTAGGGTGCTTGGACCATTCTCTGTAGACATGTGAAAGTCTCCATGACATGAGGTGACTAATTGCCACAAAAAGGTCTTTCCGCATGTTTGTGCCAGGTCAGGGACACAGGCTCAGTTTCCCAAAAGGACCCAGACATGAAAGGTTCACCATTTTGGCTATGACTAACCATGGTTACCAAAAAGGAGCAACCAAAAGGCCAAGAGTTGTCGACTCGCTTTCGGGCAACTGAGTAGGTACCTCCTTTCCATGCTGGTGCTGAGTAGGGAATGACCCTTGGGATTCCCTTAAAGGAAGAGAGGCCAATGTCCCCAGCCCTTTTTGAGTTCAGGTTCTCCCCCAAGAACGCTTCTTGGATTGGTTTCTGTTAAGGAAACCACCGGTTGGATGGTTTCTGGGGGGTGATTCCAACTCATCCCCTGCATAACCAGCTCCTTTCCCCGGCCTCATCTCCCCGAAGCGGCGCAGCGGCGCCGCGGCGCTGCCGCGCAGCTGGACTGAGCGGCGAGGGGAGGTCCGGCGGTTGCGCTCAGAATCGGCCCACTGGACACCACCCAAGGAGACTGGCACCATTACTTTAGGTCAAAGTCGCTCCCGCCATGGCTTAAGGGGAAACAACACCAGTTGACTTCAGGTGACCCATAGAAACAGTCAAAATGATGACAGGACTCAGCTTAAATTGGCGGCCTAGAGGGGATGTTTAGAACCAGAACTGTCACTACCAAGAACAGAGAAGAGTTGGAAGACCAATCAAATGCGGCTCCCGATCACCACTGGCTGGGGGAAATAAGGACGTGCCCTGTCTTGGCCCACACCTGGCGTGCACCAAACAAACGTGTAGATGACTCAGTTTCATAATTATTTAGTCTACCCAAACATATGTCTTCATTTTGGAGGAGACACTTTTGTCCGGGTTGGTTCAAAGAGGAACCAAAGGGAAACACCAACAACCCCGGAGCTTCCCCTGTTTGGATGACCAACCCACACGCGCGCATGCGCAAAACCAGACAAGTACATGAAAAGCACATACAAAGAAAGTGAATATTTGGATATCCAATCAAATTAAGCTCCTAGACCACCACTCAAGAGAAAACATGAAAAATACCTGTTTGCTTGTGATTAGTTGATTTTGAACGCGTTTCCCACCCGAACAGGCCAAGGAATCTCCCCAACCACCTCCTGAGAACCTACCTGCCATTGAGGAACTTGCCCCAGAACTCCAAACGCTACTTGGTTGACGTTGGAAGGGGAGCAACAAATTATTTTATAGCAGTTGAGTGGGGATTTCAACCACTAAACCACAACAAGCAAAAATGCAAAATGTTTCCCAACCACAACCATGGCTATGGCTAAGAAAGATCCTGCTTGGTCCGGTTGAGCTGGATTGCCCGATTGCCCTTGTGATGCTCACTCAGTTCCTGGGCGTGGGGTTTCGAAGCCCAAGAAAAACCGTGTCCAACTTGTTGGCCTGAGTTGGCAATGGCTGTCTTAAAGGGAATACTTGAATCAAAGGCCCATAGTGCCATGCTCCCTATTCAAGCCCAAACTGTTTGATCACTCGCGTATACCAAACTAGGTCCTCCAGATTTGAGGGGTTAGAATAAGGCTACCAACTTTTTCTGTAGTCTATTTTAGTAGTTTGGAACCCTCACAAACAAAAAAGAAACGGGTGAGATACCCTCTTGCGCAGTTCCGCGACCAGGTCTACATCGTGCAAGGCCTCCAGCGCGTCGCGCGGCGGCGGCGGCGGCGCGGCGGGGACTTGGAACAGCATCATGGTGGTGGTAAAACAGCATCATCATGATCTTGCGACAGCATAATGAGGTTCAACATCATCTTGATGTGCACGCACAAGCAGATCTCGCGCGGCAGCCGCCTCAGCCAGGCATTGATTTCTCCTCCTGCCTTGTCCAGCGCGAGGACGCATGGTGCTGCGGACAGCACCATGATGATGCCACAACCACGATGCAGCACCCGCCCTAGCACTTTGCGGTCCATATGCGCCCGCACTGTCACCACCAGCGCCAGCACCGGACATGTCGCCTAGCACCCTGCCGTCACGTAATGTAACAAGCCCGAACCTTTCCCCTTCTTCATGAGAATTATTTTTTCAGCACGATTGAGCCTCCCGAAACCCTGCTTAAGGGGGCCCCTTGGGGCACCAATTGCTGGGGGGACCTAGAAACCCACCTAAACCAGCGCCTCTATCCCCAGGCCTCACGCAGGGGCGCCTAGCTGGGGGCGTATACCAAACAAAACCTTCGGTAAGAATCCACGTGGTTTCGCCCGCACCGACTGGCAGCCCTGGCACCTCTGCAAAGCTTCCCTTACCGTCATGAGCCTGGCTGCCTCCACCCAAATATTACATGTAATACATATATATATATATAATTATATAATATATACATACACAATATAATGCCAAATTATATACACATATGTGCCAAATATCATAATTATATACATATATATGTATATATACGCAATACGGGTTTCTCAAAATTACGGACCCACTGTATGGGTTGTATCCTTTCGGCTGCCTTGCAGAACCCAAAAAGGGGTCCGCCATTTTCAGAAACCCCATAATACGTATATATCAGATATGGGTTAGTCGACCTCAAAAAGGTGGGTTCCTTTTGGTTCCCTCTGGACTCACAAAAGTGCGCAACCCCCCCCCCCCCCCCCTGGCACAAACCCCACCCTAAGCACTTGGCCAAACGTGGGCCCCCTGCCAAAATTTACAATCAGGGAGCTCTCAAATGATCCCTTCAAATCAAGTCAAAAACGGTAGACCCTGCTAGCATGCTTGTTGCAAGTGATTTGAGGTGCAGCCAGTCTTTCTTCCCGTGTTTCAAGCTGGTAAATTGCCAAACTCACACCAATGCAGGGAAACATCTTGACAAGCCCGCAAAAGCACCGAGACAACCCAACAACCACATGATTTGGACACTCGTTGAAAACCAGCTCATGCTGAACGAGTTCTGGAAACATGGTGCTCTTTTTGTGCGGTTCTCTAGAGGTGTTTTGTTTGGTTGTGTTTACGTTGTTTTGTGGTTCCTCTAGTTTTGCTGTTGTTTGGTGTTCTCGAACAATTCTAATCAAGTCCTATTACAATTCGAACTGAATGTAACAATGCTATTCAAATTACTCAACTAGAAGCAACCACCGTGCCTTTCCTTATCACATTCTATTTACAGTACAATTAAAAACCTATTAAACTTCTAGATATGTGCAAAGGAACTCCTATTCAAAGTATGTTTCGCAATCATAACTTTGAAAAAGGAAGTTGTTACTGAGAAGAAGCAAGTCGGCTTGTCTTCCCTTACTAGATTCTAGTCAAACTCTGATTAAACTCTGACTCAGTTCTAATTAAATTCCATTTGAAACCCAATGTAACATATAAATTGCTGTAAGAGCTCTAGTTCAATTCGAATTGAAATACTACTTACATAATATTTATATTAAAGCATCATCGAAATCCTGTTTAAACTCAACCATTACAATTTGGAACTTGCAAATCGCTTGAATCGGAGTTCAATTTACATTGTCCATGGATTTGTTTACTGGCTGTGTCACTCCATTCAAGGGGCCTGCAAATTAGAAGAACAACAAGCTTGTCTTTCCGCATTAGATTCTAACTCCCAATCAAACCCTACTTAGAAAGGACATCCTATTCTTTGTCAGATTCAAAAAATGAACTCGCAGTCACAAACACTTCGCAGCACAGCAAGCGTACAACTTGAAATCAAACCTCAAAATCGCAAAGTGCACTACAGTCCCCCAGTCTCCAAAAAAGACACACCATAAAGGAAGCCCAAAAGGACAAATTCTAAGGGGAAGTCTGGGAATGAGCAAACTGATGTTTAGTTTCGTGGGGTAAACACCCGAAAAGTGAATGATTCCCCATGCTTTGAATCACCGAGGGCTTACTCATCCTGACCATGCTTCGGCGCTTCAAAGCTTTCCACGCGACCAAAGGGCAGTTCAGGTTCCGAGACCATGCGGAGAGATGGCCGTTGCGGCACCTGACCGGCGTCACGGTCGGAGCCAGGTCTCAAGCTAGGATACCTTGCGGCCCCTCCTTTTGGGCTGGCGAAAAGGGCCTGGTAGGAAGACGAAAGCCCCTCCCGTCTTTTGGCTGGAAAGGGAAGCACTGTTTGGCAACTTGTTCAGGGAAGCGTTGTTTGGCTTCAAGGAACCCCTGTCTGTTTGGGGCGCCTGAGCCACCATCCTAGTCTTGCAAAGGCCCCCCGCTTATGGCTGCTGCTATAAAAAGATGCGTTCTTTTTGGGCCACTCACAGGAAACTGAGGAGCCTGGAGGGTATTGTTCCCAAACCCCGAGTGGCCATGGGAGAAAAAAGCTGCACTCGACTTGTTGGTAGTCGATGTTAGGCCACGAAAAGGAACAAGGACGCCACTGGAGGGCCCTTTGATTACTTGAGTTTGGGACTTCAGGATTTCGTGACAAGGCCAATCTAAACCGACTCTCATTCTTCTTCTATGTTTTCTTTCTTTCTTTTTTTGGGGGGGAGGGGGTGATTTGTGTTTGGGTGACAGGCTCTCTTTTTGTGCTGTGTGTCGACATCCTCGTGGCTCTCGGTCAGTTCAGGCACCATATCGAGGCCATTGCAAATGGCTTTCGCCGTAAAGATGATATTCATTTTCTTGCTCTGGGCTGAGCTCTCATGACGAGTGCGCAACGATGAAGAACATGTACGGGGAAACAGCCACTGTGATCAGAACCGTGCGGTGCTCAATCTACACGGTGGGCATGTCGCCAACCACTACCGTCGGCTGAAACCTGAGAGACAATTGCCATCTGTGGCCACGTAGCCTGCTCTCAGAAGTCACAACCTTACATATCAAAAAGCCCTGGCCCACGGGCCACATGATTCCGAGGTCGGGTACCCTTTTTCTGTAGACAGTTAGTAGGGGAACCCTCCCCCAAAAAAGGGTAAAAAAGGGCACTGGGGGACCTAGTTTCTGTACGTGCGCAACGAAGCTGGGCCTATCCGAAAACAAACTCCAGTACCACATGCTTCGAGCTTCTTTCACCTTGTGGCGCTTAGTCTTGCAGATGCCAAGGAGTTGCAACTTACTCAATGCTGACACCGCCGCTAGGTCCTCCACACAGGAGGGGCCGCGAGGCGGCGATTCGCCAGATTGGGCGAAGGTTCACTTGCAGGGCTGTTCTTGGTCGACGTTGGAAGGGGAGCAACAACAAGAAGTAGCAGTGTGGCGATTTCAACCACTAAACCACAATAAGCAAATGTAAAAGGTTTCCCCAAAACCACCATGATTGAACCAAAGCACTTTGCTTAGTTGGTTTATCTTTCACCTTCAAAACAAATGGCCCTGGTGAACATCAAAATAGGTGGCAAATGCATGTTCATCCACAAAATGGAGCAATAGGTTATGCCCCATGGCCAAATGAGCATAGATACAGCTGGGCAACGAGTTTGCCTTAAATCTTAAGATGAAGCCTGGAACATCTGGTGTCCCTGTGGTTTTCAGCCAAACCAGCAGGGAAGGGCTTCTTGGTTGACGTTGGAAGGGAAGCAAAAAGATAAACTTTAGCAGTTAAGCGGGGATTTCCCGCTTCACCACAATAAGCAAAAATGTATCATGTTTTCCAACAACAACCATGGCTATCTGTCCTCGTGTCTCTCCGGACTTTAAACGGGTACCGTCGAATGCGAAAACAATCAGGCCCGGCTTTGATTGCCACTTCACTCTGTGGCATTTTGCCCGACTCCCATGCAAACTTGAACAACTTCCCTACCCACCCACCCACCCACCCGCCCGGATTTAGGTCTGTTGATCAGTGCTTCACTTAGGTCTATTGATCAAGTTGGACCCCTTTAGGGTTCTCAGAGTGACAACAACTTGATTTCCTTGGAAACGTGTGTCTCCAACTGTTCCCAAGTTAAGGGACAGTTTCCAGAGTGAGTCTATCTTGTTGAACATGGACACTTTAAGTTGACTTAACTTGACTTAAGTTGACCATATATGGCTGTGGGTCAAAACCAATGGTACCATTTTGGGGTAGGTGAATTCACCACCCATTTTAGAACCTATTTTAGTGGTTGGATTGAATCGGATGTTCACTGGGGGCTAACCGATTTGGATTTTGACCCATGGCCATGTGGTTGCATTTTCTGTTCGCGGTTCAAGAGGAAGAGGGACTGCCCTTCAATCCGCCGCGCCTGGCAAAGCGCGCATGACAGAAGCGCATGCTGCGAGGCCTCGGCTTGAAAAGCCAGCAGGGGGAATCTGTTTGGAGCTCAGGGGGATCTATGGGTTCCTGGGTTTGTCTTTACAGGAAGGGCACAAAACTGGGACCCTAAAGAAAAGTGACAACCCCATACTTCCAGTGACCCTGTAGGATGCCATGTTGAAGACCCAAGTTTTGGGCTGCCCTTTACGATTGTCCCAAGTGAGCTGCAAGTACTCCACTTCTTGCTTGGCGAGAATACGCCGTTCAACATGTTAGAAGTTGTCCTTGCGCTCACGCAGAAAAGAAGTGTCATGGACCAACATGACGAGGAGCTTCATGCCCGATATCTTGCAACATGCAGTCCGCCACGTCAAACACTGCAAGTAGGTGAAGAAGTACAAAGACAACGGAAATTACGTGAACAATGATGCCAAAAGGGCCGGAAGCAAGTCCTTGACCATTGCTACAGGAATCCCTTTCTTTCCCCTAAACATTTTCGCTCTTCTTGGGGTGGCGACATGAAACAACACTTCTCAAACCGGATTTTGTTGGGCAAATTTGGCAGCAAAGGACGGGCTGCAATCAACCCCCGGTAAGGGTGATAAGACCAAATTGGGGGAATTGTGCCATCTACTTTCACCCAACCTTCCACTTGCTTAAGTCCCCTGGAGTAAAACAAAAAAGACAAGTATCATCCATGGTAGATTCCCTTTGAAACCGACAGGGCAAACCATGAGCTGTGATAGACTCCTTTTGCAAATCAGCAGAATAAACTAAGAAATGTATCTTCAAGCAAACGGAAATCAGTCAATTCAACCGTGTCAACTTGGGAGCAGACCAGGAGCCCAGCGCCAACGCGGCCCCCTCTCGCGCCCGCCCAGCTGGAGCAAGGGTGAAGCCCAGTGAAGTCCCGGCACTGCCAAGCAGAACGCACCAAGTGGATGGTCAGCATTTGGAAGCAAGAGCAGCACATGTCGACCCTGGGTCGAAGCTTCAGCAAATGCAATGGCATTGTTCCTCCTGCTTGCGTCATGATCCATTAAGTGTCATGATCCATTGATGAAACATCTGTCACGTAACTCGTGAAAACCCCGCCTCCCGAAGCGACCCCCAACCCCAGACCCCATTCTGACGCATACCCTGCTTGCAGCTGACTCCATCTCTGCCTTTTCTCCGAATCAAACGGCCGCGCAGGGGATCTCTTTGGAATCCGGCACGCCGCGCAGCGTGGAAGCCTCGGGCGGCAGCGGCGTCTGGATGGGTAGCGCAAAGACTTGCAGCAACTCCACAGCCCTCAGCACATGCGCCAGTAGAATCAGCGAGCCGGCTGGCGGAAGCTCGAAAGTACACGAGCTGTAGGTTCTTGCTCTTTGATTTGATGTGCCTCTCCTTCTTGTTCTGCGTCTCTTTCTCTTCTCTTATTCTTTGTCGTTCACTTCTTTTCCTTTTCAATCACACTGGATCTTATGCTTCCTTCTTCTTTTCTTTCTCTGTCTCTGTATCTGTATCTTTCTCTTTCGCGATTTCTATGCCCACCCCCACACCCCGCATTCTCACGCGTGGGTTCTCGCATGCATTCATTCTTTCTTCATCTTATCTGGGCGCAAACCCACCTTCAGCTAGTGTCCGGACACACAAAGTTCCTTCTTAACTTCCTTTGACAACACATGGACAAGTTGCAGGTGCAATCTTCACATGCCTCTGTTGGAGCCTTCTTGAAAGTTCCCGTGTTCGAGACACAGCTAGCAACCGTCACCAAAAGCGAGCTGCAAGGTTGAGCCGCACGCCTCTGAGAATGCGGCCTGCTAGCTCTGCGAGTCATTTCTGCACCTCAGCCCCATTTCGGGAGGGCGCTGAGAGGAGCACCGGGATCATGGGAAAATGCCGGCCGTGGCCACTTTGGGAACCGCCATTCGTGATGTTGAGCCGGGGAAGTGTCTCCGGCAATTGCCATTTCTCTAGTCTTCCCTACGGAAGCGATCTGGAATCTCCCAGGGTCGACATAAAGTGGCTGGGGGTTCTCATGCCAGTGGAAGAGGGAAACTGAGTGGGTTCCGTCTTGGTTTGCAGAAATTTAGAGTCAACCAAAGTGCCGCTCAGATTCACCAATGACTGGACATGTTCTCGCCATCTTCATGGTGCTCTTCGTAAAACCCTTACAATGACTGTCTACACATCCTGATGAAAAAACAAAAACAACAAAACATGAATGTCCCCGAGCAAGCAGGTCTTTGGAACATTTGGAACTTTGCTCATATAGTCAACCTCCTCGTTCCCACCTTTCAGGAGTACCTGCTCCCCGAATTGCAGTTGAGGGGACGATATGATGATTGAGCCTTCCAGGCGAATTCTGCCAATGGGCCCAGACGAATGGACCAAACCATTCCACGTCACACCAAGGTTTTTGAGGGATGAAATCCTCAGAATATCTCTGAATACTCTATTTCAAAGAGATGCGCCACTCCAGTAGTGCTCCTGTATTTGGGTATGTGCATTTTTTAGGGTACCCATTTTGGGTTTGGTTTAAAGGCAAACCAGAAGGAAGACGGCCCTTAACTCAGGCCCATGGATTTCCATGGTTTCAGTGCACACCTTTTCGCCAAGCCTTTCGGGCCTCCGCACCAAAGAGTACGACTGCCCGAGGCCCTCCTTGCTCGCCACCAGGATGCTGCCTAGAAAAAAAACCAACAAGGCGTCCGCGGGCCCAACCGGGCCCAACTTCCATTTGATGTGTGTGGTTTCTGGAGGGTCCCATTTTTGAAACCAACAGAGAAAAGGGTGGATTTTGCACCTGCAAAACGCCAAAGAAGGTTGTTTCAGCAAGAGGCGGTTGAACTTGTTTCAAAGCCGGCTGGCCCCGGTTGCTTGTGGTGGGTATGGCAAAACAGGCTCTGGGTTCCATGAGGGTTGTGGGGGCCTTGCTGGGGACTGCCTGGACTTATCTTCACTATTGCACCCCATGACCCCGTTCTAATTGGTGGTTGATCAAAAGGGGGGTGACCATTATTGGGGAAACCACCACAAAAGATGACGAGATCACCACATGAAAAAGTCACCCATGGTCATTTGGGGGCTGAAAGGAATATAATGTTGACCTGGGAGTAATAAACCCCTGCTTATTAATATGGGGGTGCTTTTGGTTCTAGCGATTGGATAAAAAGAGTTTCTTGATCCTTCGTCAACATGAAGGACACCACACAAAAATGGACGAAAACACGACATGAGGAAAAACACACACACAACCACAGTTGCCCATGGGTCACTTTGGGGCCGACCGTTGATCAACCCCTAGGTCCTCCAGAGAGCTTAGAACAAGGGTACCCTTTCTGTAGTCTATTTTGGTAGGGGAACCCTCCCCCAAAAAAGAGTCACTACTAGGGGATCTAGACCCCCAACTCGTCCCCAAGGCACTTGCCTCGCGCCACGTCCAGCTGAAAGGCGCTGCGCAAGGCGCGCTCCACACTGGCGACGCCGCAGGGGCAGAGACCCTCCGGGCCTGCGGGGCAATGCCTGAAAGCTTGGTTGACGTTGGAAGGGGAGCAACTTTTTTTTTTAGCAGTTGAGCGACATGTTGAATTCAAATTTTAGCAGTAAGGGAGAAAAAAAACACTTTTGACCTTGGAAGTTGACGTTTAAGTCGGGATTTCCCACCAAACCACAATAAGCCAAAATGCAAAATGTTTCCCAACTACAACCATGAAGGGGGCTCGACCCATGGCTTCGGGCTCAAAGGGTACCCGGCGCTTTGCACACACGCACACACAAAGTGGTCCCCGGTGTGGGGGGGGGCGATCTTTCTAGCATCGTGTGTTCTCATTCAGAGTCCCAGCATATGTCAAGCACGTGTCTAACATGAATTGGCATATTATGAGCATAGTCCACTTACATTGCCCATGAGTCCAGCAAATGTCTAGCTAGCGTGTGTCTAAGCAAGTGGTGCGCGTAGCTTTTGCACAGACGTTGTACGTGGGCCATATTCCTTGCACATGTGTAGAGAATGTTTAGCGTATATCCACCATCTTTCAATATACGATCAGCGTGCATGCTGCATGCAAACATGTTTTCTTGCATAGAGTGAGTGCGTTTGCATGTACGTTGGTTTGCTACAACAGGCACATGTTGCAGATCCGATCCACTTACGCATGTGTCATTTCTTGTGGTACCCTTTTGGGTGCTGTTTTAAGCGAAACCCGAAAGGAAACCGCTCTTTTTGGGGTTCCCCTATGTCAGGAGACACACCCTTAAACACTAGCATCAAGCGCACACATCCATCGATTGCCAAACTGTTGAACAGCAACTCGCTCGTGGTGCTGCAGCGACAAACGCAAAAGAACATTCCGAACCCGAAGCTAGCTTTGACACTAGGCTATGCCCCAACCAACCAGTCCCCTGGCCGGGGCTAGGCCCCGTAGCCGGGGCTAGTAAAAAATAACAACACCGGTTCCCCCCCAGGCGCGATTTCAAAAAGACAATTGCCCCCCCCCCCCCAAGCGTGATTTCAAAAACAAGGGACCGAGGTGTCTTTTGCTTTGCAACCTCCAGTTGCTCACTCACTTGCTTGCTCGCTTCGTCTGTGAGAAAAACAAACAAACATGAGAATCTAAAATGAGGAACTTCAACATAAACACGGCGGATGTAAATTCAAAGAAAAAACACCGGTTCCCAGATTCAAATCTAAAAATCATACCTGTCACGACCCCATCTGAGTAATGACCACCTGGTACAAACATCGCCTTCTCCCAGACCGTACGCGGACTTCCACATTCGCCGAATTAAAGCCACCTGGCCCTTGGTTTAGCCACCCTTGTGGTTAGCTTTTAGGGGTTTAATTCGGAAAACCCATGAGTTGGGTTTTAAAATTCAAGTCCTAACATCCAAGCAGCCTGCACCAAAGGAATTGTTCAGATTTCGCCGTTCTTGGAGACCTCAAAGAACCGCCCCACCTCCGAGCTGCGAAACAACATAACAAAAACCGACGCGCGCCTGGCAGCGTGAGCAGCGCGGCGCCGGCGATCCTTCGGGACTTCGCCGGGTCGTTCCTCGGGCTGGGGCCAAGGTGATTGATGGGGGCTGGGGGGGAGGGAGGGGAGGGGGAGGGAGCCTAAATAAGCCCTTATTAAGCCCCTAATAAGGCCTTATTTGGCGCTTATTGGGGCTCCCTTCCCCCCATCCAAAATATATGTGGGGATCCTTGGACATGGTTTCTGTTGGTTAGCCTTTAAGAACTTTAGACGCCAGAACTGGCTGGCTCAAAACCCCGCTGAGCAAGAGGTCGTGAGACCATGTTATGCAGTACGCGAGGGAGTCCCACCGGGGTCACTGGCTGGTCCCCCGTGTTTTTTTTTTTTTTTTTTTTTTTTTTTAGATTATTATTATTAGTATTAGTATTATTATTATTATTATTATTATTATTATTATTATTATTATTATTATGATGATGATGATGATTATCATTATTATGATTATGATTATTATTATTGTTATTGTTTGTTATTATTATTATTAATAATATTATTATGATTATTATTATTATTATTATTATTATTATAATTATGATGATGATTATCATTATCATTATTATGATTATGATTATTATTATTATTGTTATTGTTTGTTATTATTATTATTATTAATAATATTATTATGATTATTATTATTATTATTATTATTGTTATTATTATTACTATTATTATTATTATTATCATTAAGACTATTATTATTGTTATTATCATTATCATTATCATTATCATTATTATTATTATTATTATTATTATTATTATTATTGTTATTGTTATTATTATTATTATTATTATTATTATTATTATTATTATTATTATTATTATTATTATTGTTATATATATATATACTCCACTTTTGGTGGCCATGGTGGTTCCAACAAACGGGAACTGGAGGAACCCTCAGGCTGCATTTCTTGGGCGGCAAGCCCCCGGCGCCGGCTGCCCTCAGGAGACCCAGGCATTCGCTCTCCAAGGGACCCACACTCCTTGGCGAGGCCCTCCAGATTTGAGAGGTTAGAGTAAGTTGGTACCCGACTTTTTTTCCGGTTTTGTCTATTTTAGTAGGGGAACTCTCCCCAAAAAGGGTAGAAGGGCACTACTGGGCGACCTAGTTGGGGTTTCCTTCTTTGAACGCGCCCCCCTGGGTCTGTGGCCGAAAATTGAGCGCCCCAGTTCCCATGTTGCCAACTGGTGGAACAAATCGACTAAACCCCGCATGAAGACTGCTGAAACAAGCTGACATGGAAGATACCGACAAAAAAACATTCTGAATCTTGGTTGCTGTAACGACCCCTCTGCAAAAGCTTTTCAACTTTTGTGGGTCATAGACGGAAAATCCGAGCTGTTGCAACCAAAAGTTAAGAAGTCCAAAGATCCATTTCCAAATACCCTCCCACCAATAAACATGGAACCTGACAGGGAGTCCCTTTCAAAGAACAATTGTCCCAACCAGGACCCCGGCGAAACGTCAGGTTCCATGCGAAAAGGGTGGGAGGGTAGCCCATAAAGACATTCGGAATGGCTGGACGTCCCAAAAACCGCTTGGCCTGAAACCCATAGATCTGCACTTCGACTTGCTTCTAATCGATCGATACATGGCCGGCTACAAAGAGAATCAGTTTAAATTCTGATTCATATTTAGAGACACCGGAAATATGGGTGTGAATTTGACTGCTAATATTTAGTCCACCTTCTAATTCAGGGTGTCATATGAATTCCACCCTACAATGTGGGTGCCACATTTTTTCCTATATATGTTTTCGGCCAATGTGTTGCAATGCATAATCATCCAAGGTTTGCAGCGAAGTTCCATACACAAGCCAGGGCTGGTTTTACTGAAACAGCGTCCTGCGCGTGAGAATTGCAAGCAAATTCCGGGCAAGAACAAAGCGCGAGCACCTTTGTCAACAATGTGTGTGTGTGTCGAAGCACGGGGCAGGAGCACCCATTTGAGAGTTTTCTCGGACTCAAAAAAGGATCCAAGGCAGTTTGTTTTCGTTTGTCTTCTTTTTGAAAACCCATACCAAAGGGACCCGGTCTGTAATTTTGACCCCATTTTAGCTTTTTGCCTTCTGCCCAAACGCCTTGATTTGTCATTTGCGTTTGCTTTCTTTGGCTGTGGCTTTTGAAGCCCCGAGGCCTATGCCGTCTCCTCCAAAACATTGTTTGCAAAGAGGTATCCGAATTGCCTAAAAAAGGGGTGGCGGGCAAAACTCCCATATAGGTCCTGACAAATCTTGACATGCAAGTAAACACAAAAGGTGCGAGTGACAACCATCACCGCATTGCTCATGCTGTACTCCTCGCTACCAACGGGGGCTTTCCCTGGCGAAAAGGAGCGTACACACCCCTTTGCTTCCTCACCATGAGGAACTAAATCAAACCCAGGTGCTGCTACGCAAAAACGTGGTTGCTGGACATGACTGCCCACCGAATTGGTGTCGACCAAATCTTTGGTGCCCACTAAAGTTCAGGCTTGCTTACTTCCTGGTTTTCTGGGGAGAACCGCCTGCTTGCCGGCAGGGGTCCAAACGTCAAAGTCTGGGTTACCTTGCGCTTCGAAGGCCATTTGTGCGAACCTCCACGCCAAAGGGATATGTGTCAAACTAGGGGGGCCCCAACCAATTTTGTGGTGTTTCTCGCTCGAATCGAGCCGAATTGGCTCACGTTTCCCAGGCCGGAGAGCCAGGTAGTTAGCGTAGGTGACTAGGGAAAAGAAGCGAGGCCCTCCAGATTTGAGAGGTTAGAGTAAGTTGGTACCCGAGTTTTTTTCGGTTTTGTCTATTTTAGCAGTTTGGAACCCTCCCCAAAAGAAAGAAACGGCAAGAGGGCACTACTGGGCGACCTTGAATAGCTGGCCGTGGTAAATGGGGGGAAAAAAACATCTAGACCAGCAAAACCCATCTATGCCCAACCAAACTACTAAGCTAAAAAGGACACCTATTAGAACAATGCTTCGGTTGATATAAGAAGTGTTTGACCGAGTTGCATCTAAAGTGGGGCCTCGTCCCGAGAAAACTGGGGGCTGAACCGCTGAACCCTAAGGCCTGCAAGACGAGACGCCCGCTCACCAGGAAGTCTGCGGGCACATTTCTCAGGTATCTCTGGAACCTCGCGGTTATGGGCGGTTGGTTCCTCCCCACTTCCCACTTCCGGAGTGGATTGGTCAGAAGTACCGAAGCTTTTGCTTGGTTGACGTTGGAACGGGAGCAAAAATTGAGAAAAAATAGCAGTGAGGTGGGGATTTCAACCACTAAACCACGATAAGCAAAAATGTAAGATGTTTCCCAACAACAACCATGTTGGTTTACCACAAAAAATGGTTTCCACCGTCTGCCCTTTTGAAAAAATGAAGTCTAGGAACTCAGGAAGTGAGACTTAAAGGGCCAGGTCACTTAAGAGTGTAGGCCTGGCTTTGGCTCAAATACTGTGGATGGACGAAATCCTGCACCACCTAAGAAACCCTGGAATGATGATTCCATTGTAAATACCATCAAACAATGGTTTCCCATGGTTTCAAAGTGGTGCAGGATTTCGTCCATCCACAGTACCATGGCCATAAGCTTCCCAAGTAGAAGGAAGGACCCTGCGACAACAACTTTCAAAGGGTTTCTCCTGCATCAGTATTCCATGAACAAATGGTCGGTTGTAGATGATCAGTTCAGGCGAACTCAAGCGTAGATTCTACAAATGGAAGTCTAGCGAGCCGCATTGCACCTTGAGAAAGGATCAAATGACCCTAACATACGCAAGCTTGGGGCTTGCCGGCCCTGAAAACCAAACCCATCGCAGGAGAGATGTGGCTTTTTCCCAAGCTTTATTCGGGATGCCTTTGGGTCTTTTGGAAGGAGGGGCTCCAAGAATCCAGGGCTGAGTGGTACGGAGGTTTTGGACGAATGTTGACCCCGGACTCATAACTGGGCGTGTTCCCCTCTAGTGTTAAACCCCCATTACAAGTAGGCACCCGGCCCGATCCAAATCAACCATTGGTATATTCATCTGCGGTTCCCTTGGGGTCCAAAAGAACGCCATTTGTTCAATGGAGAAATCATCCCTCCCATTAGCACCTGAGTCTTGCGATACCAACTCGGGACCCAGGCCAAAGGGATCGACCCAGGCCAAAAGGAGACCAACATAGACCGACTCTTTCAGCTTTTTTGGGTATGTGTCAAAATGAGGCGAGCTGACAAATCGTGTTTTTGGAGCTTTTGGGATTCCGTTTAAACCAAGCTGAAAAGGGTACCCTGAGAAACACACACACACACACCCACACACAGTTTTCCAGTCAAGTAGTTCTACAAGGACGCCCTTACCACTATGTGCTTGCGCTAGTCATGCTCGCTTTCCTTAAACACTACATGAAAAAAGGGAGCCCTTTAGCGGGGAACGCACAAAATACAAACTGAACAAAGGGCGCATCTCTGACAAAATGAGACAACCGACTGGATTGATAGTGCATAACCAGTCCAACAGGACCCGGAACGTAACTTCACTCATTCTCAAGTCACTTTGGGCGCCAATGGTTTACCTTCAACTCGCCATTTAGAGACTGACTTCGAGGATGTCACGAAAACCACCTGCTGAGTTGACTGCAAGGCCAGACAAGTTTGAGACCCAGAGCAAAATGATGCCCAGTTTCCTGGCAACCAAATCTTGAACGAACCCGCAACCCAGACTTTCCATATCAACCAAATTTCCACAGCCAAATTTCCCGCAACCCAAATTTCCCGCAACCCGCAACCCAGACTTTCCGCCCAGTTTCCACCGCCCAACCAAAAAAACGCCCCCGGCGGTTTCAACCGTTTCATCGGCCCCTTGAAACGGGTGTCCTTGCTTCCACAAAGGGTCGGCCATATTCCCGGGACCCGAAAAAATCAAAGGTTTGCTGCTGGGTTCCATTGAAACCATCGGCTTCCACTTTCGGGAACACTGCAAAAGGGAACTGGAGGACCTCTGAAGGAACCTTGGCCAAACATGGATGGGACCATTTCCTCACTCCATCGCTGGGACCCGCGCGTGTCCTCCAGCAGCAGCTCCAAACTCAGATCCTTCTCCCCCGACAAGCTCCGCAGCAAGGGCTCCGCAGCCGCACCCTCGAAAGGCTGGGCGAAAATACTCTCCCCACATGGCTATGTTTGTCTTTCGGTTGTTTCCGGTTGTTTTTACCGAGCACATGAAATGCCTGGCAAACATAAAGTTGATTGTAAGATCCTGTTGTGTTTTTAACTGGGGGATACAAAGCTTGATCGAGTTCCTGATGCATGAACTGGTTGGCAAACATAAAATGGTGATGAATACCTTGTGGGTAACGTAGACGCCAATTTGAGGGCTTACCTAGAAGAGTAACCGGAGATCGAGGTGTCCATGTGTGGACACATGCCCTACTTTGGGGTTTGCCTTTTTTGGTTCCAAAGCACAACCCAAGGAACTCAACTAAGGACAATAAGCCTTTCTTTTAGGCGTCCCCAGCACCCTCGCATATACCCTCGCCCTATTTCCGGAAAAACACCTTCACACTGAAGCACGTACTCAGGCCTCATTTGCAGGAAAGCAGGGAGGGGTTGAAGGATTGCCAAAACACACACTTCCAACAGTCGTGAACCTATGCATGTGGTGGGTGTTTCTCCAAACCGGGGCTCCCCTTGGTTGAGGGACACGAAAAGGAGCCTGAAGGAATGGGTCCAGCTCATTTCGAGAAACCGCGTATCCCTAAGACCCCGAGAGCCTATGTGAAGGTCTCGAGCCGGGCGGATGTCAGGGTCTCGGGAACGGGACCGTCAAATATACGCGTCTCAGAACACCGTTGACAGACTTGGCAGCGGCACGGCCCACGACGTGTAACTCTCTCAGCGCAGCGCAGCTCCGCGATCCAGTGGCTTTCAAAGGCTCCAATGATGCAGAACATTATCATCAGGCAGGCCCAACATGAAGAAATAGACATTCATGGGGGCGGGGGGGGGAGGGAGGGGGAGGTAGCCCAAATAAGCCCTTTAGCCTCTAATAAGGCCTTATTTGGGGCTTATTGGGGCTTCCTCCCCCCCCTCCCTCCCCCCCAGCCATGAGACATGGAAGCTCACGTGATTTGAACGCGCTTTAACTCGAGGCCTCATTACAAAGACCTCAGGGCCTTTTTTTGCCCCAGGAATTTTGTCATGTCTCCTTTTTCGCCGTGGCTGGCATGCGCCAGTGTTGCAGTGCGAAACCTGTCTGGAAAGAGGTTTAACGTCAAGCATGTCTGTCTCCATGCGGAAAAGTACAAAGCCTGGTGTGCCAATCGTGCGGTTTTTTGCTGATCAACAAACAGTTGTGCCACTGATATCTCTGTGATTGCTGGTGTGACGCGGTACTCACCTAATCACACAGACCGGGAGAGAGGAACTGACCTACCAGTGGAACCATCAACCTGAGGCTGTTATATTCAGGCCTTGGGCCCTCTGAGCCATCTAGTTCCGAGACCTTATCTTTTAAGTTGTCTAGCGATGCCTCAGCGCAGGTCGCGAACACGGCTCCTAAGGTATCCCCTACGAGAAGCCGAAGGGAACTTGACGCCTCCTTCTTAACGAAGGCATTGGAGTCAAAGGACCGGAAGAGGATGCGGCACCTCGGCGCTGTCAAGGTTGGTTTCGAGGAGAGCAACACTCTCTAAAAGATGTCAACACAAAACAGGCTGGGGCTGTCTAACTTCCTATGTCCTTTGCGGGTATGACATACATTCACCGTGGCTCATGTGCCCTGAGGATTTTTCAAGGTCCTGGCCAGAAGAACTCCCGCAATGGATGGATTGAAGCTTGCAAGCCAAGTCTGGTCGTAAGGCAGACATCCAAGTTGGAGAGAATCGCACAATACCATTGTTTACCCATTGACCCCCTTCTGGAACAAAACTGGACCTCATAAACTTTCAACCCCCAATGCTCTTGAGCGTCTCTTTACCGGCTTGAAGGTGACCCTAGGCGAACCTCGCGTTATCGCCCAGAACTTTGGAGTGAAGCGGTGAAGCGTTCAAAGCGCAGATCTGGTAGAGGGGTGCTGTAGCCTCTTCTGCGCTTCCCTGGTCTTTGACCCTTTTCCCGATTTGCGAGGAACCAGTCAGTTCCAAAAACAAGCCAGAAGTCCTCCTTGCGCTCTCCACATATCGCACCAAGTGACGCCTACAGAGTCCAAAGTAGAATCTTCAAAGGGGCCCCAAACGGCAACCATGCCCACCTTACATCCATGCGGTTCAGACGCCTCCGGCCAAGTCCTGCTGGGACGGTCTGGGAGTTGGCTAAACGGCCAACCGCGGTACAAAAACAAGATGCGATTCGGGGGGTTCTTTTTACACCTCCGCTGACCGGAACTTCTGAGACTTTTGCTTAGCCACGACTTTCGTGCCCGGCCCTCGGAAAGTGGGATCGGGGCTCAAAGCGCATCGCAACGCAAGCTCAAACCAGAGCTTGAACCCCCTGTACCCCCGAAACCCAACTTGAATGCAGACCCCACCGGAAAGAAACATCTAAAAACAACAAAACACACACAAAACAAACAAAAAAAAACAACAACATGCGAGTGGCTTCGGAGATCTTCAAGGCTTACATTGGCATGCTACGGGCGTGTCTTCTAAAGATGTTTGTATAGTAGCGGTAATAACGTTGGCTGGTTTTTCCTGGATGTTTCTTGTTTTTTCTGTTCAGAATGAACGCGAGTCAAAATCCCTCTCCCCCCGAATCCCATTTTCTGGTTGGACCGAAGAAGCATCGCTCCCGTGTCCCCAGGCGGTTCACGATGTCAGAAAAATAACCAACCCTCCATTTGCTTCAGCCCCCAGCGATTTTTGTTGGCTAAAAAAGGAAGAAACATTAGTGAAATCGATTGGGAAACACAACACATATTCATTTCAACAAATGGGATTCACTCCACCGCGGATTTTTGAAGCCCAAGAAGGACATGGATTTCCGTCAGCTCCGCCCGCAACGAACAGGAGGTCCGAGGCGCTTCAGGCCCGGCACTGGCTCCTGATCCAAAAGGGACACCATGTCTGGGTCAGAAAGTCTCACGATTGACCGAGTGGATGGCGCAAAAAAAACCACAAACTTTCGGTTTACCGCCAAAAAGGTCCAGACCCAAAAAGTACAACGTTGTGTGTTTACAACTAAAAAGAACAAGTACAAAGTTTGTTGTTTACCGCCAAAATGGTTGAAACCCAAAAAGTACAAAGATTTGTTTGTTTACCACTAACATGGTCCAAAACCCAAGAGTACAAAGTCCAGGAAATCGGGGTTTCTGGGAAGTATCCTCCCAACTACTAAAGATTCTGAGGAATGACGCGGCGAGGCGCCCTATGAAATGACCCTATCAGCCATGTTGGGAGTCCCATCATGGAACCTGACTGAGGGGTCCTGGTAAAGGGACCACTTTCCTTAAGGGACCATTTTTTCTGGTGGGTTGCATGGCAATGACAGGAGCGTACACGCCAACAAGAAGCTGGCACCTCCATATTTGTGGATCCCCAGCAAAGAATTCGGTGGCAAATTGGACGAATGTGGCAAGTGGCAAAAGAACTTGGCCCTCGGTGGACTGGAAAGGGGACACCTCACCAAAAAAAATAAGGGTAAATGAGCTTCGAGGGTAAGCGCAGGGAAGAACCGGAGTTCCCCGCTCTTTGGGCTCCAAAGTGGCGCAGGGCTGAAAAAATAGGAAGCGCTCCCTGGCAGGGGGTTTTGACCAACGCTCTAGCACTCTCCCGACCAACTTGGAAGTGTGCCGCGTGGAAGAATCCATTGTTTCGACTCTGATCTAACTCACCACTGCGGTCATCCAAAGTAGAATCCAATCCACAAAGGGCGCGAAGGGCGTTCGGGATTCAAATGTGAACACCTTTTCGTGGGGGGACCGATTTGTTGTAAACACCTTCTTGCTGTTGGGGCGGATCCATGATCCATGTGTGTACTTGGCTGGTCTGGGAGGGATTGCCAAGTGGTTAACCACGGTGAAAGGGCGGTATGTTTGGTTGGGACTGCAGCTGCTAACCAACCTTCATCCACCCAGGTTTTGATCACCTTTATCCACCCAGGTTTCGATCTCAGTTGGTCGAGCAACCAGGACCTAAGTCAAATATGTCGATACCTCGACTAAGCATGGAGCAAGTCAGAAAGCCAAAAAGGTCCAAATAAAAAGGGACGCCTCCCCCTTTTGAGAACGCCACCGCTGCAACTTATTTTATTCTGATTGTGTAGACTGACAAGCAGCTTCTCCTTGCGACTTGCCAGTCCACCGGTTTCCCTGCAGATTGAGCTGAGATTGCATTGACCATGCGGATCTGCAACTCTCCTGCTCCCCGTGCGCGTTCTGAGCTGGCCGTGCACCAAGGGCATGGCTTCCAGGCTGATTCCATGGGATCCCTTCCTCGGCCTTGGGTCCCGCCGCAGCTGCTGAAGTGCCAGCGCTGATGGCGAGCCATCGAGTCGAGGGCAGACATGTCCTCAAACATCATCTCGCCAAAAGGAAGCTCAGTTAGAAAAAGGCAACCAAAAGGAATACCTGAATATGTTGCCTACCCAAAAAATACATTGCATATGTTTGGAGACCCCGGTTTTTGTTGGTTGATTCAATCCTATGTTGGATTTATTCTAAACCCCTATGAAGCCAGGTACGAACCTTTGAACATGGCCAAGGGCACCGGTGCTCGTGGCGCTAGAGACGTGAGGGGGCAAATCTAAAAAACTGCAACGGGTTCACCCCCCCCAACCCCCAGGTTTCAGTAACTCACCCATGTTTTGAAGGGGTGAGTGCGGGTGGTTTACAAGCGCCCAAACGGTTAATTCTGATTGGGTGTTGGGGTCCTGCGCAACCAAACTTAGCCATCGTCGGAGTAAACCGTGAGTCTTTCATTTAGCGCCTTACTCCACTCACTTACATTGGACGACCGCCCCCCTCTCGTGAGTTCGGCCACCTCTACATTGTTTGCAATATTTTGGAACCCTCAAAAAGGTCTTTCTCTTGGTTTCCCTGCCAAGTACTGTCCCCCCCCCTTTTTCTTTTGGACCAAAACCAAAACCAAAACGAACAAAACAGCACCTGCTTTGATATTCCCAGGCGCGCGGAATGTCTTTTCCTCAAAAAGACCACTGTGCTCATACCTGACCTGCGATTCTTTTCCTTAAAACCAAAAAAAACCACCCGAAAATCAACCCATCCGCCCGGGCCCCCCCCCCCGCCTCCCGTACCTCGCAGGTGCTCAGAAGGTCCAGCACCACGTTCACCAGCTCCGAGGAGCCCAGCCTGGCGAAGGCTTCCCGCGTCGACCCCGCAGTGCTTCGTCTCGTCCAGTGAGGGCAAGAAACACAGTCAGGTGTCCTGTCCCAAAAAATCGGGGGAAACAAGCGGTTCTGCCAACATGTTTATGTCCACAACTGAGTCTGCCACAAAAGACGGGTAGTGTATGTCCGAAGAAGGAAGAGCTCGGTTTGCCAGGTGAGCGCGCAATAAATTGGGCAGAAGTGGTGACACTCCCACTAATATGGCACCCTAGTAGGGGCCCGGTCCCTTCAAGAAGAAACTGATCTTGGGGCTACCTCCCCACAGCTGCCATGCTTGCGAAAATAAGGGTACTTGAATGTACCAACTTAGGCTGTGACCACTGGGGTAAGTGCTGTTGCCTTTGTGACGATTGTTCGCTTCCAAATCTCAAATTGGTTGGGGGTGGTTCCCATTCCCCCTACAAGAGCCAGGGGTTCAAATCCCAACAGCTTGTCTGATAGAACCCCCCAGACTAGTCCCTCTGACCCTGTTTCGGGGAAGTCTGGCATACCTGAAAGAATCCTGCACTGAAAGGCAGTCCATGAAGTCCTTTTTCCGGTTAAAGAGCTCCCGAAATGATCAGGAATCGCTCCAATTCTTACGCTGGTAACCCACATCCGGCGATTAAAGACAACTGGACCGAGGATTTAAATCTCTGGCAACATGGGTGGCCCGTCTGTAATTTAGGGTACCCTTTTTTTGGGTGGCTGTAAAGGGAAGCCAAAAGGAAAACGAGGGCTCCCCGATGTCAAAGATGCTGGCAATGTCAGCCCCAGATATCTCAACCCCAGTCTATTCATAAGGGGGTGTCCTTGGTTTTAGTGCTTGGAATCCTCACTTTTGGAGGGGGAACACCTCCCCATCGGACAGGATTCATCCGGGGTCAACATGCATCGACCCACTCCCCGCACCCCGCCTGCCCAACAAATCCTCCGTGTCCGCCGCCCGCAGCACGGCGGCGCAAGCCGCTTGCGCCGCTTGCGCGCCGGGCTCGGAGCTTCGGGGGACCCTCACAGGTGCTGGAACCAGTGTACATCCGATTCAATCCAACCACCAAAATAAGAAGCCTAAAATGGGCGGTGAATTCACCTGCCCCAAATGGTACCATTGGGTTTGGCCCACAAACAGATCCGTTCTTTCTGAGGCTTCCTCAGGAAAAAAGGCCCAGCAGACTTGCAAGGCAACAAAAAGGGGGGAGCATCCAACTGTTTGGCTTTTTCCTCTTTTTTTTGGGACCCCCCACCAAAAAAAACAGTTGGAAACAGGGCGCCACTGGGCAACTGGGGTTCAGATTGAAAAGCCCTTTATTTCCGGAAGGTCAAAGGGGCCGCCGCCGGGGTCACAAAGACCAGGCATGTTCAAAGGCTGCAACTTGCCGGTGTCCATTGAAACTCGCAAGTTTGGAGGTTCAAAAACACGGAGGAACTTGGATTTACCGGGGGAGAAGGGAAAACCCATGTGAAAAGCCGGGGTTTCTCATGATTCGCGTGGCATCCAAATTGGACTCCTGGTACCTTTTGTTCGGTCGCTTTGGGACACCAATGCAAGATCCCACATAGGGCAAACTAATTCGAATGGGGGTGCGGGGCTTTGAAACCCGAGGAGTAACGCCAACAGTCACTAATGGATTTCCGTCCTGGTTTGGGATAAGCCATACCATACCCATGCTGTTGATGGACGAAATCCATTTAGCACCAACTAAGAACCCTGGAATGATTCAAGGGTGAATGGCTCCCCTGTAGATGGCTTAGCCAAATTACCAATGATTCCCCCCTAGCCATATTGTCAGTCAAGTCAGGACCATCTTTGTCTCCACTTTGAAGCAGAAAAAACACAAATTCTGGCACACCAAGGAGCAGCACCTCTTGCAGCGTGATCCGGGGCTTCCTGATATCGGAAGCGGTTCAACGCAAAGGCCCCAAGCCTGAAAACCCCGGAAAGGTTGGCAGGGAGCCTTCGAACTTCCTGAGTGGATTGGCCCAAACATCTAGGGGTAACTTCCCCATACTTTCTGGCGATCCTTCTTTCTAGCAAACCACCTTAAAAACCTTGGGGAAATGGCGATGGGTTTTTGAAAAGAACGATGGGCTGAAAAGAATGGACAAGGAATCAACCCCTAGACAAAAAAGTCTCAGACTTGTGGGTTACTGAAATGGTCCAAACCCAAAACACTTCAACGGCAGGACCTCAGGGAGTGCGGGAAAGGCATGGGAAAACCTTCCCGCACGAATCTATGTTGCCTTTCAGGAACTCCAGGCCGTTCCTGCTGGATGAGGTTCCATCTGATTGAAACGAAACCCAGGTGAAGAGCATGCCAAAGAAGGTTCAGGTTGGGGATGAGTTTTAGATCGCTGTGGTTGGAATCCACGAATCTGTGATACAAAAGGGCTTCCCAAAGACATTTTCCCCCCATGTAAGGCGGGGATTCCCAAAAGTATCACAGAAGTGGTTGGATAAACCCCGAGTGATCCCACAACCTTGGGCTACAGACTAGCTGCAAGATCACTTTCCTAGTCAAGGTGTAAGATCGTAAGAACCAGCTTCAGCTGGGAACCTTCGTTTGCAGGTCTTCAGAGAGAAAAAGGAAAAACCAACGCACCAACCACTTCGTTCGGTCGTAACCCTACCAGGGATCCTTACACTATACACCTGAACATTGCCTTGTTTTCTGGTGGTTTCCCCTTATTTTGGTGTTGAAAAAGCAACATGCTTCAAATGGTGGCAACATATTTTCTTATAAGGAGCCCTGCCTACCCACCCAGCTTCGACTCGGAGCCGGTCCGGAGCACCACCGTGGCGCTCACGGTCTCCATGGATTCGGCGCATGCAAACGGGAGGTGTGGCAACAGGTAAGGACACTCTGGCGACTTGGGAGCCATGGAGGGGCTTCAAACCATGGCGTGTACTGCTAGCAGTCAACAAAAATGTGGGTTGGAAGGGCAGCAAGAAATCCAATTTTAGCAGTTAAGTGGTGGGATTTCCCGCTAAACCACAATAAGCATGCAAGCATGTGAAATGATTCCCAACAACCACCATGATACATCCTCAAATGATGTCGACATGGACGACTTGTTTTCTCAGAACCTAGGTTGTGCCGTGTCCCTTGTGACCTGGAGAGTTGGCTTTGCGCGTCCAACAAGTCAAAAGAAATGTTCCTGGCGTGTGTAGGGAAACCACAGGCAACCATCAATGTGGGCGTGTGATTCGATGCTTTCGTGAATAGAGGCGTTCTGCGTGCAAAAGTTGCAGATGCAACCCAAGCTTTTGAGGGTGTCATGATTGCATGTTGCATGACGCTCTGCTCGGCTCTTGCACGCGATTCACGTGTCCCTCCAAAATGCCACTATCGCATTCTCGCATTGACACGCAGCTTTTGCCTGCAGCTTCGGTGTGCTGTTGTTTCCGGGGGCTTGAGGATGCAATCGCTGCAGGCACAAATGTGCAGTATGCAAGTCAAGTCAATTCTGAGCTTTCCCCCAAGAACATCTGGAGCTGCATTGTCTGATTCTGGCTAATTGAGGAAACAGTTATTTTTTGTTAAAAGAGCTTACACTGATATACCAAAAAAATATATTGCTTGTACAAAGTCCGGCCCCGAATCCGCACATGTTTCTTTCACACAAATCGCACTTCACCTACCAGAGTCTGTTTTGAGCAAGTGGCTCATTTGCTCAGCTGCTTACAACTTGCCCAGTCAACTCCCCAACCCACCTTTTTTGGGCCGCGCGAGGAAACCGCGCTAGAAAATCCCGGCTGGGGATCGTAGTGCCTGGCACAAAAGTGCTGGGAGGAATCAGGGCTTCAGGGCTGTATCCTTGCTTCTCTGGGAAAATAACGGGCCCCGTTTGAAGTGTCTTGGCCCTTCATTTTTCAAGGCAGTGGCCAAACAACACCCCTGAAAAAAATGCTGGTTGGCGTCACGGGGTCGACATCAAGGGGGACTTGTTGCTTGGGCGGGGGAGGGAATCTGGGTGAATTTCACGGGGTGTGTCTTTTTTCCGGGACCCCCCCCAAAAAAAAACAAAGAAGAAGCAACAAACACATCAAACATATATGTGTGGTTTTTGTTGTGGTCTCATATTAGCAAAAAAAAAGGGGCACCCTGTCTAAGTCACCCGGGAAGAAGGATCCGAATCTCCAGGGCAAGAACCATACCGAATGGTTGCATCACGGCCTAACTGGGCCTCCTGCGCAAGTATCTCGCCAAAGTTGAGGCGGGGTTCTCAAGTCAGTGTTCCGGTTCAAGGAACACATGGCTGTGAGTCAAAATTAGGTACCCAAAATGGAAGCCTGGCAAATAGAACCAATGACTAAAACCTGCGGTCGCCTGGTTTAATTTTGATCCATACCCAAATAGAGGGAAGCCAGGGTAGTCCAGGGGGCAAGAAGGTGGGACAAGTGTTCCAAAACCTGGCGGTGCTCCCTTTGTCCCAACTTGCTCCGGTTCCAGTAAGCCCCCGACCGGGCCATGGGTGGCTTGTGCACATCCCTTGCTTGCAAGGGAAACCCCGGGCCCCACATGGCTTTGTCTTCTTTTTCGACGTCCATCCTTTTTGGGGGCTTCAAAAAAAGACGCCAAAAGGGAAGCCACTTGTTTTTCCCCAACAGCTGCAAGTTTTGGGGTCTCAGCTCAGATAGGCTCCGGGGTGGTCCGGGGCGGCCCTGAGGTAAGGTTCCACGAGGGTTCCACCAGGGTTCCACCAGGGTTCCACGAGGGTTCCACGAGGTTCTGCGAGGGCTGCGGGGTGGTGCGAGCACTAAAAAGAGCACCGCATGCTGTTGGGGATCTCACCTAAGCTTATTATTTATTTTTTTGGGGGGGGTCTGCTAAGAAAGACACACGTCATTAGACACCCAAACCCTGACCCAATGACCAAAAACCCATTGAAGCCAGATCGAGATCCTGGCACAAGCCAAATCCCAATATAATGCCACAATGAGCTCCTCCGGGACCGAAATGGATTCCACGGATCTTTGCTCTGTGCTTGCAAGGTCTCATGGGAACTGAACATGAGGAGACATTCTGAGCGAAGATTCGCAGTCAGAAAGGTGTGAGGGCGAAGGCTCAGATCAGGAAGAAGAAGAGGAAGAGGCGTTCACTGAATGACCCTTTGTGCTTGAAACATGTTCGCCGGGATTGTGAACAGATCTTGGCCTCTGCATCTGCTTCCCTGTTGCCAGCTAGTTAGCGGCTGAAACCAATGCACATCCTCGTGCAATCTCCTGAAAACCAGCCTCATAGTTGTCTCAACTTCCCACTCATCAGGGAGTTTACTGCGCTCATGGGTACAGCGTTTACCATACAAAGCAGGGGTTTCTGGCCTTACCCGCCAAAAAATTGATCAATTTACCGGTTGCATTCACACCTTGGTAAAGAGGTCATGACCAAGGGCACAAGTAGACGGGTCCTAATCATCTCTGTACCCTTGATGTGGTTTCAAGGGACACCAACATGAAAGCCTACATTGTAAGGGCCCCCTATTTTTGACACCGCGTATAAACCTCGACACAAGTAGCACCAAAAGTTGACCCGGGGGCTCTCACAGGCAAGAGTTTCCTTTTGGCTTCCCTTATTAAAACAAAAAAAAGCTGGCAGAGGCCCCTTTGTCGAGGCGCCTTTTGCCGATGGCAAACTAAGCGCATCGTCTCCACAGAGTCGGGAAGGCCGATTAAATGCCTGCCGAGAGAAAATGGAGAGCCATGCCGAGGCCGAGTTTGACCAAATTTCAGCGGGGGGGTTGTCAGAGCTATTCTAGGGGTTGATTATTTTTCCATTCTTTTCAACCATCGTTCTTTTCAACACCAGCTGTTTCCCAAGGGGTTTGGGTGGTTTCTTAGAAAGAAGGATGCCTGGAAAGAATTGGGAAGGTACCCCTGGAGCTATAGTGAGTAACAATCAGATAGCATACCCAATCGATAGCTACACATTTTCTCATGCCGCAATTGGGGGGGTTCATGTAACTGAGTGTTACTCACTATACGGGCCCCTTCCTGCGTCTGAAAGCCGGCAACCCCCCTGACACCCACAAATGGTGGTTGGCCCTTTTGGGGTTGGAAAAAGTTGGATCCATCTTTGCGGGTAGGTCATTCGTAGCGAGGAACCGCCAAACAAAGAAACTAGGATTTAGAGGGTCGCACTGAAGAGCTGCACAGCTTCCCCAGGAGGACCGCATGATTCTGTCATATTCTGTCTCAGCCAACACAACCATCAATTGCAAACCCCCATGGCAACCTAATTCATCAAGCCTTCGCAAGTCGGAAAACGCTGCGAAAGAACGTGGAAATCCCAATGGAACGCAGCAAGCCTGCAGGCATGCAAACCCGAATGGAAAGAACGTAACATGATAAGCTTTGTGCAAAGCCATGATTGCAAACCCCGATGGAAACGCAGCATGAACAGAAGCTTTGCGCAAAGCCAAGCCTGCGCACAGGCAATCACCATGGAACGCAACATGTGAAGCTTCCCGCAAAGCTAAGCCTGCGCACCAACAACAAAGGGCAACAAGGACACCCAAAACGACACCAAAACGATGTAAGAAACATCCCTGAGAAAGCCCTTGACCATTCCTAAAGGAAAAGTTACTTCTCCCCAACTTGCGCCCTCAAACTTGCATGGAACGCAACAAGTGTAATGGGATATGGCATAAATCCCTAACTCCAAAAGTCTAAAAGCCTAAGTATATGGCTGGGAACCGCCAAAGAAAAACAGGAAGCATGGAAGAGCCCCGCCGGAGGTCTGGGAAGAGCGTGGCACAGATTATGGTACCAAAGGGCTACTCAAGGGCAAGGTGCACGTGGGACGCTTAGATACGGTCGGGGTGGTTCCCCTTTCAAAAGGGAACAGACATATTTTGGGGGAATTCCCCTGATTAGTAGGGCCCTCCAGATCGAATTTTGTCCGAGGCAAGCATCATGCCAGGATATCCCAGACTCTGTACTGTAAGGGCCTGCATAAGAATCGGGTGCGCGGGGTAGTAAAGTATATAAATATCCTCATCATCACTGGAAAATCAGGAAAAAAACACCGGTTGGTATGTGTCAAAAAAGGGAACCTTCAGTTGGTTATCCACCACCCCAAAAGGGCAACAAGCCTCAAACAACACACACACAAAGACACCGTTGCCAGGCAGGGCCCCTGATTCTTCACCTTTGGTTCGTCGATCCCTTGCTCAAGCTCAAGTGGGACGTCTCAAGACCAGCTCCACATGTTCGTGTCTCTCAAAAAGGGACCGCCAAAAATACGTGGTTTCTGCTTGGTTTCCCTCTACAACCAACAAACAAAGTGGTACCAACAAAAAAAAAACAGACCCAAATGTCAAGATAAGTGGTTTCTGCTTGGTTTCCCTTTCCAACAAACAAAACGCCAGTGGTACCAACTCAACAAAAGACAGACCCAAACGTCAAGTCGGAACCGCCAAGGGGCGGTGTCGTGCGTCCCGAGCGACCCACCGACCCACTCAATTCGCGGTCGCCTCGAGGCTTGGGGAAGGCAAGGCGGGCGCGGGCGGGCGCCACACAGCCGTCCTCGAAGTGCAGGGGCTCACAAACCTGCGGCCAAACCAACGAGGCGCCCAAGAAGAGAAATGCGAGCCCCCCGGAATGCGTTTTTTGGACGGATTTGGGGACACCCCTTTCAAACAAAAAAATCAACAGGTCTGCTGAATCCGAGGTAGCTCTATCCTTCTCACAAACCTGGCGAAGACCCGAATTGATGCTGGGCTGTCCGGTTTCGGATCCGCTAGAAGCTTCACTTTTAGTTTGGCTAAATGGAAGCACCTACTGAAAAGCTAAAAGCCGAAAAGGATGGCTGGGAACCACCAAGGATTGTATTTCTGTGTGCTTCTTCGAAAGTGGAAAAATGTGGACATATTTCCAGTATAGTGATGGACTCCATTTAAAACCAACAGTAGTGATGGAGTCCCTGTTGCGAAAACTCGGGGCACCCAGGAAAAGCGAGCTCTGGATCTTTACAAGGGGACGCCCCATGAATCAACCAGACCTTTAACCCTCTGTCATGGACCCCTAAAAAGGGCGAACCGGGGAGGGGGCACGTAACTCCCTTATTAAGCCCTCAAGGCCTTAATAAGGGCTTGTCCTTGGCTTATCCTGCGCTTTTATAACGGGATAGCCCCCCTAGGGCCCTGACCTGGAGTCCCACTGAGACACCCCCTATAAAAGTCAAGCAGCGGGTCTGCTTCATACGCGAGAAACCAAACTGATTCTCAGACAGATGGGCCATGCTCCAAAACCGATCGGTAGTAACATGGCCCAAGCCCAGAAAAGGCGGTGAAGGCAGCCATTGGTTGAAGTGGCTCAAATGCCCGGATTTCCGAAAGAAAGGGCATCCAAATGGTTGGTTGGTTGAGTTTAAAGGGGAGCCCTTCCCAAAACAAGGAGCAAAACGGGTGCAACTGGGCAACTGGGCAACTGGGCGGAGGCCCCCCAATTTGGGAGGGTCTACTTGTGGTCTGCCTTCAAAACGAACTCGCTGGTGCTCTCAAGAAACATTGAATGGGGGTCGTGTGGCACTTGGAAAACATGCTTTGTCAAGATGGGAGCAAGCTAGCAGGAATTATGTTGGTCCTTAGATTAGGGGTGCTTCTCAACATTACGGACCAATTCAGGCGTTTCGTTGAAACTATTCCGAAAGGGGACCTGTCTTTTGATTAAAAACAAAAACAAAACAAACAAAAACGCATGGGTGTGTGCTTTTTCGAGGCTGCCGCGCTGCCCTTTTTTGGCGTTGGGTTAAATTCGTAGCCAACAGGAAAACCACCCATTTCGGGTTGAGCCAGAAAGATTTGGATTTTCACTTGGTTTTCCGAGACAAAGTCTAAAAGATCAAAAGACAACAAAACCACGTGCTTACGTATAATATAGCCCAACATCTAATTACTCTCCAGGGAGGGAAGTAGCTCGTTTCACTTGCAAACGTGTCAACGGCCCGGGCATTTTCGCCCTGGGGTTCCACGAGAGACACACGAAGAGCTTGTACCAACTGGTTGAGCAAGCTGCCTGGTTTATTAATCCTCCCAAGATGTGATCTTTTCTCCCCAAGCTGTCGGGATATCTGAGGTACCTTCTTTCCAACGTCATGCCGTTGAGCTTTGACGGTTCCAAGGGCCGTGCAGGGCACCTGGATGCACACGAAAAGAGGCGAATCCCAAAAAAGCATCAGACATCCTGCTGTGACTATGTGTTTGTTTTTCCCGAGAAAATGAACAGAACCAGAAAACTAGAACTACCTGCAGAAACCCCTTCCGGCCTTGGGAGCTGCGAAATCGGACACGGACTCCTGGCCCTGAGCGAGGGAGATTCGCCGTCAACCCGAACGCGCGCGCATGTGTGTGTGTGTGTGTGCTTCTGGAGGGAACCCTTTACAAGGAATGGTATGAGACAAACCTAAGTGGTTTTGGCTGTTTTTATTGGTAATGTATGTAGCCACCGGTTCAAGGGCATTTGCGGTGGGGGGGGCCTTACTGCGGCAAATGAGGAGCACTTGCCTGGTGTGACCATCTCTGCTTGACACCAGGTTGTCTTGGATCTTTGTGCGGCTTTGAGTCTTGTCCGACACCTGCCATGATGTATGTAGTCTTCATAGGATAATTCACCAGTCAACTGGTCATCCAACTCAATGTCGCGATCCACCAGTTCAGAAGTCAACCTCGCTGGGGTTGAGACTCTTGTGCAGTCAACCATCTCAAGGATGGTAGGATCAGCTGGCTGCAGGTGCCTTCGCCCAATTGTTCCTCTCGGTCGCGCATCTGCAATGCATGGAGGGTTTTGTTGGATCTGGATTGATCGTTTGTTTCTTGGGCAAGGGTCATCGAAACAAAGACCTACATGGGTCAAAGTTTCCAAGGTGAATACCGAGCAACATGGGATCCGTCATGATACCCATGATTGCCAGCCTGCATCCCTATTGCTACTGAATGTCACTTTCAAGAGGACCCCCTTCGCCACTCACTCCACAAGACATACCTCATTTGCCACCACGATGGCTTCAGATGGCCTTCGGTTTCCCTTCAAAAGAAGGAGGCAACAACCACATTGTCCCAGAGGAACCCAGAATAGAGGTCGTTCGTGTATTTTTTTTTCCTTCAAGACACCCCAAACACGGTACCTTCAAAATAACCACATTCGGGCTCATTTCAGGTATAGTTTTTGGAGGTACGGATGCCCCAATATAAGGCATTGTGTACCCCTTGCATACATACCTGCACCCACCGTGGGCACTTTTTTTGCGACAGTCCGCCTAAATGGGTCCGTTTCTCGGAAAAGCGTACGTGGCAGCAAAAAACAGTCCGTTTCTTAGGTCGTCCTTCCTTTGCAATCCCATATAGAGAACAGTCCCCTCTTGCGTCGCCCCGCTTCAACTAACATGCTTTGGCCGAAACATTGAGATCTATCTCATTTTTAGCTGCCTCCATATAGAAACTTACACTTGCACAGGCCCTTACGTGTCAAAACCGTTTGCGGGAAGCCTTGCGGCTTTGCCAACAGCATCCTCATTTGCTTCGCAGCTATATATGACAAGTGCGCAAGAACAATCCATCAAGGAGCTGCTGAGGTCTTGTTAGCCTGCACGAAATGAAGGCAACAAAGCTGTTATTTACAAACGGCCCGCCGCAGACACCGGTCCAAATAGTCTCTGTGGGCCACGCTCGATGCTCGTATTTCACAATGCTTTCCCAAAACTCTTGACGGATGCACATAGCTTTGCGTATTTGAGTCTAAAGCTTTTAAGGGAAGCAGGAAACAGTTGCGGGGACTTTCAGCTAAGGAGCTTTGCCCATGGCTTGAGTTCTCACAGATTCCGCACGCGACAAGGCAGACAAGAAATCTCGACAATGAACACAGCGGGTGAATCATAGCTTTGCACAATCTAGGTTCCCACGACCACAAGACCCGTAGACGCCAGGTATTATTGGAATCCGTTGTTTTCCGTCCGTTTCCCGTCTTCTTCCGTCCGTTTCCCGCCGTGTCCCGTCTGTTTTTGTGTTTTCAAAGTCAGACAAGCTTTGCAACATGCTGCATGAACACATCAGAGGGGGCAAAATAATTAGGTCCGCCTTGCCCGGCCGATCTCAAAACGTTGGTGGATATTGAGCTCCTTGCAGCCGCTGGCAAATCGACCTACACCAGTTTATGCGCATCTGAGTGAATGTTCTGGTAGCCCTTCTGGTTGAACATGTTCAGACATCGTTCGCTCGTGGCTACTGGGGCGGGCCACAAGAAATCCTCTCCCGTAGAAGCAACGCCCACCCCAAGTCTTGCGTTTGACAAGTTCTTTCCAGGGGCAATTGGGAAGTCGTCAAATCTTGCATGGGGGAGAGATGTTGGCATGCAATACTCTGTTGTGACAACATGTGACAACGTGTGAGGCCCTGCTTACTCGATTTGCGCTATAGAACCTTTGGACTGCAGCTGGCACAAAGCATTGATGCAGAATGGCACCAGGGGGTGCACCTGAAAGGGTTTTGCTAGAAAACAAGTGGAGCAGGCAGGCAGTTGGTCAAAAGCTTTGCAACGGAAGCATGCAAAGACATAGCCTCCGCAAACTAGCTGTAAAGAAAGAACAACAACTGCCTCAATTCCTCCAAAACTGTTTTCCGTCCGTGGGTTCTCAAAAGAGTCAGCTGACGGAAATTTGTGGCACAGACGGAAATGTCCATGCTTTAGGAAGGTCCAGGTATATAACCTCACCGCCGCATCTAGACGAAGCTTCATCTGCCTCGTCCGCCGGCTCCCACCTCAGTCGGGGCAAGAGTCGCCCGAGTGCTGGTGCCCCCAGATGGCCAGATGGGCTCCGTTGTCAAAAGTACCCCTTGTGCAACTTAAGGTCAACTTCGGAATAGTCCGGAGGACTGCACCAATCAGGGTGGCTCCATTTGTTTAGTACGCCACATGGGGTGGGTACCCGCCCGCAACAAGGTTTGTGGACAGCGTGTGCCAGAAGCGTGTTGAACTCCCTGGCTGAGTGGATGGCCCAAAAAAAGTCCAAACTTGATATTTACCACTAAAACGGTCTTCCCAAAAAGTTTAAAGTTCATGAACTCAGGAAGTGAGTGAATCTATTTGCAAAAGGGATCTTCCAGAGGCCTGGACCAACTAGCTCCCGCGTCTACGCAGGCGACATCCGGTGTGCTTTGTATTTGGCAGTGCGTGCAGTACTGAGTTGGTGCTGGTGGCAGGAATCGGTCCTGAAACTGTCCGGAACACGGAGATGACATCAGCACCCAAATAGGCCAAGCATTATAACACTGGGCAACTGTGCCAGGTCGTATATATATATATATATATATACATATATACTATATATATATACATATACATGGTACCCCCCCCATCACAATTCACTAGTATGTGCAGTGTGTTGTGCCCATATGTATATATATATATATATACACATATATATATATATGTATTATGAGCTTGAGCTACCTTTCTACACGGTATTGTGCAAGAGAAGCACTGACAATCCAGGTGTCCAAGTGCGAAAGGTAGATATGAGGTGGCCAGGGGCGCTCCGAAGACCCTGTGACATTGGCAGTTTTCACGGCTGCAAAGGGGCGTTTGGCGGCAATCTGTAGATTCAATATGTCCATCATTCAAAATTCGATCATCGCCCTCCCACTCCAACTGGCACCTGTGGGGAGGTAGCTGGAAGATGAATGTCCTTTTGAAGGGACCCCTTGTCCCTGTCAGTTGCCATGTTGGTGGGAGGGAGGGTAAGTCATTAAAAAATATACCTCATGGTGTTTGTGTCTCGCCTTTGCAACTCCGAATTGGTGGAATCACTCGTTCTTCAAAAAGTCGGTCGCGGCTCAGCTTCCGGCCGCATCGCTCCTCGCGGGCCCTTCGGGAGCAAGAAGGGGCCGCGCATTGCCCGGGCGTCCTGGCAGCAACGCAAGCGGGCAAAGCTGCTCAGGATGGTCCTTTTCTGGCTGGTGCTCAGCAGGTGTCCTTTCAGGGAATCCCTAGGTTAATTCCCTCATTCCCTGCTGAGCACCAGCAAGTTCTAACTCCTGGACAACATTGCTCAATCCAAGCGGACACCAGTATACATGTTAAGTAATGGATTTGACTTTACCATTTTCCATGTCCTACCGTTTGGAATGGTGCTTTTTTTTCCCGGTAGCCCTAAACGAACGAAACCCGCCTGCAACGGTGGATTCCAGCCTTAGGCGTCAAAACAGGGGAACCCAACCACTGGTTTTCCCGCAAACCAAGCGAGCAAGTAAGAAACGACATGATCCTTGCGAGTTGGCATGGCTGTTCAGTTGGTCAGCAAGAACAGGATGTTCGCCTTCCTTGCCAGCATGAACAGAACAGAACAGAAGCAAGCAAATCACCCGCATCGCGAAAAGGAAAGTGAAGGAACACCTTCTGCTTCAAGGAGATAAACAACTACCAGTCTAGTGCTACCTCCCCATTCTTTCCAGGCATCCGAATCTTTCTAGAAAACCTCCGGAAACCTGGGGAAACGGATCCGGTTTTGGAAAAGAACCATGATTGGACAACCCTTAGAACCATGTGCTTACAGAACTCCTGGTAGCTCCGAGTTTGGCTCCCTCTCTTAGAGCAATTTGTGTAAAAAACCCAGCTCCGAGTCCGGCCAAGCGGGTCAAGTTGTCCGACTACGAAGGGAATAACCGGACGACCAGGGTAGTTTACCCTCTTTCCAACAATCATGGAAGTGCACAAAGAAAAAAAACCCAAAAGGAAAATCGTCTTCCAAAGCCCTCCTGTCAACTTCCATGATTGTTGGAGGGAGGGTCATCCTTAGCTTGGCTCCCCCTTCCAACCGCCAGCAGGAAACGCCGAGCTCAACTTGACACACCGGCGCCGTAGAAAAACGCCCCTCCAAGCCTTTGGGGGCAGAAGTCGTAGCTTTGCCGAAGCCTTTGGTTGCAACTTCGTTTCAAGATATGTACAAATATATATATATATATTATAAATGTGTATATATATATGTATTATAAATGTGTATATATATATATATATGTACTCCTTGCCTGTGATATCAAAGTGGTTGATTTGCATCCGGACGCCTAGTCCAGGTGACTCTTGAGAGAAGCACTCAAAGCAAGACGGCCAGTTGCTGCCTCATTTCCCACAGGTACCTTCAAAAGAGGCACGCCCATGCAGCAAATAAACGGCCAGCCTAGACCTTGCAGAGAAATCACCTATTGTGGATGGACGAAGTCTTTTCGCACCACCTAAGAAACCTTGGTTTCTGATGACCCCCCTGTAAATACCAACAATGGTATCAACCATGGCTTCATTTCGTGGTGCGAGCGGATTTTGTCCAATTACTGCATGTTGATGCCTTTTTAGTGTACTTTCATCTGCTGCAAGCGGAAACCATTGGGAAATCACGAGTATTGGAGAGTTTCTCATGGGCCTAATCAGTGTGGGAGTTGCAAAGGTCTTACATAACGACTTCTCCAGTTCCTGGGGGAATACAACGAATCCCCAGCACAGTTGGATAAACCCAGCCCTCTGTCCCTGCTTAACTTGCTGGCCAGCAAGTGAATAAACCTTAGAACACGCGGAGTTCGCCTGGGGCCCCGCAGAGTCATTTCCTCCATGCCACCGTTTCCAGTGGTCCTCGCGCACTGCGCAGCACTCGTCCACCGGCACGAGCGTTTGGATCGCCTGCAAAGAAAAGATGCGTAGGAATCAGGGTAAAGGATAGACCGTAAGAGCCTAAACTATCTGCAAAAAATACAGTAATTCCAAAAGCTGATTTAAGGGATCCCCAAGCAACTCGCTATAAACCATCTATGCTCCGGATTTGTATGAGGAGCTTCCCGGGCTTGTCTTTGATCGGATTAGCCAGGAGCGATGGCTTACAAGGACCTGTTACAAGGGAAACCAAGCAGTCCCGATGGCCATTGCGTACCAGCAGGGAAGGCGAGCCGGAGGGACTTTGTTTTTCTGCTCTCAGAGGCAGGCTTCCTCTCTCAAGGGCAGTCTCCAACGCTCCTGTATGGTTATGCCGCCCGAGGGCCACGCATCTTGCTCGTTCCCTGCAAGGATGTCGGGATTGTGACGTGCACCGTTCGTCAGGACCCCAAAATAGATGCAATCATGCGCAACCTCTGGCCACAGCTGCTTGTAGCCTCGGCCAGCCTCTCGGTCCAACGCAATCCTGCGTTCAAGGACGTCTTCGTCCGCGCCTCGTCCACCATCATTGATGGATTTGGACCTGGTAGTCGCCACTTCCCGCAGCTGGGCATCCGAAGCTCCAACAACCCCGCACCATGACTGAATGGGGAGGTTGCAATGCAACACATCGTTCGGAGAATGCAAATGTTCTCAGAATTCTCAAATTGGGTGCCAAAAAGGAAGGGTGGTTCTGCCATATTTTCATCATGGTGTGCTGGAAGGGGGAGAAGTGTACCGAAGCTTCTTGGTATGTTCTTCTTGTGGTTGTAGAGAAAAACTTTGAGGAAAGGGAAGTTTCATGCCCCTTTTGGCCCAATGGGAATTAGTCAAATAGTCAGGGACCCTTGCACATGAACATGGGTCTTTCCACTTTTGAGGTTTGTTTGTGGGGAAGCAAAAACTGTCACGTAAACGTATTCCTACTAGGGCGCCGGGAAGATAAAGGCTTGGAGGAAAAAACCTTCACGACTCTTCCCAAGTTATGGTATGAACTCTTTAGCGCACCTCGCCAGAACACTCCGTCAAATTTGGCTTGCAAGCGGCCACTCCTCTGCGCCTACAATGTTGGGTTTCGCTAATGAAAGCCAACAACATTATTCCTGCAACTACGACAAGTTTACCCCTTTCAGCGAATCTCTCAATTTCCAACCTACACCAGTCAAACCCCAACACATCACCCGCTGTCTTTGTTGGCACGCCTAGCCCCAACCAAAATCCCACTAGCCGGCCTTTTCGTGGCAGGGTCACTAGGCGTCAACATAGTAGGGGGACGTCAAGAAATAGGGGTCCCTGGACGTAGTGGCCAGAATCAAGGGAGAATCAAGGGCGGGCTCATATTATGTGATGTAAATTTCAGAGCGGGCCAGGGGGTGACGTCACGTAACGTTGCCGCGCATAGAGGCTTTTTCTATGGGGTCACAGTGCTTTCCAATAGCAAGGCCTGCAGTGGTGGAAGGCTAGATTGTCGCAAAATCCGAAACCACAGACTGCACGCCCCTTCCCGCCCAGACAGCGCACAGATTGTCAGTCCCACTGACAACCTTGACTTCCTATTTTGTTGTAAACAGTTCAGGGCTGCCAGAAACAGCGTCCTGCCCTAACATGTGGAACTTGGCCCCAAAGAAAAAAGAACTGCCCTTACTGCTACATGTCGGCCTACCAACATTGCAGGTGCTTCTGCACACTAGCATGTGGAAATGCTCGCTTTTTAGAATATGCCGATATATTCAACCAATTCCCTTTGGAATTCGCCCCGGCAAAGCGCCAGAGTTATGTGATGGATCCCTGCTCCTGAGTTTCGGGGAAATGTTTCCAGGCACCTTGAGCCCGGGCTTCTCGGACGGAACTCCTTTTGCGCCTTCACTGCGAGGGCTGTGGAGCATATGTAGCCTGGGTTGCCCAAAACCATCCGAGCCAAAACCGTGAGGGTCCAATGAGGCTTAGGGTTACAAACAAACGGTTTAGAAGGTTTTTATAGGTTTAGAAGGTCCCTATAGGTTTAAAAGGTCCCGATAGGTTTAGAAGGTCCCTATAGGTGAAAAAGGTCCCGATAGGATTAGAAGGTCCCTATAGGTGAAAAAGGTCCCTCGACTTTTGCAATCAACGCAAGCAGCTGTTCCTAAGAACCAAGCAAAAGATTCCCAAGGAAACAAAAGGTGCGGGGGGGCTTCGTTCCCCCCAGCGCTGGTTGCCTTCCAAACGGAGTCCGGAGCTCCCGCTATCATGGTCCCAGTCTGTCCGCGGACTAGCAGGAAATGATCGTCCGACTGTAGATGCCGACAGTCAATGGCTTAGAAAAAATAGCCCAAAGCTATGGAATTCACCGCAATTTCCCCTACAAACATGGAACCTGCGCGCTGCACAGGGGTCCCCTCGAAAGGAAAATGATCTTATGCTTGGTGGGTAGGAACCGTACTGTGCAACCAGGTTCTGCTGTGCAAGCCTCAGCACCGGCACTACAAAATCAAACCTTGATGAAGCCTTCATTTGGAAACCAAGGCAAGGTGAGGGCGGTGGAATCTTACGATTTTTGGGTGTGCTAGTTTTCAGGGTGCCCTTGTTTCTACAGGTTCATTCCCCGCTCTTTTCAACTCTCGTCCTTCAAGAACTTTCTGCGTAATTCCAATCTGCTTAAGTCTCCTGGACAAAACATATTTCCAGCAGTGATAGATTCCCTTTAAAGCCAACGGGGGAAATATAACATGTTCATTTCAGCAAATGGAAGCAATAGGGATTTGGCCCCCCGATTCACTTGCAGCCAAAGCACCTGTAGACAACAACTCTACAACCCTGTATGGTTGCATTGCTTGTATTTTTCGGTTGCAGCCCCCTACTAAAAGAGAACAGAACCGCCCCCCCGCCCCCCCCCCAAAAAAAAAAAAAAAAACAACAACACAACAACAACAACAACGCAAAAACTTGTCGAGAACAGTGCAGACAAGGAACACTTTTGGATCATGACATTTCAGAACCCAAAGTCCATCGGCCGCCTTTGAACCGAGAAGATGGCTTCTTTCCGAACAGCGTTTGCTTTCGAACACCATCCAAACCGGACAAAAAAAGCTGTTGCCCGAATGGACAAGGGCAATTTAGGTTGTTGCGGAAATCGGGCTGGTTTCCCAATGAATCGAGCAAGTTGACAGAGAATGAGGACATTTCGACCACGAACCTCATACATGTCTGTGTTGTGCGATTAAACCCCCGCTTTTGTGTTTTTCGACAACGCACCTGTGTTTTGTGGTTGAAACCCCACTATTGTTTGCTTTTGAAGCCAAACCAAAAGGATACCGTTGCCATCTGTTTGGCCCCTCCTTGCTTTCCACTTGCCACTTGCGGTTTCGGTGCCAACAAGGAAACATGACCGCAAACAATCTCAACTCACGGGCATAGTTCCTTTTCGTTCGAACTCCCGTGGTGGTGCTAAAGGGAAACCAAAGAGAAATAGCACCTTTTTGTGTGTTCCCTGATTTCAAGTCACGCCCAACTGTGTATTTGATTGCTCATGTGTCGAAATAGGGTGACCTGTGGAACAACAGGTGGTGTCTGTGCCCTGTGGATTCCCCTTCAAGCATGGTGAAAAGGTGAGAAGGGAACCCTCAAACAAATTATATACACACACACCGATTCTTTTCCATCGTTCCTTCCCTTCGGATGGGCTCATGCTTGGAAGTCACTGGAAGTTGAAACGACTTTTTTGAGACACCATGCTTGGAAGTTACCACTTCAATATGCGACCTGCGACCCGAATGCTTCGCAGCAGCTGGACTGGGCTGCGGTGACGATCTTGCGCCCGCAGATCTGGCCTGGCGCGACGTCTCTCCCCCTTTCGGGCCCACACGTGCTTTGTCACACCTAAAATTAGAGAATCAAACCCCAAAACCGATACACAAAAATGCGATTGGAAAATAGACGAATTGCCACTTCCAATTCTTCCGGCAAACAACAACACAGCACTTTAGGAGCATTTCTTTCAAAGGACGCCGTCAACTTCAGCTTCAAAGGGTAATACAAACCAAAGGCAATGCCCGTTTTGGTGGAATTGTGTTCACTGTTTGGAAGGGATTCGTCTTTGGCAATGCAAAGCCCGAAGGATTTGCCCCGTACCGTGTTTTGCTGCCACCATCCCCCCCCCCAATGGCTCCCATCATCGGTTCGGGATTAAAAAGCCCAAGGCTAAGCCCAGTGAGGCCCCAAACGTAAGATGTGCAGTGGCAACCCCATCTGTGGTGTTTTGTGGGTGTGTTTCCTGATATCTTGTCCAAGCAAATCCCCTCATTGCCGTACTTTGACTTCTTTCGGCACTCCCCCGCGCGGAATTCCGCACAAATCCATAGTTGGGAGTGTCTCCTACTTACCTTCATGTACAGTCCACTTGCTGCCATCCCAGGGTGAAATATAAAGGTCCTAAGAGGGCTGATCAAAGAAGCAATCCGAGCCGTAGCGGACTTCAGAGGAAAATGCGCATTTGTCCGGCTGCCATGCCCGGCGTCTTTCGGTCACAAAGTAAAATTTCAACTTGCAGACCGCTTGAGGATGTACTGTTCACCGCTCACTAGATTAAACGGCAGCAACACTAGGGAGGTCATCAAACACGCACACGCACAACCTTGCTGCCCGAAAGACCTGATAATAAATGCTCAACCTTTTCGGAAACCTGACTACAGATAAACACAAACAAACTAGGTAAATATAAGGTGAGACAAAGCTGGTTCGCCTTGGGTGCAAATGAGGAAAGATACGTATTACTGATTGCCGGCTCGCCGTTTTCAGGAGTGGAGCCAGGCATTTTCACCTGCAAATCTTGGACCACTTGCAACAAGTGGATTTGTTCTTGCTGGCAAGCGGCGGAAATTACATCATTGTCCAAAGGGTCAAACGATTTGCCCAGCCAAAACAACGAGCGGCCGAGCCAAGTTTGGCATGTCAAGAGAAGTACGGGATTGGCGGTTTCAGGCGCTTTCCAAGACCAACGGCCCTTCACTTCTCGCCCCCTTACAATACGGCTCGCCCTTTCAATCCGCGAATCGGCTCGCGCTTGCCTCCGTCCACACGCAGGATCTCGTACTCCCAGCGACGCCGGTACACCAAGTTGCCGGACTCTTCGAAGAATCCTGAAACATGGGAAGGCCCACACACAAGTCTTTGGACGCTAGTCAGACCAGGGGTCTTGCGAAAAAGAGCAAGCAACCAACACCACCAAAAGGTGCTCAAAACGGGGGTCTGTCTTTTTAACTCGCTGCCATTTCGCCCCCAGATGGGTAATACCAATGCGGGACTCCCGTCCTTATGACAACGGTGTCACTTGTTCATAATGCCCTTGGTATCACATAAAAGTGAGCGTAGAACCCAACTTGCCACAACCATGGTTAGCGCCCTTCAAAACTGAAGCTGGACCCTTTGATGAGCTCATCATGTGGCAGTACAAGGTGACCACCTTCTTGGGACCTGGACTAAAAATTGCCCACACAGGGAGCACAAGGTTAAAAGGTCGATTTGCTTTGGACGTCGATTCGCTTGAAAGACTGAGCTCATGAATGGCAACCCTTCAGAACGTCCGTAAGGGAGGGCAACTTGCCAGTCACAAACCGGACGGTGAGGAATCGTGCTAAAGGACCTTCATCATGGGCACTCGCTCGTGTCACCAGAGCTCGTGATGTTTTACGAGTGGGATTCCACTTTTGGCTTGCCTCAAAGTGAATCAAAACAATACTGTGGATGGACGAAATCCATTTCGCACCAGCTAAGAAGCACTGGCTTCTGATGATTCCCCTGCAAACAGCAACACACGTTCTGGTTTCAAGCATGGTTTCTTCGTGGTGCGAATTGGATTTCGTCCATCCATGGGCTGCTTAGCACCTAGACGCCGCCACTGGGCTTTGGCGGAGAAAAAAAGGAGGGTCATATGGGCGCCCGAAACCCGTTGACTGTTGGTTCTAGCATGAAGGCTGACATAGGCCTTACTATATCCCCCCAGGAAAACCAGGCAAGGGATAGCTCCGGTGTGTCGTTTTTTTTTTTCAAGATAAACACGGCCGGTGTAAATCAAAAAGACAAAAAAATCCGCTTCCGCCTTGCGGGATCACCCCAACATGGCCAATAGCGAGCGCTGCTCATAGGGTTCCGGCCGTGAGAGTTGCTCCTCGAAACCCGCTCCCCTTGGCTCACTTCCATTGACACCGGCTGCGGAAACCCTCCATTTGGTCCTTCCACACTGACTGCCAATGTCAAGGTATTTGGTGTTTTTTTAGACTAATTTGGTGTTTTCACATGTGTTTAAAGTGTGTTTGCCTCCCAGTTTAGGGGCAATGATTAAGCAGCCTCGCGAACCCTTTTCATGGGTTTGCATCAAAGTAGGGAAACCTCCAAAAAGGGAGGTTTCTATTCAGTTTCCCTTTGAAACTGTCCAAACAAGACTATCAAAAAAGACACACCCACATTCTGGCTATTCATTCTTATCCACCCCCCCAAAAAGCAAAGAAAAAACGGACCCTGGACCTCCGATGTACAACACATTTGGTTGGCACTAGCAGATTTGAATCTAAACCGGCAACCCTCCAGGAAAAAAATGACACCGAACAATGAGGTACGAAAAAACCGCTGAACAACTATTGCTACCCATATGCTCCAGATTTGCGCGTCCAAAGGAACTGAACCTCAAACTGTGAGCAGTTCGAGAAGAGATCCTCGCTTCCGTTGGCCAAAAGTCGCAACCTGCTGCTTGCCGACATGGAACCCCGCGTCCCAAACAGGAACCTGCGGATATCCCTTGCCCAGCTTGCCCATCCTGAGTAGCTCTTTCGCTTCCAAGCCTCCGCGAAAGTCGCGAAGGCCGGCTTTAGTACAGAATCCTTCAACAGGGATCCTTACATTCTACACCTGAACATTGCAACTTGTTTTCTGGTGGTTTCCCTTCATTTTGGCGTTGAAAAAGTTCATGTTTCACATGCGCCAGCAAAATGAATTTCTTTTAAGGAGCCCTGTTCAAATAGATAGCTTGGGGGGGGGGGAGACCGTGGGAGACCTTGGGAGGTTGGAAGGCCTCGAATTTGGAGTGTCAGTATCATCAGGTTGGCACCTTATGACATCAGCAAACGAACTACAAAAAGAAGAAGCCCACATCTGAGGCCCGGCCCAACTTTCCTTGGACAGTTGTCTAAACATCTAGGGGACACTTCCATTTCCATTCTTTCCAGGGATCCGAATCTTTCCAGAAAACCATCAGAACCCCAGGAGAAACGGATCCAGTTTTTAAAAAGAACGATGTTTGAAAATAATGGGGAATCAACCCCTACAAACATGATCCTTTTCCGAGGGTTGATTTCCAAAAGGATCACATGCAAACTCTGACGTGCTCCCATGAAGAATCATAGCCATACGGGCTGTCTCCAAGCGAGCAAAAGTACGTTCCTATTCTTCCAAGGGCTGTTCCCTACAACAACAGGACGCACATCCATGTGTCGGAATGCGGGGCCGCAAGCAATGCCTGGGTTTTCCTGTTGGTTTCCCTTTAAATCTCCTTCAACCCCGAAAACCGAAAAGGGCAGGAGTCCCCTTTCTCTTCACACATCGTTCTGCTTAGAAACCACCAACATTTCCCCAGGGATTCCCCCACTTTCTTCAATGGATTCAAATCCCTGAACAGAACGGGAAGGTACAAGTGCGGCTTGGCTCCCGTCAAGTCTCAAAAGCAACGATTCACATACATAAACACATTAAACAACAGCGCTTCCCAAGTCATTCCAAGCGCTACCTTGTCTGCTTTCCCAATGGAATGGCGAGCGCGACGCTCGCGAAACTTTGCGAACACACAGGTCTGTCAAACGCACGAGTGGGGGGTCAAACTCCTGACCCCCCACCCCAACCTCATATTTCAGGGAAGGTTTTTTCCAACATATGTTGTCCAGCCCTGTCAGGCTTCGGATTCAACATGTTGAAACAAGACTCTAAGCATGTTGTTAAACATGTCACTTGTGACAAAAGGTTGGCCCAATGGATTATCCTTTTGGACCGTAAGGTTTACAGCTGCATGTCATCAATATGGCTGTACAGCAGTACTTTACACTCCCCCACTCGAACGTGTGTGGGTCTTTTTTGTCAAAAATGGGGGGGGGGGGGGCTTCAAACCGCAAAGTTGCCTTCATACCCCAAAGTAATTTTGTCAAAAAAAATTGGGGGGGGGGGGGCTTCAATCCAACCCTTCCCAAAACAGAAAAAAGAAGCCCAATCAAGGCCCATGTTCGCTCTCGAGCGGTCGCGCGCTCATTCGCCTGGGCATCCACCAGTGCCTCTGGCAGCTGGCGGAACCCGATTTCCTCCGGCCGCTCCGAAAGGTCACAGCGACATGCGGCGGATGGTGGAAATCGAAATCCGATTCGCACCAGGGGCAAAAAAAAGAAAGAAAGTGGGAAGCCATTGCTTGTTGGCATTTACGAGGGGAAATTGATTATTCCATGGGTTCCTATGGGATAAGAAATGGATTTCGTCCATCGTAGGACCTTTTGGACATCGCTTTTCACCTGCAGCGCTTCCAGGTAGCACAATAAATAATCAGGGTCTGTTACCTACCCAGTCTTTGTTTCACGTGCGTTTCTCCAGATTAGGACTGTGATTCGTGGGAAAATGGGGGGGCCGAAAGGCAACGGTATTTATTTGAGAAACACCCACTGGACCTTTCGGAGAATAGTGGTCCCGGCGCTTCCAGGCACCACAGTTGCCATGATACCCTACCCATCAGCCTTTCTTCGCGGTTGTCTAAACATAGACCCCAAAATGAAAATCCTCCGAAGGCTTGCCACTGAAAACCGACCAAATAGGGGAACCCTCAAAACAAAACAGAACCCGCCTGTAGATACCCAAAATGGAACCCTGATTAATGGACCCGGGTTTTGATTGTGACCCACTTTGTTGATGGTGTCATCAAATGTCTCTCTTTTGCGTTTCCGCCAGCTTTCCACACTCCACTCGATGCCATCATGTCCAACCTTATCCTTTGAAGTCCTCTCACGATTCTTTTTTCAGCTTCAAATGATTCCTTCTCCGGCCATGAACCTCTCGCCGCTAAAGTATGCGCATAGAGGAGAAAAGATGCCACTTCAGTGCCAATGTATTTGCCATCAGGAGTGCTCAGACTGCGATGCAGTATCCCATGTAGCCGTTTCGCTTGTATTATGTACTCCTCATCCCGCAACAAAGGCCTGTAAGTAACTGCTCCCGCGCAGTGCTGGCCTTCTCCGCATCCAAGCAGGCCATGTACAATGATGTGGCTATCGCTCGTCCTTCTCCCCAGGCATGCTTCCTTGCAATGCTCACCATCTCCAAACCGTGCGATGTGGCATCACTTTGTCTGCTTTTGAGCGTTCGCACCAGTGTATCAGGCCGTATTCTCTGTTGATGTCTATAAGACGAGAGCAAATCTGTTCGGATGCCGTCGTCCAATGCACCATCAAAAGGCTTCTGCTCCTTAGCTTTGGTATGCACATCAAAAACCTACTTCTCATATGTGTTCCTCAACCACGTTTTCCTCAACACATTTGATGAAATTGGCAAATCATCACATAGATCCAGTGGAATGTCTTCTCCGGCATCCAAACGTTCTAATACGGCAGCCTAACTCGCTATCTGGTTCCAATGTGAATGCCATGTGGGTTCCGTCGACAACCCCCCGGATTTCTCAAAAAGTTGCCAGTCTAAAGATCCGACCCAGTGGCAGCCAAGATTTTGAAAACAAAAACACCTGGGACTTTCTTATTAAAAAAATCGTGGTCACCCCAGCGCAGCCGAGGGGCCTTCCTGTTGCTGAGGGGTCTGTTCCCTGTGACCTTCGGAGGCTCGCCTTGAAGACCCAAGGGGATGAGTGAGCTGGCTGTTTTCTGCTCTAGAAAGAAGTGAAAGAACCTTCTGGAGAAACATCAACCATTGTTTTGCATGTTTGTTTTTGGTCTGCTGGGCTGTGGGTCAAGATACCCGAAATGAAACCCTGGTTTTTTGGACCCGGGTTTTGATGGTGACCCATTTAGTTCTTAAGGATCCATACCAGCCCAAACGAAGGTGGCTTTTGACCATGGCACGTTTGGTCTGTTTCTGCAACGAGACTGTTTTCTTTTGGTGAACCCCCACAAATGATTGGTTTCCTTTTGGTTTCCCTTTAAAAACCAACCAAATGGTGGTTCCCCCAGAGAAAAACAAAACACACACACACATAATTGGGGAACCCTCAAGAAGCAACAGACCTGCTTGGTCTCTTACTTGGCTCATATGTGTTTTTCTCAAATTTGGGGACCCCCCTCCAGGTGGTTTCCTTTTGGTTTCTTATTAAAACCGTCCACGTACAAAGGGGTTCCCTATTTTGAGGGAAACTCCCACGTGAGCCAAGCAAAAACCAAGTGGGTCTGTTGCTTTTGGAGGCTTCCCCATTTAGTTGTGCTTCTTTTCTCTTTCGGGAGAACCACCATTTAGGCGTTGCTTTTTTTCTTGCGGGGGGAAGGAACCACCATTTAGGCGTCCGTGTCTTTCTCTTTTTTTTTGGGGTGGAAACCCCACCATTTCGGTGACGTGTTTTTCTTCTAGGGTCTCCGACCCGCGAATCCGCGTCGGACAAACGGCGATCCGCGCGCCTCCGAAGTCGGCGGCTCTTTGAGCTGCGCCAAACCTTCGACGCCAAGGGCCGCTGCCTCGCCGATCCGGCTCGATCCGCTTCGATCGCTTGGAGCCGATCTCGTGGGAGGGTCGCCGAAAGCAAATACCCACTAGCAGTTTCCCATAGAACCAGCAAATACCCTCCTCACATGCTGTGGATGGCTGAAATCGAAATCCTGCAACATAGCAGTTTGACACAGCACCTGTGGATCAATGGGTACCTGGAAGATCAGTTTCCTCTTGGATAAAAAATGCCAGGTGCCCTGCCATGCTAGTCCCCCACTCACATACTGTGCATGGTTGAAATCAAATCCAGTTCGCACCACGAAATGAAACCATGGGTAACCGTTTGTTGTTGGTAAGAACAAGGGAATCGTCATTCCAGGGTTTCTTAGGTGTTGCAGGTTTTCGTCTATCACCAGTGGCACCCGTGGGACGGTACTTGGAAGATAAATTTCCTCTTGAAAAAAGACTGTCAGGTGCCATGTTTGCAGAAGGGAGGATGATGTGTTTTATTAGGAGGGGAGTTTTGAAAGACACAAAATTCAGGAATCCATGAGGCTGATCAATCTTGCTGGTGCGATAAGTAGGGAATGACAACGAGTCCGGGTGTTGTGTCCTTTATTTGGGGGGGGGGGGGGGGCGTCTTCTTTTAGGAGGCCCAACAAAAATCAGTGTTCTTTTTGGTTTCCCAAACCCGCACAAACAGGGTATCCTCAACAAAAAGATAGATCCACGTGGAATGATTTGGAATGACGACTGATTCAAAAAAGACAGGTTCCTTCCCAGCCCTCTTCATTGACTGAGAAGCAGCAAGTTACCATATAGCAGGGTGGAAGTAGTATGAGTTCTCTCGGTGAGAGGGGGGGGATGATGAAACCAACATTGTGCCAACTAGGTTCAACCAACTGTAAAGTTGTTGCATTTGGGTTCCTCAAAACTTGAGGAGCGGGTGAACGAAAGCTAGCAGTTGTTGCATGAGATGGGTCGGTGACAGAGTGGATTCATAGGTAGCTTGTGTACAACGAGAGGCCCGGCAAGATTCGTAGGATGCGTCACGCAAACGCACATGGTGGCGTGGCAAACCTTGAAAAATGAAAACAACGAGAGGCGTCAGAAGCTGTCTTAAAGCACCTCTGGGTTCTGCATGCAGCGTGTGCAAAGATTCTTGCGAGGTGGTTTACCGAGAAGACTGAGGTCTCAAGTGAACAAGCTGAATCGGTGGAACATGTAAAAGTTCGTAGCACCAAGTCCAAAACGGGCAAACCGAGACTGCTGAACACTGAGCCACTGCCCGGGGGGGGGGGGATGGACCAGGGAGGAATCGAGCCTGAGACCCGGGGGGGGGGGAGGGGGGGGGGGTCTAAATAATTGATATTTTTCAATCTTTTCGGCTCAAATAATTGAAAAAATCAATCTTTCGGCATTTGAGCCCCTTACCTTGCTTACGCAAGGAGAAACTTCAGCTAGCTAAAGCTAGCTTTCGTGATTTGTTTGGGTCACACTTTCCCTTGAAACCCAGGGTACCTTGTTGTGGACTCAGAGTTAGCTTGGCAAAGCTGTTGCTACCAGTGGGGTGTCACCTTTTTCGTTGGACATCGACTTCCGGAACCAAACATTTTCTGACTCTGTTCCATATTGAGTCTAGCCAGATCATGTTTTTGGAGGAGACACCTGTGCAGTCGGACGGACGCTGTCTGTCAGGCGCCTCGTCGTAGAAGAGGCGGAAGGCGTCTTCCAGCGCTTGCCTGAGCGCCCAAAACCAGTCTGGATTCGTGCGGTATAAGGTTTATAGGCTTTAATACTGTGGATGGACGAAATCCTGCACCACCTAAGGAACCCTGCAATGATGATTCCCCCTGTAAATACCAATCAAACATGGTGTCTCATGGTTTCTTAGGTGGTGCGAAATGGATTTCGTTCATCCACAGTATAACCCCAAATAAACCAGGTGGGTGTTTCTGAAAAGGAAACCAAAAGGAACCCCTTGCCATTTTAGGCACCACCCAGGTCGTAGAACCACGTACCGAGTTGGCAGCGCTGATGAACTCACCCCACGTGTCAGAATCGGATCCGGATACAACAACCGGATCCAAGCTTGTCTTTTAGTTTCTCCGTCCAAACCGAGTGAAACTGGGAACCCTCCAGAAACACCCACCCATGCAGTGAATATATGTTTGCTACCAAGTGGCAGAATGCTAAGGTCATGTGCCAACATGGATTACAACAATCAACTGATAGGGTGCCATCAAACGTCGACAGCCGACCTGCAAACCTTGCCCGGTGCGGGCAAGCAAAAGGGTGTGAACATGGCCGGACAAAGCTGGCCTTATCAGAAATGGACATCTCACGGGGATGCTGCCAAAATGGGCTTCGGTTTCCTTTTGATTCCCCTTGAAAAGAAGACACAAAAGGGTACCAACCCAACAGAACACCCTCCGCATCAGCCCTAACGAATCACATGATGTCAGAACACGCAAATTAACACGAGATCAACGGTGGGGGTACTTTCCCAACAAAACCTTCCGAAAGTGGGCGATTTGTTGGTGGGCCTGCCATGCAAATCTGCAGGAGAGTACCCTGAATTTCCGGCAAGGTACAATGCATGGGAAACAAGCTAGTCGCTGAACTTCCAGCACACAGAGCGTCAGTCATCCTGCCTAGTTGGATGGGGAGCCTGTAGTATGGGTGATGGCCCCTGTACAGAACCATTGCACCCCCCATACAACGAGTCCCACTTCTGGAGTCCCCGAAGAATTGCCGCGGCATGATCAGAAGGGACTACTGCGTGTAGTTATCTAGCCCCTGATTTATTCATCTCCAAAAAACGACAGCAAAACAATCAAACAAAAAAAAACAAAAACCCAAGAACCATCAGGATCTCCTGCATTTCCCCATCTCTCCATCTCCCCGTGTCCCATTTCCTCGCTTGCCGCGCGACCGCCGCCAAGCAGGGCAACGCTCCTGGCCGGAAAAGTTTCCCCTTCCCAGTCTCCAAATGGGCTGGCTAGGAACTTGAATGTCCATTGGGCCTGCTGACTCCAACTGGAAATACATTTCTGTTGACGATTTTTCCCGCGACTGAAGAAATGGGGTTGCCATGGAACCTGACCACGGTAAAAAAGATACCCTCCAAAGGGGTGCTGATTTTGAAGGCAACCCAACCCCCTCCAACAAAAGTTGGCAAAAGGAATTGCACCACAGCATGTCTGGGTGGTTGTTAGAGCAGGAGCAAAAACTACCTGAGACAGGGTTGCTTCTGTATCCCGTTCAAACACCTCCCACCACCAAGACTCAATGACATTTCAGCTTCCAGATTGGTACCATCAAGAAACCCTTGGGTCCCGAACATCCCTGCGCAGTGTCTTGGGGGCGACCCACAAGGCCGTTTTTTCCGTTGACTTTCCCTAAGGCGGGCCTCCGTTCCCAGCAGCTCCAGCACGCTCTGCAAGTCCCGATCTCGCCGCGCTCGGCACCACGACAGGATCCTCGGGACTCGGATCGAGAGCCCGGGCACAGTTCCGTCGGCGGGTTTTTGTCGAAAGGGGGGTTTACCACGTCGACACTGGCAACAAGCTGGGATTTCTCAATGTTGATGTGGGGCCTGATTCGCTGTGTTTCAGGCATGCCTTTCATTTTGAATCAGTTTGGGAAAGCTCATCTGAATTTATGACCCTTTGATCAATCTGGCCCCAACACCTGAGATTCATGAGCCCATAGCCCAAACATCGGGTGTTCAGTTAGCCTCCTGTAGATTGACGGAGTAGGTCGGAAGCCATTCGCTATAATATTCCAGGGACCTACCACCGCGCCACCCAAAAAAGCATAAACTCCCAAGGTTTGTAGAGGCCAACCTTGCAGCAGAACGAGGGGCGTAGGGCCCTGAAATAGTCGTCCAACAGAGCGGATTGGCAGCCTCTTTCGGATACGCAGACCTGTGATTCACAACTCTGGTTGACCCAGTGGGAAAACAAGGGGCAAGGGCACTGATGTTTGTACTGTTTGAAGATAAACAGACTCATAACAAGGACGAAGAAGGAATTGCACCACTGGAGGTCTGGGTTGATTCGACGACCGAATGTCATGAAAGACATGCCCTTCGCCACTTTCGGAAAGTGAAACTGAAGCCCGCTTTCCCACAACGGAAAGCCCTTGTTCTGACAACAAAACGTGAGGAATGGACAGTAGATTGGACTGAGTTCCCCAAAACGGGGGCTTCCCCCAAGAGGCGCTTCCTCTACACATTGTTCCACTACGTCCTCCAGTAGAGAGGTTAGAATAAGGGTACCAACTTGTTTCTGTAGTCTATCTGAGTAGAGGAGCCCTCCCCCAAAAAAGAAACGGTAGAATGGCACCACTGGGGCACCTAGTCCATGTTCATTTGCTGAGTAAAGATCCAACCCTCAGTTGCCCAAAGGACCCAGAAAAAAAGGTTCACCCTTTGGCGGCCACTAAAAATGGAGGCGGAGAATGCCGCAAGGTCGATCCGCTTCGGATAAAGAACCCATACGTAAGTGTTCAACTGCCCCCCGCCTACTTGAAGCCCCCCAAAATTCCCCTTCAGACATGTGTTAGTGGACCAAAAAATCACGAGGCGACTTCCGCTGGGTGATTGCCCTATGATCATGGCGCGACTTCTCGTCTTTTTTTTTATCGGAAGCTTGAGGGGAAAAAGGTCGGGGGAAAAAAGCAAACACCTGCATCCCAGACACTGGCGATAAGCCTCGGCCACGGGTCTCAGCTCCCCCAAAGCCAGGCTCTCCTTCAGCCAAAGAGAAGCTGGAGCAAGACTTGGCCAACCCGTGGCCCAGGCGATTCCGCCAAAGGGGCCGGCCAAGGGCCCCCCAATCCCAGTAAGGGCCAATGTAGACCAACAATGCCGATGGGGGCTCATAGTGCTCCTTTCTTGGGGGGTCCCCTCTTTGGGGGGGTTGTGACAACTATGGGGGAAAACAGTTCTGACTCTGTAACTCATGTCGATCCGGACGCGGGGTTGCCCGAGACAGACGGGTGGAAACAAACAGGGAAACCTGCTTTGGTAGCGTTTACAGGGGGGATTCAAGGATTCAATGTTTATATTGTTTAAGAGGCAACTTCGAAGCTCGCGAACATAATAGCATTATGTTCGCGCTATCTCAATGTTGCCGAGGCACTCAAAGTAGAACATCAGGATGGTCATCGAGCAAAATCACTGGCTGTTTTTCAACAGAAACTTGTTATTCAGTGCAGTGGAAACGTCACAAAACACTGCAAGGGCTCATGTGAAATGGACCCGGCTTTGGAAACACTGCAAAACAAGTACAAATGCAAGTCCCCTGCAAGTTGACAAAGTGAGAGTCGTTTATTTTTGTGGCATGCTTCATGAACATCATCGCCGAGATTATTGGATCTACCCAGATGCTCGTGGGCCCTCCTAGGGAGGGTCCGGGGCCCTCCTAGGGAGGGACCGGCCTGTTTGTCAGATACGGGGCCCTCGTGGGCCCCCAGTGCAATCCGGACGGGATGGATGGAACCAAAATGGCCTCGAATCACACCTCCTACGGTTATCCGACGGTTATCCGACGCCGGGCCCTCGTAGACACTCAGTTTTGGGGGCCCAGGCCCAATTATCCGACGGTCATCCGACGGCTATCCGACGGCCATCCGACAGTTATCCGACGGCTATCCGACGGCCATCCGACGGTTATCCGACGGTTATCCGATGGTAATCTGAAGCTTGTTTGCAGCCCAAAGGTCCAACAAAAAACCAGCCCGAAACCTCGTACAACCGCGAGGGCCCGCCAGGGCCCAAGGGCCCGAAACATGAGTTGGGAGCGTCTGGGAGTAGAGTTTCTATTTTGTTTGTTGTGTGTGGCTGCCATGCTTTTTGTGCAGTTGGATTTTTTCTAGGCCTGTCACTGGCCTGCTTGGTCGGGCTGCTGATTCTCTTGAAGTGGGATGTTTGTAGTAGGGCTGTGTGGATGTCGCTTTCTTGGCGCAGTTGCTTTTCTTCAGGGCCTGTCGCTGGCCTGCTTGGTCCGGCTGCTGCTTTTCGTGAAGCAATATTTTTCCGAAGGGCTTCTAGTTTGCTTGTTCTGTGTGGCTGCCGTTTTTTTTTGGTTGTTGTGCAGTTGGTTCTTTTCAAGGCCTGTCACTGGCTTGCTTGGTCTGCCTGCTGCTTTTCGTGAAGTGTTTTGTTTCCATTGGGTTTCTTTGTGGCTGCCGCTTTGTTTCTCAGTTGGGTTTTTCTTCAGGGCCTGTCACTGGCCTGCTTGGTCGGCCTGCTGCTTTTCGTGATGTTTTTCAGTATAGAGATTATTGGTTTTTGCCTGCTGTCTGTGGCTGCCGTTTTTTGGTGAAGCTGGATTTGTTTCAGGGCCTGTCACTGGCCTGCTCGGTCGGGCTGGTGATTTTAGCGAAGTGGTATTTGTTGTAGGGCTTCGAATTTGCTTGTTGTGTTTGAATGCCACTTTTTTGGTGCAGTTGGATTTTGTTCAGGGCCTGTCACTGGCCTGCCTGGTCGGCCTGCTGCTTTTTGTGAAGTGGGATTTTTCCCGAGAGCTTCTAGTTTGCTTGTTGCGTGTGGCTGCCGCGTTCTTTTTTGTGTAGTTGTTGTTTTTATAGGGGCCTGTCACTGGCTTGCTTGGTCGGGCTGCTGCTTTTCGTCGCTTTTCGTGAAGTTGGATTTGTTTAGTCAAGCTTCTAATTTGCTTGTTGTGTGTGGCTGCCATGTTTTTTGTGCAGTTGGATTTTTGCTCAGGGCCTGTCACTGGCCTGCTTGCTTGGGCTGCTGCTTTTCGTGAAGTTGGATTTATTTAGTAGAGCTTCCAATTTGCTTGTTGTGCGTGGCTGCCATGCTTCTTGTGCATGCTGTCACTGGCCTGCTTAGTCAAGCTGCTAATTTTCGTGAAGTTGGATTTTTGTAGTAGGACTTCTAATTTGCTTTTTGTGTGTGGATGCCGCTTTTTTGGTGCAGTTGTTTTTGTTTCAGGGCCTGTCGCTGGCCTGCTTGGTCGGGCTGCTGCTTTTCGCGGTCTTGTCTTTTTTAGTACAGCTGCTGCTTTGTTTGTTGTGTGTGGCTGCCATTTTTTGTTGTTGCGCAGTTGGATTTTGTTCAGGGCCTGTCACTGAAGCGCCTGGTCTGCTGTTTTTCGTAAAGTTTTTTTGATTTTTTAAGTAAGAGTTGCTAATTGCTTGTTGTCCGCGGCTGCCGTTTTTTTGTTCAGGGTCTGTTGCTGGCCTGCTTGGTTGGGCTGCTGCTTTTCGCAAAGTGCTTTTTTGCTGGTTTCTAATTTGGTTGTTGTCTTTGCCTGCCTGTTTTCTGCAGATGTTGTTGGCAATCTTGCTTGCGAAGAGCTGTTGCCTCACGCAGGGTGGTGGGCGGTGGGCGGTGGGCGGTAGGCAGGACATGCGGGTCATCAGGCGGGCCATGCAGGCCACAGCCGGACCAAGCAGGCCAGCGACAGGCCCTGAAGAAAAGCAACTGCGCCAAGAAAGCGACATCCACACAGCCCTACTACAAACATCCCACTTCAAGAGAATCAGCAGCCCGACCAAGCAGGCCAGTGACAGGCCTAGAAAAAATCCAACTGCACAAAAAGCATGGCAGCCACACACAACAAACAAAATAGAAACTCTACTCCCAGACGCTCCCAACTCATGTTTCGGGCCCTTGGGCCCTGGCGGGCCCTCGCGGTCGTAGGAGGTTTCGGGCTGGTTTTTTGTTGGGGGCCTTGGGCTGCAAACAGGCTTCGGATTACCATCGGATATCCGTCGGATAACCGTCGGATGGTCCGTCGGATAGCCGTCGGATGGCCGTCGGATGGCCGTCGGATAGCCGTCGGATAACCGTCGGATAATTGGGCCGGGGCCCCCAAAACTGAGGGTCTACGAGGGCCCGGCGTCGGATACCGTCGGATAGCGTCGGATAACCGTCGGATAACCGTCGGATAGCCGTCGGATAGCCGTCGGATAACCGTCGGATAGCCGTCGGATAGGGGAGGTGTGATTCGAGGCCATTTTGGTCGATCAGCGATCCATTGATCCCGTCCGGATTGCACTACGGGCCCACAAGGCCCCGTATCCGACAAACAGGCGGGTCCTTTCAGGAGGGAGGGCCCCGGACCCTCCCTAGGAAACCCCAACCAAGCAGGCCAGCGACAGGCCCTCCAACTGCGTAAAAAAACGGCATTTGAACTGTTTGAACTCCCCGTGTAAAGAAACATCACTTTTGGGACCCGGGATTTTGAATTTTTGAATTGTTTGAACTCTCCAAGTACAGAAACATCACGTTGGGGACCCAGGATTTTGAATTTTTTGAATTCCCCAAGTACAGAAACATCACGTTGGGGAACCAGGATTTTGAACTTTTTGAATTCCCCAAGTAAAGAAACATCACTTTGGGGTTTGAACTTTTTGAACTCCCCAAGTAAAGAACATCACTTTCGGGACCCGGGATTTTGAACTCCCCAAGTAAAGGAACACCCGGCGGAACATCACTTTCGGGACCCGGGATTTTGAACTCCCCAAGTAAAGAAACACCCGGCGGAACATCACTTTCGGGACCCGGGATTTTGAACTCCCCAAGTAAAGACACATCACATCACTTTAGGGGACCCGGGGTTTTCAGCGTTTTGAACTTTGTTGGTCTCCCCAAATCAGGAACTAGGATTTCACAACCCGGTTTTTTGACCTTTTTGTCGGTCTTTCAATCTCCCCAGCCCAGGAACTCAGATTCGAGGGGCCCTGGATGTTGACCTAGTTGGTTTCTTCCAAAATTCGCAAGTAAAGAAGCATGAATTGAGCGACCCAACTTGCGTAGCTTCTACCAACCCAAACTAAATGAAACAAGCGGCCCCTCCAAACAACCAACCAAAACTAAATGAAACCAGCGGCCCCTCCAAACAACCAACCCAAACTCAATGAAACAAGCGGCCCCTCCAAACCAGCAACCAAGCCTAATAGAAAACCGGCCCCTCCAAACCACCAACACAAATTAAATAAAACTAGAACTATCAACCCAAACTAATTGGAAAAAACTGCCCCTCCACACAACCAACCCAACCAAGCCAGCAACCCAAACTAATGGAAAAACGGCCCCCTCCAAACTACCAACCCAAACCAAATAGAAAAAACGGCCCCTCCACGCAACCAAACGAAACTAAATGAAACAAGCGGCCCCTCCAAACCAGCAACCCAAACTAAATTAAAAAAGCGGCCCCTCCAAACTACCAACCCAAACTAAATGAAACAAACGGCCCCTCCAAACTCCAAACCAGCAACCCAAACTAAATGGCCTCCTAACTACCAACCCAAACACAATGTCAAAAACGGCCTCTCCAAACCAGCAAATGGAAAAGCGGACCCCTCCGACCAAACCACCAACGACAATTAAGTGAAACTAGAACCACCAAGCAAAAGTAAATAGAACAAGCGGCCCCTCCACACAAACAACCCAAAACTAAATGAAACAAGCGGCCCCTCCAAACCAGCAACCCAAACCAAATGAAAACAGCGGCCCCCTCCAAACTACCAACCCAAACTAAATGAAACAATTGCCCCCTCCAAACCAGCAACCCAAACGAATGCAAAACCGGCCCTCCAAACCACCAACCCAAACTAGATGGAAAAGCGGGTTAAATGAAGCTAGAACCATCAGCCCAAACTAAATGGAAAACGCGGCCCCTCCAAACCTCTTCTTTGCAAAGCCAGGCCTTCCCCGTTATTTTTATTATGCTTGTGGGTTCTCAGACGCGCATTTTATTGTACCAGGTCCACATTGTATTGCGCCAGGATGATGCCATTGTTCGGGTTATGATTATACATGGCTATGGTTTTTAAGGGGCATGCAAAGCCCGACGCGGCGCGAACCTTGGTACGGAGGTATGTAACGGGGGCTCTTGTAACGCTGTAGCGAGAGAACAGTGCTTGACACTTCCACAATTCCAGCTCGAAAGTGGCATTTTTTGATTCACCCGGCTGCAACGTTTCTTCTGCTGAAGGGCAAGCTCTTTGCAAGTTATTTACATCAATTCTGCTGTTTTAACTGTGTGTTGTTATCTTGTTTTCTATTTGTTGTCTTATCTATTTGTTTGATCTTTTATTATTTGTTATTTTTATCTGTCTTTATCTCTTCCTAGTAAACGAAACAGTAGATAATTACTAAGTTCAGATTAAGTGTCCGGTATCTAGACTATCTATTTGCTTTCTCCAATCTGCGCTATGTTGCCACGAGCCTTAGTCCCCCCCCCCCAACCAGCCCGAGGGCCCGTGAGGGCCCGCGAGGGCCCGAGGGCCCGAAACATGAGTTGGGAGCGTCTGGGTAGGAGTGCATTTTCAGCACTTCCACAAAGGATCTTTGAAGCAGTTCGCCGGAGACACAACTCCGGCAGCTGCTTTGCTGCGAAAAAAGGCCATTGCACCAACCACAGCCTCAAGGCCAGGACTTTTATTCAGAAAGTGCACAGCCAGCAGGTTTCTGTGCTCGATCGTGTCTTTAGAAGAAGAACGTGCTCGATCGCTTCTTTTTCTGTGCTCGATCGTGTCTTCTTGTGTTGGGTGGGATCACTTGGGCGGGCATGTGTTGGGTGGGATCACTTGGGCGGGGGTGCTTACCATGTGTTGGGTGGGATCACTTGGGCGGGTGGGATCACTTCCGCGGGGGTGCTTACCATGTGTTGGGTGGGATCACTTGGGCGGGGGTGCTTACCATGTGTTGGGTGGGATCACTTGGGCGGGGGTGCTTACCATGTGTTGGGGATAACTTGGGCGGGGGTGCTTACCATGTGTTGGGTGGGATCACTTGGGCGGGGGTGCTTACCATGTGTTGGGTGGGATCAAACAAAACATGATGTCATCTTGTCGCGGAACTGAAACAAGATGTCATCTTGTCGGGGAACCCCCGTCTGGAGGGACTCATGTTTAGTGTATCCCACGTGTGAGTTAGTCGCAGCTGGAAGCACAAAAAAAAACCTCCAGTTCCCACGTTGGTACATCACCTCACACACACACATCGAGTTGGAGCTTCCTTTGGGTTCGATCAGAGGTCCCATCCCCAAATTTCGGTGAGCTCCTCCAGCTCCTTGTAGAGATTCAAAAGCTCAAAGGCCTGAAAACCCGCGCCGCGGAAGGGACGGCCATAAGTGCTGCCCCCGTTTGGTTGGACGACTCTAAATAGGGCGGCCTTTGTGGTCTTAAAGGGAAACCCAACGGAAAATCACGATATGTGCCCACTTTCTTCTTTTTTTGGGGGGGGTCCCCCAACACAGACACTCTCAAATATGAAAAAGACATCTAGTTTGACCAAAAAGGGCTAAGCATATCTAAGCATTGATTGCACAAATGCAATAAGTCAGCTGAGTGTGGCAATGCTTTACTGGAAATACAAACAGACTCCCCAATTTCAGAGGACACACTTCGGATCTCATCAAGGGGAGGACAAACCAAACCCTAGAGAATGTGACAACATTCGGGAGCTTCAAACCGCCCACATCACAATGATCACCCAAACTTGAGACATTTCACACACCTCTTGTTACGCTGCCAGTGTGAGACATGTGACTTCCCCCATCATCTCCTGGATCTAAGTCGGCTCAGCCGGGGATGTACAAAAGTGACGCGGAGAAGTTCTCAGAGTGATGCTGAACTGCCCACAAACTGCTGGAGCAAGAACCCAGGAAGCCGAAAACAAGTCCGCAAAGTACCCGAGTCCACGCACACTAACCCTTGGCGTGTGAGCACAACAACTGTGTTGTTGCAGCCACCTACTCAAAATGAACAGCACCAAACAACCAAACACGTGCCAAGAAAGAACAGTGAAGTGAACCCATGTGTGGGGTTGACGACTTTTAGAGAAGCCACCCAACAAAAGGGGAAAAAAACAAAAACACGGGCGCCACTGAAGTCAATCATCGCCCGGTCGCCTTCAAAATTGCGAGTTGTCCTTTAGTGCCCCGTTTAAGACTTCAACCCCAAAAGAGTACCCTCAAAAGAAGACGGGGGGTCATGTGCAGATTTGTCATAAGAAAGGCGGGCCACCCTCCCTGTCACCTCAAAAAGCTGGTTGGCGGTTTTTGTTGGTTGGTTTGGAAAGTTTGGCCCCAAAAGAGTCAAAAGAGTAAGTCCAAACCCCGAAAGTTTCAAGTCGAGGGAGTGTTCTTGGTAAAGTGTGAACGAAGAAACCAAAGTGTGAACGGAACCCCCACATGGTTCTGGACAATTACCCAATCCGTGAAACCATTGTTTCTTGCCTACCTAAAGGAAAGCGGCTCAGCTGAAAATTACAGAACGTGGCCACCCTTTTGCCGAATGTCCTGCCAAATCAGTGAAGTGCGAAGCAGGGTTGTGGGATCACTGGGCTTTATCCAACCACTTCTGTGATACTTTTGGGAATCCCCTCTTATGGGGGGAACATTTCTTTGGGACGCCCTTTTTTTTGTACTCATCACAGAAGTGGATTCCGTTTCAACCACAGCCCTGGTGTGATTTGGGTACGGGTCAAAATTAAACCACCAGGGGACTGCAGGTTTTAGTCGTTGGATCCACTTAGGGCAAGCCATTTTGGCTACCCATTATTGACCCGCAGCCATTTGTGGCCACCTCAACTCAGAAAGCTCCGGCCTTCACCGTTTTTTCGGAGACCTCATTGCCCAGCCCCTTGCTTGGCTGCTGTCCCATCGCCACTTGAAGGCATAGAGGAACGCTTCCTATATGCACTCCTGCCTATGATTTCCTGTGTGTGTGTGTGAGGTAGCAGTTGTTTTCTTCGGCGTGCTGTTTAATTTGAAGCAACAAATAACCACCCATGCTAGGAGTTCCCTCCCTTTCATGAGATTGGCCGCGGAAAAGCTGATGTCCTTTTGCGGCTACGATCCTGGGCGTTTTTGTTTTTTTTTTAAACACCAACGATCCTAGCAGTGACAAAAAGGACCTTGCCACAAACCTTGTTGGAGCCACCCACTCACTGTCCATTGGCTTCGGCTTTTGTCCCGCCCTTCAGCTGGGACCTTTGTGGCACTGGCCGTAAGCTTGGGCCAGAGGGCAGGTAAAAAACTGCACGCCGGAGGTCAGATGTCCATCGACATCCGGAGGTCGGGGGTGTGTCTTTTTTGGAGGGGACCTTGTTTTGGGGTGAAACCAACAGGAACACCCCATCATTTTGGGGCCTCACTGCTTGCCATACTTCACCTGCAAAGGAATCCCGAAGGGACCTTTCATGGGTGAGCTCCGGCCTGCAAAGAAACCGCGTATTGTTTGCTCCACTAGGAAGAGGTGCATCTCCTGGTTCACAAGGCGCAACCCGAGGGAAATTCAGATCAGGGTAGCACCTTCCTCCTCCAGGCGAAATCTCGGGTCATGTAGCATGTATCCCACTGGACTTCGCGGGCCAATATGCTTGGAAGGTTTTACAATATGGGCGTGTGTGTGTGTGTGTGTGTGTGCACCTGTCTCGGTGTAAAGGAAAGCCAAAAGGAAAACCGCAATTGGTTTGGTCCCCAAGGATGCCTAATCAAGTAAAGGACCTACATCATAGTGAGCTCGGTTTACCCCTGGAACGGCGAGCTTGCCATAACGTAGGAAGGGGACAATGTGCATCCAAGAGCCAATATATTTTTTTTTTTAAAAAAAACAAACGGGTCCGAAAACATACCCTCAAACAAACACGCACCCATATTATGGTAGAAATATGATATTGTTTTACCCCCTGGTTTTCGGGGGCACATCCCAAATAGGCCTGAACCAAGTCAACAAACCGGGGGCGCTCTCTCTATCTCTCTCTCTCTCTATGTTGTTTTCCCTCGTGAACATCACCCCACTAAGACGAACTAAGAATCTAAAAGTGGCAACCACAAGGTTATATGTACAAACGGGCTGACATGGGAAACACAACGCGGACCCCTGTGTGACCTAACAAAACAAGACGTGGAATCATAACCCATCCCGGAGTCTGATCCCGGGAAGCTAGTGGAGTTGAACAAATGGCGTGTGACTCCTTTAGTTAAATATGGCTTCACTCACTTCCCGATTGGATTGCCCAAACAAGTCCCATACTGTTTGTTCACCACTCAAAAACAAAAAACGTCTATGAACTCAGGAAGTGAGCTTTCTTGACCTTCATGGGGTCCATGAGGGCAACAAACCTCCTCTGTTCGGTGAGCTTGCTAAACGTGAGTCCAGCACAGAGGTCATTCATGTTCACCCCCGGGATCCTATGGCAAGATGAACCTGCCGTCGAACCTTCCGGGTTGAGATGTTTTGCAGCCACGACTCAAAGAACACTGGAAGAGCGGCCGAAGTGGGTGGCTCAAAATTAACCAGGAGGGGTTACGCAGGTTTTGGTCCATGTTTCCACTTACCAGGGTTCCAAACGGTTTTTTGAGCCACAGCCAAGTGGCGCCCTTTCATTAAGTACTTGGGCCTCCGTGTTTTTGGGAATAGCCCCACCCGCCTTCCATGAAAAGTCATGAACCCTGCGGCTGTGCCAATCGGCCGATTTCCGCCATCCGCTCGCTGTACAAGATCCGAAGCCTGAAACTAATCACTCCCTCCATACATTTCCACAAACGCAGCTTCGTGCATTTTTTGGGAGAAGACTAATGCCCTCTTGGAAAGGGTGTGCCACATTTCGCTTGTGCGCCCAAACCATCTGTGTGTGTGTGTGTGTGTGTGTGTCTGTGTGTGTGTGTGTGATGTGTCGCTTGTTTCTTACCTACGGCTTGCACATGATTCCAAACCATGTCGCGTACAAGCACCTGTTGGTGGCATGATAATCCCCCCGAAATCGTTACCTACAAGCACCTTTTGGTGGCTTGCAACTGGACTCACTGCGTCTTAGGACATTGCCCAAGACTTGGACCCTGCCCTCACACACTGTCAGCAAGCTTCGGAAGACCGTTTAAGTGGCGGTTGATCCAAAATGTCATCCCCTTTCCGCGCAACGGGCGTAACAAAGATGCACTCAGCACCCCAGCTGTGCTGTCTTTTTCGTCATGTCATGTCCGCGCAATTGCAGGGGCTTGAACATACCAACCCACACGCCGCAAAACGCGATGCAAATAGTCATTCTGGTACTTGGCCCACATTTGGGGCACACAGACAATTATATGGCCATGGGTCAAAATCCTGAACATCCCAATCCCCACTAAACTAGACTAAAACGAGTGGTGCTGGTGCACCTACCCCAAGACCCACAGCTATATTTTCAGACTCTGCCGCCAGGTGGGCGGGGGCAGGGTCCACTTTCCGCCCGCGTCAGTCCACGGAGGGCTCGGAGGAGGCGATCAATTCACCCCCCCCCCCCCCCCCCCTCCCCGGTTCCGAGTTGACGGGGGGGTTTCGGCATGGCTCTGGGAAAGCGACCGTCTCTGAAATTCCAAGGTGGGTCATTCCCATGATTACTTTAGCACTTTGATGAGGGCTCCGCTGGCCCACAGAAAGTGGCCGATCTCCTAGCTGCAAAACACTGTGAAGCGCAGGTGGCTCTAAGAGAGGGAGCTGAAAAGCAGAACAATAGGAGTTGCACAAGATTGCGCCGCCTTTTGGAGGGAGCAACACAAAGGGCTCCGAATCTTGACAACCCTGCATAGGCGCGGAATCATTCATAGTTTACTCCTCCAATCCTAAGTTTGGTTTTGAAGAGCACCCCGCAAGTATTCAGGCCCCATACTCTTATACTCTTACGGTGGTTACGTAGCCCCACAGAGTCCAGTTCGCTCTGGTGTTTGCGTGGCATTCCCACTGGTGTTTAGTTAGTTCTCGCGCGAACTAACAAAAACATCGACGCCTTGACAGTAGAGTTCCAAAACAAACCTGGCATCGCGGGAGCCGCGATGTTTTCTTCCGCCCGAGCGTTTGTTGCACAACTGCCGGAGAGCATCTGGGGGGGGGGTTGAATGGACCTGCGGAATTCGGAGGTTCTGCGGCAGCTCCCGACTGAGTCCTCGCGCGGCCCAAAAAAGCGACGTGCCTTTTCAACATCTCCAGCAGTCGTAGGAAGTCTGCTCCCAAACAGGGATCCGGATGGATATTATACACCGATCGAACATTGCAACTTGTTTTCTGGTGGTTTCAACCTTTATTTTGGGTGTTGAAAAAGCAACATGTTTCAAGGTTGGCCCTCCCAAACCAACTGGTTTTTGTGGGCATTTGGGTAGAGAAATTGCCGGGAGGTGAATTCTTCGTGCATGATGGGAACTTTTCATGAGAGGGGACCTTAGTCATGGCCCCTTTGCAAGGATGACACGCACAAATTAGACGTGCTCCTTTTGATACAGAGAAGATTGCAAGGCATGCGAAGCCGTTTTGACATCAAGGTGCAAAGGAAAAGCACCGCATGAGCAGGCTGCTCACACGTAGGTTATGAGCCCAACGCCACATTAGGTGGCTGCGACAGCGCCGCAATGTCTGATGGTTCTGGCCCCGGGAGAACCAGAAGGGCCAGATCGTTGGAAGTGATGGGCGAGGGCAACGGCAAGGGATCGAGCAGCAGCAGATCTGGGCCGTTGATAGTTGAGGTGGTGGAGCCCACCATGGTTGCCAGGCCAGATGGAGTGGTGGAGGCGGAGGCTTCGACCCAGTGGCCTCGAGGGCCTGAGGGGGAGCCATTGGCTTTGGTGCCTTCGCGAGGTGCGCCGTTCACGCCGGAGCAAATGAAGCGGCTCGACGAATGGACAGAGGAGGCACCGCTGATCAGCAAGGGGCCGGGAGGTGGGAATCAACGAGGGTTTGAGAACTACCTCGAGAGGGCCAACGAGGGCATGACCGTGGCACGTGAAGGAGCGCAAGGCGATCAACGACACGAGCTACGGAGGCCTGAAGATCACCAAGGAGGTGCGGGAGTTGATCATGGGAATGGTCGGCCTGATGGACATCATGGAGGCGCGGGACAAGCCCAATGGCCTGATCCCTTGAAGGACATCAAGTACTTCATGATGCAGCTGATGGCGGACAATCAGTCCCTTCGCAAGGAAATGCAGCGGTGTGTGAGAAGGGTGGATGAGATCCAACGAGAAGCACCGGCTGCGGGAAGAACGTCAGCTGACCAGAGCGACAAGTTCGCAACCCCAGAGGAGAAAGGCACGCCAGTCGGAGGAGGTGATCAGCTTCGACTGCAGAACGCGGTCTTGGATGGAGAACCCTCGGAGGAGCTTGTGGCGGATCAGGAGGACGCAATGGCGCAGAACCAGCCGTTGGGCGTGATGTTGAAGATCGTCCAGAACATGCAGGAAATGCAGCAGCAGCTGATGAAGCAGCAGAAGAACCCGGCCGAGGACACCAGCGAAGTGGTCAAGGCCGGAAATGTGGAATTGCCAAAGCTGCCGGAGTACAAACCGGAGAGTGCCCCGATTGATCTGGGCGATTGGCTGTGCCTTCTGGAGCCCATCATGGCGGACCTGAGTGATTCGTCCCAGACTTGGTGGGGGAAGGTCATGGAATCGGCGAAGGGCTGGTACCTGAAGTACCAGAACACGGCGCCTCTGGAGCGGCTGAAGCTGCTCCCGAGAGATCCTGAGGAGCTTCGTGAACCTCGATGGCGGCGTCTAGAGCGGAGGGCGGTTGGCCTTTTGCTCACGGCACTACCGGAGGGGGCGAAGGAGGAGATCGTGGCCACGAAGAGCATGACATGCTACGCCATTGTGTGCAAGCTCATGGCGACCTATCAGCCGGATGGGTTGGTGGAGAAGAGCGTCATCCTCCAGAGCCTGGAAAGTCCGCAGGAAGCGGCCAATATGGCCATGGCGGTGATCTACTTGAGGCGGTGGATGAGGTGGAGGCTTCGGGCGATTGAGCTCGGAGTGACAATCCCCGATGCTTCGGTGATGGCTCGGGCGCTGCACAAGATGGTGAGCCGTGTGGTGGAAAAGAATGCCGAGTTGACGTTCAAGATGGCGTTGGCAAGGAACACGCTACAGTTGGACACGGTTCCATCCCTGGAGGCGGTGTTGCGGTATGCGGAACATTTGCTATCGGAAGTGGAAGCTGTGGCACATCTGGAAAAGAAGACCTCTGCGACGGTGAAGCCGATGGGGACGAGTGAGGTTAAGGCGAAGAAGGTCGAGACCCAGGAGGCGGGGGAGTTCAAGAACAAAACAGATGAACCTCGACCATGCCGGTTTTTCCTCACGGAGAAGGGCTGCAGAAGGGGCCGGACTTGCAAGTGGAGCCATGATCAGAAGGATCAACGGATGAGGTGCTGGTCTTGCGGAGCATCAGAGCACCTTCCAAAGGATTGCCCCATAGCCAATAAGGTGGCCGAGAAGCCCAAACTGGCGAAGACCAACGCGGAGGGAACCAAGACGGAGAACGTCGAGCAGGGCAGCCTAGAAGCTACTCCAAGGACAGGAACTTCGTCGTCTTCGGCGGGTGCGGGTTCGCCAGATGCGACGAGCGTCACCCCGGAGGGAGATGGGAATGTGATGAAGGAGGCCTTGCTAGAGGCCACGAAGATGATCAAGAGCCTGAATGTGCAGGCGCCGGCGGAAAGCCACAAGATGGAGAGTGAACAGACGTTGAAAAGCTTGCAGCGACAGTTGGACAACATGCGAGAACAGATGAGGATGAGGCAAATCACCCTCAAGTTGTCCAAGGTCGAGCTCAGCAGCACGAGGGGCCTGGTGGACTCAGGGGCTACGAATCCTTTGAGGCCGATGCAAGATGGCGAGGACGTGACGGCCTACGAGGACCGGGTGGTGGAACTAGCTGCCGGGGAGTCCTACACCCTGCGGGTCACGGCTGGAGGAACGTTGGTCGCGGCTTCGGGCACGCAGCCGATTGTACCGATGGGAGCCTTAGTGCAGAGTTTGAGATGCAGGCTGAGTTGGACGGGCGGACGTTGCAAGATTCGTCATCCATGTCGAGGGGATCTGCCCGTGGCGATGAACCAGGGGTGCCCGGAGTTGCCAATGAATACGGCATTGGAGCTCATCAAGGAGCTTGAGGAGAAGCAGATGGCCAAGCTCCAAAGGCTCAGTGTCAATGAGGAGCTGGAGTATGTGAGAAAGGTGGTAGACGAGCATCCGGTGTTTAAGGATGTTCCATGGCATGTGAAAAAGGAGCTGCTGGTGAAACCAGCGGAGAACTGGAAGGCCTTGGGGCTGAATCGGTCTCGGAGAAGGAGGCTGGAGAGGAACGGTGGAGCGGTGATCCATCTATTTGCGGGACCGCGTGATGGGCATGATCTTTCGCGGGCATTTCGGGAACTCGGAGGAGACCCGAGGGACATCCTCGAGTATGACATTGTCCGAAGCGAAAATCACGACCTCCTGTCGGGCGAGCTGATGGGCGGACTGATGCGGTTGGCGATGGATGGAAAGATCAAGGCGCTGCTCGGAGGCCCGAACTGCCGGACGAGGTCGGTGCTGAGGTTTTATCCGCTGGAACACAAGGAGAAGCCGAGACCGGTAAGGACAGTGGAGGAGCGGTGGGGCATGAAGAACCTGGATAAGGAGGAGGAGAGAATCGTCTTTGAGGACGACGTGCTGCTCTTTCGGTTTATCCTGCTCTACGTGCTTGCAGACTTGAAGTCCAAGTCGGAGGACCAGGAGGAAAAGGGGAGAGTCGGGTTCCTGATCGAGCAACCGGCTGAGCCCAAGAATGAGCCGAGGTGCCCGTCATTCTGGAGAACGGAGGAATGGCAACGTCTGAAGCAGACTCACGGGCTCCGCGAGGTGACCTTCAAACAGGGAGACTGGGGCGGAAGGGCGTCGAAGCCTACAACGGTGGGGACCACAATGGCCTTACGGCTACCTCAGGAACGTCCCGGAGGAGAAGCTCGAGGAGTTGATGGCGGGAAACCGCGTTGGGAGATGAGTGACGAGGAGAAGCTCAGGACGTCCAAGGAGCTCTCGAGATGGGCGCCGGGGATGATGAGAGAGATATCTCGATGTCTGAAATGGGAGCTGACAAGGGAGCTGCCGAAGATGAAGAAGCTCTCGTGGGAGGAGCACATCAAGCTGGGACATTTGCCCTATCGGCGAGATTGCCGAGTCTGTCAGGAGGCGTCAGCAAGGGACCGACCCCATAGGCGTCTCAGGCACCCGGAAGGGAATGTGCTCTCGGTGGATTTGACGGGGCCGTTCCGCTAAGGGCTATGGCAGGGACACGGACGATGTGGAGGACAAACGCTACTTGCTGGTAGCAACGTACACCTGGCCCCAGGTGAATGTGGAGGAAGCGGAGGTTCTACCAGAGGGACATCGAGAAGGAGACGATTCGGGGCATCTTCCTGAACCGGCGGAGGAAATCCCGGAGGAGGAAGAGGCCGAGGAGTCGCTGGAGGTGGAAGAAGGGGCGAGCCCTGAGGCGGAAGAGCCGATCATCCCGGAAAGGGAGGAGCCTGGCCCGCTGAAGACGCTCTACTTCACGGTCCCTCTCCGGTCGAAGGAAAAGAAGGAGGTGCTGGGGGGGATCCAGGAGAGCTACATCAGGCTTCGGAGAGAGGGCATGCTGGTGAACCGGCTCCATTCAAGAAAACGCTTCGGTCCCCGGACCAGAAGCCGGAGAACGGGAGGGCCGAAGCAGCGGTGGGAGTGCTCAAGTCGGTCATGAGGAGGATCTTCCTCATGACGAAGTGGTCTACATCGTGGTGGCCGTGCGTGGCGAGGTTCGCTTCGGAGGCACGTTTGGCCCACGACCTGCACGCAGAGAGGCCGAAGTTCACAATCGGCCAGGAGGTGCTGGTTCCGAAGAGGGCCTGGAAACAACGAGCCTTTGAGGGAACGCATCAGAAGGCGATCTACCTGACGCCCATGTACGACGTGTCCAATGGACATGCCGTCCAGGTCATCGAGGGGGGCAAGGTGATTTGCGTCTCCAAGGTGGTCAGTGGGATACCAGGGGATGGGGGTAGAGAGCTCTGTGACGATGAAGGGGAGGAGAAACCAAAAGGATCTGGAGGACTGGAAGAGGAAGACCTTCGGGTGAGGCGAAGGATCCGGGTCAAGACGAGCGACCCGCGGATGGTTGACGATGGCGGAGGAGACCGGGTTGCATTGAGGTTGAAGTACCTCCGGCAGGTCATCATGGATGAAGAGGAGACGTTGCTGGAGGAAGAGGAGCAAGCATGTCAGGAGTCTATGAAGAGGGTGCGGAAGCTACGTCAAGAAGAGGAGGCGCTGAAGCACCAGGTCCCGGGGAATGAGGACACGGAGAAGGTGTTGCACACCAAGATGATCTCGCCGACCGAGGTCATCAGGGACAAGGAGAAATGGGGGGACTCCATCAAGGCGGAAATCGAGGCGTTGATGGTGGAGAAGAAGGCTTTGCGAAGGCTTTCCCCTTAAGGAGGCTCAGAAGCTTCTGGAGAGCAAAGGGAGCAAGGTGACCGTCGTCCCCGGCAAGGCGATCTTCAGCGTCAAGGCTGGATCGGCGAGGAAGAAGACTAGACTGGTGGTGTGCGGCAATCATGTCAGTGCCGATGCGACCATCGAGGGGGACACCTACGCCGGTGGAACGGATACCACTGCCATTCGGTTGCAGCTCAAAGTTGGGGCGGAACGTCTGTGGACTACATCAGCCTTAGACATCAAGGCAGCGTTCTTGAACGCGGATCTCCACACGGAGGAGGAGCCGGAGCAGCTGGTTGCGATGAGGCCGCCGGCGGTGATGATTAAGATGGGCTGGGCTCAGCCGGGAGAATTGTGGTTGATCGACAAGGCGATGTACGGATTGCGGCAAAGCCCAAGGAGGTGGTCGGACCATCGAGATCGAGAACTACAAACGCTGGTCTGGGAGGCGGAGGGGAGGAAATGTCACCTGGAGCAATGCGTGGCGGAGCCGAACCTTTGGCGGATGATCCAGACCACGCAAGAGGGAGAGAGACTGATGGGTTTGGTCTCGATCTATGTGGATGATGTCTTGACGACGGCGGAGACGAAGGTCAGGAAGGCGTTTGAGAAGGTGATTGCTCAGAAATGGGAGACGAACGTTCCGGACGAGCTCACTGAGGAGAACGAGGTGCGGTTCTTGGGGATGAACACCAAGAAGGAGGGCATGGATGTCTTCATCCACCAGAAGGACTATGTGGAGGAGGTGTTGGAGAGGCATCAGGAGGAGGTCGTCAAGGCGAAGTCGCCAATGACCAAAGAGATGTCAGACGAGGCGGAGCTACCGCCAGGGGACTACGACCAGTCAGATGTGACCCGGGCCCAGCGGATAGCTGGGGAGCTGCTTTGGTTAATGACGAGAACACGACCGGACCTGCTCTTCAGCATGAGCCGACTGTGCAGCTTCGCAGCAAAGAACCCCAAGTGGGTGGTGCGGGCATCTGGCTACCTGCTCGGTTATCTGCGGGAAACGAAGGGCTGGGGCATCCGGATCTCCAAGGATGCCGGACAACACTGGTCGGGACATGGACCGGCTGGGCTGCAGGCTTTCTCGGACGCGTCCTTCGCGCCGTCGGGAGCAAGGAGTCAGGGATGCTCGGTGGTGTGTTGGAACGGAACGGTGGTAGCATGGAAGGCTGGCAAGCAGGCCTTCCCGGCGCTCTCCACTGCGGAGTGCGAACTCATTGAGGCGATCGATGGCATCGTTTTGGGAGATTCGGTGGAGGCGTTGGTGGCATACGCTCTTGGGATGGATGACTTCCAGAAGATGTTACTGTCGGACAATGCGGCAGCGGTGTCAATCGCTACAGACACGGGAGGTGCGTGGCGAACCCGGCATCTAAGGCTCCGAGCATTTCATCTGAGGTGGCGAGTGCGAGAAGGGGAATGGCTGATGAGGCATTGCCCTGGACAGCAGATGCTGGCGGACCTTGGCACCAAGCCTCTGGGTCCGTCTCGGGTGAAGGAGCTGTGTCAACTGTGGAACCTCGAGCCGGAAAAAGAGGAGAAAGTTGTTAAGGTAGCGGCCATTCAGCTCACCGTGGACAAGGAGAGAGCAGTCAAGTTGCTGGTGGCATTGATGCAAATTTTGGCATGCCGGGCGGAGGATGAATCTACGCCGGTGGAGGAGTCCATGGATATGACTGTCCTGGTGTGCATCATTGCCGTGGTGTCGGTGGTGCTGTACCGGCTGGTGACCGAGATTGGAGGCCGAGTGGGAGATGGCCTGCGAGAGTGGCTGAGGGGTCCTTGTTCCAAGGTGAGGAGGCTCGTGGTGAAGCACAACGAACGGGCTACTCAGACGGATGAACAGGAGGGGGAATCATCAAGAATGGCATCTTCGAGTATGAGTGAGACCCCACCAAGATTCAGCTCGGCGAGGCGCAGGCATGGTGGTGGGGGTCCCTATGTGGACGTGCCCCCCCCCTTTGGGAGAGTGGATGATGCGGAGGATGAGATCCTCAACCAGCGGTGGAGACAGGTCATGCAGATCCGGGAACAGGTGTTGCAGACGATTCCGGCAACGCAACCGGAGGCGACGGAGGTGTATCATCTCACGCAGCTCGGGGACAAGTTGCACTGGAGAAGGAACTGCTTTGGCTTGAGGAATGCGACGGCCCGTGGAATGAGAGCGATTACTCCCTGCAGTCGCTGCTGGACTGGTGAAATGCAATGGAGGAGGGGAGCGAGATCGTGGTGCGGTGCAGATGGGCATCTTCATGCTATTCCCACCTGCCCCGGCATTCAGGGTGAAGCCCGCATTTACCAACCGTGCCGCTTCTGCGAGAATGTAATTACGCAGGAGAACCATGCGGAGGCGTTGGCCAACGGAAGATGGCCGCGCGGGATGAGTTGACGGCTTGAGCTGATCATGTCCTTCGGTGGCTTCGGAGGATGTGAGCGCACGGGGGGAACCCGAAGCGGTCGACGACTGCGCTTTTGGCAGGCACTCCCCTACCAAAAGGGAGGAGTGCATGATGGGAACTTTTCATGAGAGGGGACCTTAGTCATGGCCCCTTTGCAAGGATGACACGCACAAATTAGACGTGCTCCTTTTGATACAGAGAAGATTGCAAGGCATGTGAAGCCGTTTTGACATCAAGGTGCAAAGGAAAAGCACCGCATGAGCAGGCTGCTCACACGTACTTCGAACCGTCTTGTTGGACACTGGGCTCCAGAAATTCTAGGAGACCAATGAATTGGATTTTCCAACTTGAGGGATCAACTGATGATGATACTGTGGATGGACGAAATCCATTTCGCGCCACTTTGAAACCACAGGACACCATTGCTTGTTGTATTTACAGGGAATTCATGATTCTAGGGTCTCTCAGGTGCTGCACGATTTCGCCCATCAGATGGAAGCCAACTGATAGCCTACAAATTAAAGTGCCTTGCCTGGAAGCACCGCAACTTATATATTGCCAGTGCCCAAGGGTCGTCAGTCTGGCGTTTTGTGGCTTTCGACTTTCCCGACTAACCCTCCCACTAACAATGGCTTCATGCACGGGCCCCCTTCTAAAAAATCAGTTTGCTCTTCCAACAGTGGGCTGTGCAGTTCCATAGTTGTCTGTGGCAGAGTATCAGCTGCGAAGTAAGCCAAGCCTAAGGAACTGCTTGGACAGCAACAGAACGTGCTCGCAAGTGGAGATACCTACCTTGGGGACCTACATGGGGGCTACCATGGCTACCTGGAAATTCTCTAGATTTTGGCTTCCCTTAAGAGAAGGTCCAACATCACCAAGGTCCTGGTTCCCCAAAGTGTCACGCTGCATCTGCAAATCCCCAGACGCGATTCGCTTCTGCCAGAGACCAGCCAAGCGTTGGGGACACGCCACGTGTAAACCACTTGACCGACAGGTCTTTGAGATCAGCCCCGATCGTCTTCAGCAAAGAGATGAAGGTGGACCAGTTGGGTGTGGCTCAAAGCTAAACAGGGATCCTTACATCATACACCCGAACATTGCAACTTGCAAATGGTGGTTTCAACCTGTATTTTAGGTGTTGAAAAAGCAACATGTTTCAAATGGTTGCAACATGTATCTTTTAAGGAGCCCCGCTAAAGAACTAGGGTTACACAGGTGCTAGTCTTTCTTTCCATTACCAACGCACCAGTTTTGTCCAACAGTCAACTTCACCAAAAATAATACACGCTCCCCCGAAGGTCTGTGAACGGGGATCCTTGGTCCCTTCGCCCAGGACAATCTTTACACATCGCGTAAATGTGTTGCCAGCTCAATCCTGGATTCAGCTGTTCGGAGCCTTCTGGACGCAGCATGACAGCCTAGCTGGGTTTAAGCTTTCTCAATATCTGCGTGCCTTGCCTTGGGGCCTGTGCGTGCATGCTTGCGCAATCCCGCAACGTTCAAGCAGCGTTCAAGCAGAAGCAAAGTGTATCACTACTTGGCAGCCTGTGCCAGTTGTTCTGTCACTTCACGTCATTTCGTTGCATCCAGGAGCTTGACAGCATCTCCCTTGTCAAAAATGAGTTGAACATGATGGCAGGTCCTGCCAAACAAAATAGCCCACGAGCCCCCAAAAGCAAGCTACACAAAACATACAAAATGTGTCTTGACCCTGGAAAACCAAAAACTTTGAACAAAGGCCCTGCCAGAGACCCACCCCGACCCTCATTTTGGGTCAAGGCTTATTACATGCCCAGCGAGTTTTTGACCGGCTCCTTGCTGCCAAAAGGGTCGCGCAATTTTAGATTCCCTTTCAAAAGTTGCAATTTTCATTGGCGGTGGCCCCTCAAAACTGCCACTTTTGGAGGTTCCAAGAAGGGAAATGGCTCGGAAACCCTGCCGTAGCAACCTAGTGAACCTTAGGCAGCCCCATCCCCATCCCGTCCTCGAGTTCAACCGTCAAAGTACACGCCTCACCAGTCCAGACCTCGCTATGGTTTTTTGGGGCGCCTGTCACTCCCCACGGACCGTGACGTCATAGCCGTCTTTGCTCATTGCAAGGTTTAAAAGGGGGACTAAAGGAAAACCGCCAATTTGGAGGTTCCGATTTCTATCGTGAGACAAACCCACGGTTCCCTCAAGAAGTTTTGCAAATTGGCCGTCTAGCCCCCCTAAAAGGTTAACTCATGCCCATACAGCAAAGCAAAGGGGGTCTTTTGATCATGGCACATTTGTCGCTGGCATGATTTGCTCTCGTCAGCAAGTAGGTTTGAGGGAAACAACCCCAGCAAGTCTTCCTATGTCGATTTCGGATTTGAAGATCTGCAATCTAAGGCGTGTCTTAGAAATGTTAGGATCCAGCAATGGAAGTTTTTCCTTTTGGTTTGGAACCCCCCTCCGTAGCTTGTATCCTGTCAGCACGGCCTCTTGGCCCGAACGTTCCTTGGAACCTCCCAGAACCGCATGGTTGACTGCATCTTGCAAGCGAAACAACCATCAAAATCACCCGTAAATCACAAACGGGCGTTCAACTTCTTCGCTCCAAGCTTCATAGGAATGCGCCGCACATTCCGCGTGCATTCCAACCCGCGTTGAGGACACTCGCTTGAAATTGGCGACCAACAGGTGATGTTCGAACCCACCCTAAGTGCGTCCTTCTTACCGGGAATTCCCAAAATGCCGGTTGTCCAGATCCCCTTGAAACCAACCCAAACCAGGCAACATAACACACACACACACACCCAAACTTTAGAATGCTTGGTATGGTCGCAAGCAACTCTTTTTTAAGCCTACTAAAGCAAAAACAGAACCCCAAAAGCAAAAAACAACATAAATGACTTGCGAAAACAACAGTGCAGCAAAGCGGGCCTGCCCCAAAGTCCCACTCCTTCTCCTTCCCTCTCTCTCTCTCGTCTCAGTGTCCGGAGTTCCCGGCGGCAGTCGCAGGATACCCTTGGAAATGGACCCGGCCCTGGGCGGGCCCCTTCGACTGCAAACCTTTGGGGTTCCAAGCCGACTTTTCCTGGGACCAATGCGGCTCCCAGAGTTTTTCTTTTTGGGGAGGCGCTTGACGTTGACGTTGGAAGTAGGGGAGCAAAAATTCAAACAAATTTTAGCAGTTAAGTGGGGATTTGGATTTCAACCACTAATCCACAATAGGCAAAAATGGGAAACATGTGTCTCAACAACAACCATGGAGGGGTATCACTTGCTGGCCAGTTGGAATCAAACTGGAAATCCAACTGGTGGTAGGGATCGCACCTCTTTTAGGGGGAAGCAAGGACATCTTAAGTAAATCAGAAAACAGGAGGCCAAAGAAAAGCCGAACTGGATTGAGTTAGGACACATGGGTGTTTACAATGAGAGAAGCCTCGTTTGAAAGGGGGTCTCAAGACTCTTGTTTGGCAACGCTACAGGAACCCTGCAGGAAAGGGAAAACCCGATGCAAAATAAGAAGGATAACCCAAAGGAGACAAATTTGGATGAGGCATTGAATAGCTAGAGGAAGCTCGGGGACGAGGTTTTGAAAGAACACCCCCAAAGGGAAACCCAAGGACAACCACAAGAACCAAAAAGAGTACATGTCAAAATGGGGGCGACCCCCTATTTATTGCGGCTTTTCTGTTCGTTTCCCTTTCAGCCACCCCAACACAAATAGAAACACACACACACACACACACGCACGCACGCACGCACGCACGCACGCACGCACGCACGCACGCACGCACGCACGCACGCACGCACGCACGCACGCACGCACGCACGCACGCACGCACGCACGCACGCACGCACGCACGCACGCACGCACGCACGCACGCACGCACGCACGCACGCACGCACGCACGCACGCACGCACGCACGCACGTTTGTGTAAAACAGCAAATGCCGTTATTTCATCGTACCAAGTGTCTTTCCTCATCCTACCAGTGTTTTGTAGGTCTTGGGGTCCTCTTCATCCTAGCATATGTTTTCCTTCATCCTGCCACATCTTTGTGCTCCTTTTGTTTTATGTCTTTTCTTCATCCTACCACATGTTTGTGTTCATGTTAAAAGAAACAACAACGACATGTGTCTTCTTCCTCCCACCTGCTTTTTGCCTCAAACCCGTCCACGTCTCTCGGCGGGCGGCCGGAAGGTGCCCTGGAAGCGAGTGCCGTCTGGCCAGGTCTCAACGCCTCCGACCGCCCCCGGCCGGCGGTCGCAACGGATCGAAGCGGAGCAGACCAAAGTGACCCTCCTTTTTCAAGCCAACTGCTTTGTTTTCTCTTTGTTTCGGCGCTGGGGGGGGGTTCAAGCCTTGTGTTTTTGTTGTTTTTTTCAGCCAGTTTCTCTTTTCTTTTTTGTCTTCTTTTTTTTTTGGGGGGGGGGGTGGCGTTTAATGGGAGGTGTGTTTTTCCAGCCCGGCTTGTTTTGAGGGGTTTAATGGGTTGTGCTTTTTCAGCCTGGCTTCTTTTTGCGGGATTCATGGGCTTACTTCATTTGTGTTTTGCGTTTGATGGAGTTCAGCCTGGGTTTCATGGGTATAAGTTGGACCTTGTCCCCACGAACAGTGGATGGACATTTAGAGCAACCAAAACGGTCTTTCCAAACAGGGTGATTGTTAGTGGGTGGGTGTAAGCCATTCTTTGCGATTCACGGGTGTTAGCCCGCCTGTCTAGGGGTTTAGTGCGTTTAATGGAGCCAGCTGTTTTTTCAGAACAAGTTACCCTGAGCGTGCGGTCAGATAAGCATCTGGAAGCTAAGCACGGAAAAATGCGCATCTGCATCTGGGACATGGTGTCCGGAGAAATATGCAAACACACCAGTGGGACATCGGTCTGAACTGTTTGCTGCTTTTGGTTTCCTAGAGGTGTTTTGTATGTGTTTCGCATTGTCCCGTTTCAGGCCTGTGTGCAAGTGCTTCTGTATTCAAGTGCGCTTGTGCAGTTCACGTCCAAGCCTTGGGTACAGTATTAAATGTTTACTGATTTGATTTGTAAAGCAAGCTATGTTGGAAAGAAAGCTCTGTGTAAATGGTAATTTAGAATAGAAGAACTACGTTTTGTTGAAATCTAGTTTAAAATAGACTCTGACTGGATTATTTCCTCATCAAATAATAGTTAGCTTCAGATAGAAATTGACGATGAACAAGGAACACCTATATATATATGTACTGTTTACATAAAGTAGAATGAAAAAGAAGAACATGTTGAGAAGATAGAAGTGTTGTCAAACATATTGCCAAATCCTTTGGACCCGCCAAAGAAGCTGCCCAAACAAGCTGGATACCAACAAGGGCCCTCAACTTTGACCAACAAACAAGGTAGCATTGGGATGTCAATTCGCATCCCCCTTCGAAAAAGGGAACAACACCATTGCGCTGGAGGCCTCGCGACTGGAAGCGGGAATCCCAAGAGGAAACATCTTGCCAGCCAAATGTGGTTATTGATCATAAAATGCTTCCTGGCTGAAAGGGGAAATCATTGGAACACACACCTTTCTGAACAAAAAAACAAGCAATCGTGGAAAACAAGGGGGCCCTCAAACCGGTTGCAACAAATCGCTCTGCCTGCAACTCGCTGTCTCTCGCAAATGCGCATCCCTGAGGTTCAGAGCAACCAAGGCCGCAGGGTTGGGTGACATTATGAAAGGAAACCCAACCAAGCAAGATCAGTGTCCGATGCTTCTGCGCTTTCATCTTCAAGGAATTGGATTGAATCGTTCCAGACTATGAAAGCTAACAAGTGTGGAATGGCGTAGAACACTGCACTTGGGTGTCCATTGCATGAAAGAAAACCCATTCGTCTCCTTTGGAAGGTTCGAAACCACCCCTTAAAGATGTTGGCGCATCAAGTCTTGCTTTTGTGGACCCAATGGTTTTGGAATCGTAACTGATCCACGTATCCTGATCGAAACCGGCCGCGCCTTCGCCCTCTTGGTGACCCTGGGACCAATGACCCGAGTAGCTGTGCCCAGACCTGACTAACCGACTGTCGGCACTCGCTTGCTGCAAATTTGGAGCCTCACCGGCTAATGTTGACCCAGGATTAATAAACCCGTCCCATTATTAGGGGGGGGTGTCCTCCAAAAGTAAAGATTTTTCCCTAAAAGGGGACACCCCCCTATTAATCAACCAGGGGTTTATTAATCCGGGGTTAACATTAAGTGCGATTTATCAATCCCAAATGGGTCACCGTTTAAGGATGCTAAAGGACGTTAAACAGTTCGTAACCGTGCCCCGATTATTGTGGGAAAGTGCACCAAGGCCAAGACTAAACGTCCCTAAATGGGCCATATGCTACTGGATGTAACAAAAACAGGATCCAGCCCGCAAAAGGACCCAACCCCCGGTCAACCCCCCGTAGAATGTCCTCCAAAGAGAAAAAAACAACTGACGCCTTGGAGGGATCCCGACAGATCCCGATGGTTCCCAGTCTTCGAGGTCAATGGGCTTGTCTTTTAAGGAGTAGGTCCTCCAGTAGAGCCCAATGAAAACAACTGAGCCAATGAAAAAAACAGAGCCCATCTATCTCATTGCCCAGACCTTGGTTGCTATTCTGGGTCCTCCAGATTTGAGAGGTTCGAAAAGTTGGTACCAACTTTTCCGGTTTTGTCTATTTTAGCAGGGGAACCGAATCTCCCCCAAAAAGAGTTGGAACAAGGGGGACCTAGAGGGGTACCCCGATGTGGGTTTTGTGCTTGGAAGGCCAAAGGGCAACTACTTGTTTGGGGGTTCCCCAAAACATAAGACGCACCCAAACGAAAAGAACCCGGCGTGCAAAAACCAACGACGGAGTCCTACGTGTTCCAGGAGTCCCTGGTTGGGGGGGGGAGCTTGGACAACAAATGATAGAGGGACTGGAGGGGGGGTTGGATTGCCAAAAGGGTCCGCTAACAGGGATCCTCACATTATACACCTGAATATTGCCTTGTCAATGGTGGTTTCCCTTTATTTTGGTGTTGAAAAAGCAACATGTTTCAAAATGGCTGCAAAATGCTTTTAAGGAGCCCTATTTGACAAGCTGAATGAAACACGGGGCTTTGATCCGCAGGTCTTGCAACTGCACCGGGTCCACAAGCGAATCACCTCTCCGAAACAAAGATATCACCGTCTTTTTTGCGGGTACCTTTTTTGTTGGTGGTTTTAAAGGGAATCTAAGAGGGACACCCCTCGGGGTCACTTTTTTGGTTTTAAAGGGAATCTAGTTAGGACACCCCTCCCGGGTCCCTTAAACAAGGACGCACCCAGTGGTTGAATACCCATCGTTTGGCTTTCTCCCAGCCGAAGGTTGAATCCTCCCTTATCAGATGGATATCCCAAGAGAGGCGAAAAAGCCAAAAGGCAACCGAGGAGTTAAGGCATTTCGGTGTGCCATCCAAGACATGCTGAGCTGTCTCTCTGACCCTCTACTTGGCCACGCGTAGACCCCTAAAAGTGTTTGTGGGCTGGTTAAATGGACAAAATCAAGAAAACACGAAACTTGGTTGGCGTTGGAAGGGGAGCAAAAAAAAGGCAGTTAAGTGGGGATGTCAACCACTAAACCACAACAAGCAAAAAACAAAAAAGAAGAACTGTTTCCCAACAACAACCATGAAAAGGGCGCAAGGGCAAAGAACGTCAGTTTCGTCTGGCGATGTCGTGAGGTGCCCCCAAAAAGGGTGATGCACAGCACAAGGATCTGAGAGACCAGCTTGGACCAGTACTCGCCCTCTCCGTGCCTTAGGGAGCGGTCGTCTTGCTGGCGAGTCCGAGTCCGGTGTGCAGGAACCCTTTTGGGGATTGTAAAGAAACAACCATATCCGGATGGATGGTCTTTTCTCAGGAAAGCATCCCAACTCGTTCCCTGAGAACCAGTGAAGTCGTCACAAAAAGGTTGCAGGGTTTTTGTGATGAACAGGCAAACCACTGGCCGGGCTGGCCCTATACAACTAGGTCCTTGAGTAGAGAGGTTAGAATAAGGGTACCCTTTTTTCTGTAGTCTATTTTAGTAGGGGAACCCTCCCCAAAAAAAGGGTAAAAGGGCACTACTGGGGAACCTAGATAACCTGTACGCACCTCAAAAGGGCGGTGGCCCTTTGATGGGTTGCCACCCCCTTCCCGGCGCTTTCCGACCAAATTGCCCAGAAGTTTAGAGCTGCGAACATCGGAAGCCGACCGAGCCCCAAAACAGGCGCCTTAGCTTCCTAAAGTCGTAATCCAAGGAAAAAATGAAGAAATATTGTCTTAGAAGAAAGAAAAATGGCACCCCTGACCCTTGAAGAAAGATTGTCTTAGAAGGTTCTGAATACAGGTTTCCGAACAGCTTTCCTGAGGGGAATGGAGATGGATTCATGTCCCTTCTGAAGTCGTGCGTGACGCTTGGTCTTCCCCCACGAGCAAAGTCCCTGACCTTTTTCAGAGTTGCGCTTTCTGACCTTTGCATGACCGCAACCCTCAAAAACGACGCGTCTGTTGGGACTGTGGACCCCTGAAAATACGCTTTGAGGTCTCTGCCAACACTCACCCCCCTGCCACCCAAAGGGAAAGAGTTTGTGTGCGACCGAAGGAAGCGGTCGTCATTATCATATCTCTTGGTCTACCTCCTCTCTCCATTCGATCTCTTTGGTAGGTGGAGGAGGTAGGAGATAAAAGCCTGGAAAGATAGACAACTTCCTTAACCTCATTCCTCCGTCTCCCTTTGGTTGCTGGAAGGTGAGGTAGGTTAGTAAAAGATGATGTCCTTCCTCCTTCCAGTCGTCTCTCGTCATCCATTTCATCTCTGAGATTTCCCGAAGGCATGACATGACAAAGGGAAAGAAAAGATGAAGGAGAAGGATGTGGAAGAAAAAGTTAACATGAAAGCCGCTCATCTGTGTCATCCCGGCTTTTGGCCTCTTCTTTAGACCGAGCGTAGCGGATGGATGAGTGACGAAATGACGAAGATAATTGAAGTGAGCGAGGAAGTGAGGAAGGAATGAGACATATATCATTGAGGATTGTTCCGGTAATCATATATGCCATCTATTGTCGTCCTTTCTCTCAACTAATCTCAACAATGAAAAGGACATGCTATTAAACAAATAAATGTAAAACAAAGAGGAAAGCAACCAATTATTTGTTCCTTACCAATCTCCACCAATAATATATTGTATCTGTGATTCCTCTCTAGCGACATATAAGCTTCTTCGACACTTGGCATCTAGAATATCCCCAAACCTTGGCGCAGCAAAAAGCGCTGCCTTTTTGCAGCCCAATTTTGAACACAACCCAGAAACCAACAACATAATCGACAAACATGCCAAGAAAAATCAAGAGAAAAGCAGCCCAAGAAAACCCGGAGTTCAGAAAACTCCCCCAAAAGCTGGAGACGTCTGAGTCTCCCTGGCAGCTTTCCGTCACACCACTGCCCTCGGCATGAGCAGAACAAGGGGACATTTTTCGGGGTCCCACCAAATACGCCCAGGCGGTATTTGCAGAAAAACCACTCCGGGGTTCTGGGCAAAGACAGCTGGAAGAGCTGTTGGGTAAAAACAATCACCCGCACACAAACGCGCCGACACATGAGACACACTCACACATGAGAAACAGACGTGCAAGCAACAGCACACACACGCAAAAGAAAATGAACAAACAAGCAATCAAGCAAGCAAACGAGCAAACACACAAGCAAGCTCGCAAACAAAGAAACAAACAAGCAAACAGACACACACACACACAAAGCACGCACGCGCGCACACACACACACACCAAACAAATCACACACACACACACATATACAGAAACACAACCCACACACACAAAAAAACACACACACACACACACACAGGCAACACAGACCATAAGCAAAGAAACCAAACCAATCCAAGCCGAACCAAACCAACGACCAAAAGACACAACCAAACGAACAAACAACAAACAAAAGTAGGTTTGCTTACAATAGTCACTTCCGTTTGTTACAGGTGCCACAACTTTAAGAGTCATGTTGAAGTGGGAACATCTCTGTTTAAGCTGGGAAATTATCAAGCAATCGCCTCAAGCAAACGGGCTTGCCTCCGGGAATCTACCAAGATAGGGTGTGGTTTCCCCTTCAAACAACCCCACAGGTACCTTCAAAAAACCCAAACATCCAGTGGGAGAAACGGGCACCCTAGGTGTCACTCCAGTGGTTGAGAATCCGCTACACTGGCTCATTTGCTCGTTGAGCTGAATGCAGAAACCAGCTCAGCTAACCACAGCAAAGGTTGGCTTCCTCCGAGGTTCCTCTTTTTGACTCAAGAAATGCCGAGAAAAGAACCTAGGTCCTCCAGTAGAGAGGTTAGAAAAGTTGGTACCAACTTTCTTCTGTAGTCTATTTTAGTGAGTGGGAAACCTCCCCCGAGTGGGAAGGGCTCGTACCTGGAGGAGCTACGCCAGGGCACCGCCTGAGGTCCATATGGTCAGAGTGGCTTGCCTGAGCCCGGGAGTATCAGAGAGCCTGCTGTCATAGGCAGTTCGACACGGAACACCTGATTCACAAGCAATAGCCTCCAAAGCCATATGGCCAAAATGTATCCCTCCCCCAGGAAAGGCTAATGGTTTTGGATTCGGGTTTAATATATGGGACCTAAATGGTGCTTTCTCCTATCATGAGTCCCTCCCTACTCCAAACCACATTCTACTTTGACTAGGTCCTCCAGTAGAGAGGATAGAAAAGTTGGTACCAACTTTTTCTGTGGTCTATTTTAGTAGGGGAACCGTCCCCAACCAAAAAAGGGGAGAGAAAGTGACCTAGTCAGGTATCTGTTTTGAGGGTAATGCTTAGAAACCAACAGCATAAGCTTGGAAGGCAGTGTATACCTCAAGTGATTTCGGCAACTTTCTTCACTCAATAACCTCCATCCCCTCCCCGAAAGCCGCGCCTCGCAGGTGCCAGCCATCTGGATGCTTCCTCGGCACGCATCTTCGGATGCGGCGGGCCCGTCTCAAAACCCCCGGGTTGGTTCTTCAAAGGGTACCTTCCCCTTTTTCCCCATCCTTCTTAGCACTGGAAACCCAGTTTTCGAAAAGAAGGAAGGTTGAACGGAATGGGGAACCCCAATCCCTAGAGTTATGGTTAATTTGCCTCAGGTTTCCTTTGGTTGTTTTTGGTTCTCCCCCAAAGATACCCCAACTTTCTGGCACCATCTAAAAACAACAGTTCCGCGGTTGGAAGCATTCTGGCCAACGTTGCTCAGTTCGTCGCTGGTCCCTCGCTCCAAGTTATACATTGGTAAGATCTGGGGGTGGGTTCAAAATAGGGGACCTTGGATGTTTTTGTAGGAAAACCAACAGGAAACTGACCCCTCCAATTTTGAAAAACACCCACACGTCATAAATCCAACGTCCAGTCCGAAAAGTCGGGGTCCAAACCAAAACTATGAGGGGGCCTTGAGGATTCCAGAGCATGGTTTGGAGGTGGTGGGGTGATGTGGGGTGGTTTATCATTCATCTACCAGCGCCACGGTGCTCCCTGAAAGCCCGCGCCGCAGCAGTTCACGCTGGCTCCCCGGGAAAATCTGGACGAAGTCGCAGACGTCCTTGAAGGATCCGCGTGCAAAGTCGATCAAATCCAATGCCCGGGAGCGCGCTTCACAGTCCTTGTTCACTGGGTGGTTCTCTGGACGAGGGTCTTCAGGATTATGGTCGATTCTGGTTGGGTGAAGCGGGAGGCGCCTGTCAAGCACCTCCTGCTAGCTTTCAAGCAGAGACGGATCAGGAAGAGCCGCTGCCAACAAGTTCAAGCCACCAGGTGCCGCCTCCAAGAACTTGGACGCCCAACATGCCGTCGGGTCTGAGCACGGGCTCAAACCCCAAAGCCACAGAAAGCTTGAATCATCAATTTGCTGGTTCTCAGTAGGGAACACAAAATGCGAGGGGCACTCCCGCTTGTGATAACAAGCAAGCGTTCAATGGTCTTCCACATAAAAGTAAGTTTTTTTCAAAAGTTGTAACAACTCCCCGCCAAACAAACAAATGGTTTTCCTGTTGGAGTCCCTTGAAAACATCAATCTGCTTAAGTTCACTCAAAAAAGAAAAAAACCTACTTCCAGTAGTGATAGATTCCCTTTGAAACCAACAGGGGAAATACAACATATTCTTAAGCGAATGGAAGAATACCCAACCAAACAAGGGGTACCACCTCCCCCCCTCCGCAAAAAGAAAGCCAAAAAGCACCAACCACAAATAGTGCTTTTCCTGTTGGTTTCCCAAAACTCCCCCTCCTCCAAAAAAAAAGAAAGGGGTACCAAACCCTTGAAAACCAAACACGGGGTACGAACTCCCAACACCTCAGGCGCCGGCAGCTCGCCCCGGCCGTCCGGCCAGCCGGACTGAAGCCCGGGAGCGGAAAGCCCGACGGGGTCTGCTTTGTTGGGACTTGGCGCCCTGTTTTTGGGGTGGGTTCATAGGGAGACCCACAGGACAACTGTAGTTTTGGTGGAGTTGGTGCACCTTTCTCAAAAAGGGACAGAGGTTTGTTTTGGAGTTGGTGCCCCGTTTTTTGGGTGGCTTTATTTGGACAAGGAACTTTCTTTTTGCAGTTGGTGCCCTTGTGCTTTCTTTGCAGTTTTAAAAGGGAAACCAATAGGAAACTGTCTTTTTTGGATTTGGTGCCCCTTTGGGTGAGGGAAACCAAAAGGAAACTGTCTTTTTGCAGAGGAAACCAAAAGGATGTTTGGGGGCTTCCGCATTTGGAGACAAACCCATTTGTCTTCCTAAGAAGGCTTCTTCCCCAAACCCTTTGGATTGCCCAATGACCCCGGATAAGTAGAAGCCGTGCTAATGCGGTGGGGGTGCTCCAAAAGTGGTCTGAATCCCAAGGAGGACACCCCCCGATCAAAAACAAGGGCTTTATTCATCCGGGCTTGCCATTAACCTTGGACAAAGCTTGTATAGGAATCGTTGAGCCAAAAGCAGAATGAATCCTGCAGGAATTGCTGGGGTTCCCAAGCACACCTTAAAGACTCGCTTTCTGAGGGGATGGGCCAAGAAAACGTTTGCCGCTAAAAATGGTCTTCCCAAAAAGCATAAAGACCAGGAACTCAGGAAGTGAGAAGACTAAAGGCCACAACCGGTGGCGTGTTTGGCCTTACAAACCTGGAGCGGACTTGGAAGCCCCACTGGTACTTACCTGGAAGGAGGTGGACGCTAGAAAAAGGCCCCCCAAATGACAGGGATATCTACATGACTGAAGCTTGGCCTTGCAATAACAAACATATGAGTGGGTGCTTTACTTTGACAGGGTTACCTACCTCTTCTCTTTGAACAGCCCAAAATGAAACCCTCTCTGTGCCAAAAGGCGATGCTTAAACGCGCCAACAGGGGAATTACAGGGAGCCTTGCTGTGCAACACGCCAACTCGGAGTCTTGAGCGTGCCTCACACCAGTCCCCAACATAGAGGCGCCCATCTGCCCAGCGCCGCTCCACCTGCACATAGGCTAGGTCCTCCAGTAGAGAGGTTAGAATGAGGGTACCGTTTCTTTTTTCTGTAGTCGATTTAGTAGGGGAACCCTGCCCCAAAAAAAAGGGGCTGGGGGACCAAGAGGGTTCCATGTGTTTTCGAGAGCAGGGAAAAGGAAAACCGAAAAGGCAACAAGTTAAAACGGTAAGCTAGGTCCGGCAATGAAAAATAATTTAATAGGGCCCAGATTTAATTAAAGGGGTCTCGGTTTGAAGGGGCTGCTTTCTTCGAAAAACCCCCCCTGATGAATTTCTGGTCGCCTAGGATAAATCTACGGTTCCTTGTGCCGCGACTCGCGCGCCTAGGATGGATACCTTGGCCTCAAGGTTGAAGGGCCCCGACATGATGACGCCGTAATCAGCCTGTTCGATTTGCTTCCTGCAGTGACTTCTCCGGGCTGTGTCATCACTAAAGCCAACCGCGAAGAGAAAGCAAGAGAAACTTCCCCCTACTTTGACCACCCGCAAAAAACCTGAAAAATCACATCATGCGCCTCCAAAAAAGGACTGCTTGTCACTCTTCCGGGCAATTCTGCGGCGTCACAGTGCCAGACGCCGTCTCCCCAAATTCGAAAGGAAAAGTGCTGGGCTGATCAAAAGGCTCATGTCAACAGCCCCTAATATGTTCGATGTACTCTCCTTCTCACTAACATGGCCGCTGACAGAGGGCCCCTTCAAGCGGAAATTGATCTTCCAGGTACCTCCCCGCAAATGCCATATTAGTGGACTGGGCTGTTCAAAATGCAGGGTTTGCCAATCCCCGCTACCAAGGGGACCAAATCCTTGTGTACCCCAATGTAAGGATGAAGGATTGAGCCCCGATTTGAAAGCGGGGACCATATCCTTTCTCGGTTGCTTTCTGCTCCCCTGCCAAAGTGAATAACTTTTAGTGGCTTCATTCGGAAAACCCAACAGGGATCCTTACATTATACAACTGAACATTGCCTCGTACATGGTGGTTTCCCTGTATTTTGCTGGAAAAAGCCATGTTGTAAATGGGCAAAAATCCGTTGGCAAAAAGTTACTCAGTCCTAACATCCCTTGGCATGCGGACAATGTCTGCGGGAGTGAATCGCCGAAGCTCGGTTTCGAGCACACGAAGCGTGGGGCCCCGAATGGCCACACAAACCCCCGAAAGCGGGGTATGGACCCGAAAGCTGGTGCGGCCCAACCCCGTCAAAAACGTGCAAGGGCACCCGAGGACGGTTGACAAGGCAACCGGACCCGTGCAGCAACAGTGAGCTGCCCCATCTCTGCTGGTGCGATGTCATCCCTCCATCGCTCGCCTTCAGGCGAAGCCTCCTGGGAGTGCCGAATTTCGTAGCCGCTCCCGACTCAACCCAGGAAGGGTGCCAGTTGAGAGGAACTTCTTCAACCCAGCAAACGCTCGAAGTCCGTCTCGCCGGGTACAGCCCCGAAATCGCCGTCCTGCTCGGATGCTTGCGTGGCAGCCAATTCAAGATGAAAGTTGCGAAGGCGTCGAATAGCATGGGTCGAATTGAAGTGCGCGGCCATGTGCAAACCCCAGACTTCCCAAAAATCGGCGGATCGGCCGCGATGAGCGTCACGAGCGGCCTCATCAGCGGCTGCATTCCAGAAAGACATCCACTCATCATAGGTGAGGATGTCATTGGTGGACGGTTGGAGTATGCTGGATTTGTGTACTGCCGGAGACTGATGCCTCCAGGATGTCCCCCGAAGATCACTCCAGAGGTCCGAATTGCTATTGGGAGCGGCGGTGCGAATATCATCAAGCGAACCCGCATGCAACATAAGCGCTGTCCGTCCAAATTGCACCGCGCGCGTTGCTGCTGTGGTCACTGCGGTCAGCTCAGCACGATTGATATCTTGCTGGAGCCCAACCAGAGGACCTGAGGCCAGTGTGGTGTGGCAGAGTGTTGCACCGAGACAACTGCCCATGCAGCGGTTGCGGCGCACAAGGATGCAGGCAACTGCCGTCCGTAAACAAATCATGACGCACATGCTTGATGGCGGCCTGGACAGGTGGAGGTCCGGCTGGTTGGTAGTAAAGAGCACGCCTCAACGCTCGTTCAAAATGGGGTGGCGCACGGGAGCAGGTGCGATCCCAATGCTGTACCACCCAAGGATGTCGAGCACGTAGCGAGGCTGTAGCCGGCCACGTGAGGCAGCGGTGCATCAAGGTGTCGAGGTGTCCACAACGTTGGCACGGTGCCTTTCACCAGGTCATACTTGCCGCGCGTGCTCGCAGTGATGAATGATCCATTCCGCAACGCCGAAGGACGGGCATGGTCGAGAGCCGGAAGTTTGTTTGTTTGGGTGTGGAGGCCAGCGAAGGCCGCGAAGCCCCTGAAATTCCTTGCGATGCGCCACCTCCCCCGCCAGGCTTGTACGAGACGAAGTCGTATGGCGGGCCATGCATCGTTGAGCAAGTCAAGGGGTATAGATTAAAATGATCCACCAACATCGGGGGTCCACGATGCGCCAGCGCAGCAAATCTCATTTCTCGACCAAGCCAATTTGCTAAAGGGGCCTGAAAAGAAAGTCCCGTCAAAATTGGTCCAGAACCTGCGGTTGCTTGCGCAGAAATCTCGAAAACCTCAGTTGAAATGCACCAGGGTCATGCGTGACGTCGCCACACAGGAGGCCAAGCCCCAGGCCAGGATGAGGATGCGAACCCGCCTTGCCGTGACCGAGAGCCTGCAAAAGAATAGTGCACTTGTGTCTGTATGGCGTTCATGACCGCACAAGCGAGCGAAGCGCTGACGCTGGGAGCCCATGGTGCGACGTGCGCAGTGTAGGTCATGGCACTGCCAAGGTCGCTGTGCTCCAAGGCCACTTTCTGTCCGGCTTGCCGCAGGCGTTGTTGATCCAGCGAGGAGGTAGCCCAGAAAAACGTCTTGGCCTGATCGAGCTCAAGCGACCAAGGCTGGAAATACTGTTCCATTGTCAAGAAGCCGCCAAGAATATTGCCGACTCCGTGTGCGAAGGTTGTCAACATACGACTGCAGCAATGAGCGAGGCGAAAAGACTTGCTGGTACCTGTCCCAAATCCAGTCTATCAAGGTCACGGCGACGACAGACAAACTGCATCCCTCCGGAAGGCCGGAGTCAGCCTTGATGGTCTTGCACCACGAAAAACCGTTCTGCTCCGCCCAAATACCGAGCCCACGCATGTAGAACAGCGGCAGGAAGACCCAGATGCGCCGCCACCTCGAAAAGCGGTTTCCGCGCGATGTTTTCAAAGGCTTTGCAGAGATCTGTGATGCAGCCGGCCACATCAAGATCCTGCTGTAGGGAGCACTCGATCAAAGCTTGAGTGGCGTGCCAAACGTCAGTGAGCTCCAGTCTGTAAATAGTGGGGAATTTGCTTGGAAATGTCTCACTTCGTCGGCGGAGTCAAACTTGGGTAGTGGATGACAAAAGCCACGCTGGAGCTGGGTGGGCCAAGGCGCCCCCGTTTCAACTGCAGTAAGCAATTGCACCAGCTGGTGTTTTGTACTGGTCCGGCATGAGCGCACCAGCTGGTGTTTTGTACTGGTCCGGCATGAGAAGGAGATCCTGGTGGTCAAGACTGTCGCCCGGCAGCATGTAGGCCCGTGCAAAGGCCATTGAGGGGGAAGTCTGGCCTCCAGAAGACGGTATGTGGGAAGATCACAGAAAAAGGTGAAGGCCCATCACAGTGATGATGGGGCGAGAGGTCCACCATGCGGCGAAACCACCACTGAAGCTTCGGGCATTCTTGATGGCCTGCCATGTGAGGAGAAGCTAGCCCGGCGCAGGTTGTGGAGCAGGGTTGTAGCCTCTCCTCACCTTGACGACTGGGCCTCAGCGCGGGTGGCTGGAGAGCCCGTTCTTGTGGTTGGTGATGTTGGGCTCGTCCCGCGATGCGCGGGCAGGAGACCCTGCTGCGGTGTGGGCTGGACGTAGCCAGTCAGGCTACCTTCGTAGCTAGCCCCAAAAACCTCGAAGTAGCTGGTTGTGGCGCTCTCCAGGAGCCTTGCTGCGATTCAGGAATGCTAGATGCTGGACCATGGCAGTTTGGCCGGCGTCGGCCAGTAGAAGAACCGGAGAGATGAAAATACGGTCTGGCCGCGTACGGCCCTTGCATGTGGGGTAAGTGAAGATCTTGCACCTCCTGCCGTCCCTGCTATGTAGCGCATGGCACTGTGGCCAGCTGTTGAAGAAGGGCACAGTTGGCTTGTTTGGCCTGGGGCCAAGTGGCGGAGGCCCGGCCATAGAGGACAAATCCGGTGATCTTCAAAGCCACCTTGTGTGAACTCGAGACTCGGCATTGGGAAATTGTATTCGAAGATGATGGGCTGGTCGGCAAACTGAAAGACGCCGGGCCACACCCCAGTCTTCTGACTTCTGGCCCTCAAGGGGACCGGGGCGCCCAGAGTCTTTGTCGCCAACCGTCTGGAACAACATGGGCGGGACGTTGAGCTCCTCCGGACGGACCTTCGCACACAAGTGGGAGTTCTGCAGGAAGGCCAACGCAGCCTCCAGGATTCGATGGGTAGGGGCTGGAAACCGCTTGAGAAAAAGGGTCGACAGTTCGCTCTACTCCAAGAGCCGGCTACGCGGCATCGGCTTAACTTCGCGCCCATCAGACAGGCCATCAATCCTGGTCCGCCCCTGGCCCTCGCGGGATCACCAACCTCGCAGAGACTCATCTGGAACAGCCCGGGATTCAGGCGAGCTGCTTCACGAGAATGGTGTCAATGCGCCCGGCCTGGGCGACGGTGTTGGTTGAACTTCGTTGAAGTCCTTGATGCTGCAGCTCAAACACGCTGACCTCCAGGGCAGACAGCCGCGATTTCATGGCATCCTGGGCTGCCGTTGTTGGTTGGAGTTGAGCTGGGCCTGCGCCTGGGAGATGACGTCCGCCCGGAGCTGGGTCTCGAACTGTTTCAGGCGGTCCGGCGCCTCTCCTGTCTTCTGAAAACCGCCCCAAGAATTTGACGAGCCAGGGATCTGTTCCAGTGCTTGCCGAAGATGAGGAAGCCACCTGAGGTCGACCAGAGAGAATGTGTGCCTTGGTAGAGGACGATGCAAGGAGCGGGGCCTGCAAGAAAAGCGGCTTGGAGCGCAGCCCAAAAGGGGCGGGTACGGTCATCGTCAAACTGCAGACCATCGCCTTGGGCCGACGGCGCGGTTGGTGACGCTTCCGTGGATGATAGGGCACTCAAAATTGGCCCGTAGGTGCTGACAGGCCATTTTTGATATCCAGTGCGGCATGTACTGTTGCTCCAGCTGCTGCACAGCACCCATGTCCGATCCCGCCGATGCCTGCGCAGAGTTCCTTGATCTGAAAAGGAGCGGAATTGGGGCTCGTGAGCCACTTCGAAAGGCTCAAAAGCGACCCGTCTGCCTGCTGACCATCGAAAAAATACAGGATGATCCGGCGGCCCAAGGGCAAGATTGTATGACCACCGGGATCTATCCATGGCTTTCCCCTCCCCGACGCTGTGCTGTCCCAGTCTCACCACTGGGAGGAGTTTGGGCCGAGACTAACATCCCTTATCAAAATGCACCAAAGCCTTCGTAACCCAAACCGACCAAATCCTTGCCTTGTCCGCGAGGGCGATGACTGTGGACCCCACCCAAGCCTGGTTCTCGCAAAAATCGCGCGGCGAGCGCTTCAAAAAAGGACCGGGGGAAGAAGGACTCCTGAAGGGAACCATCTGGGTGAATTACTATATTTCACCGACCTGAGATCAGGTGGTTGCGCCCTAACCACCATTTGGGGCGAGGTCGTGTAAGGTCGCTACAATTCACCCAAAACCATTCACCGAACAATGCCTGCTTGGCTCACTTCTTTATTGATGCACATCTGCTTTAAATTTGCCACAAAGAAACTCACTGAATGTTGGCAGTCCAAAGGTGGAAAACACACAGGTAGCCCAGATCCCTAGGCGGTCAGGTCGGGCACAGCTGGAGAGAGCACTGTTTCCAAACCGGTGGGACCCAACCCACCGAACAAAAATGACGCAGAGGATCGGCGTGGTCGATGTGCAAAAACCTTTTTTGATTTGTTTTTACGATGTTGGACTGCGCGCGTGACCCTCAACGGCGTGGCCGATGTCAACAAACTGCGGACTTTGTTTTGCTGGGGTGCGCGCGCGTGTCCCTCTGCGGGGATCGGCGTGGTCGATGTCAAAAAACAGCGGACGTTTTACGATTCTAGATTTGGTCGATGTGCAAAACTGCAGACTTCTTACGATTTGGATTTACCTCACGAAACCCTCTGCGCGGATCCGCGTGGCCGATGCGCAAAAGCTTGGGATGTTTTTTTTGTCACTTTAAAATTAACCTGTCTTCTCTTTGTATTCCAGTCTGTAGATGTAGGAAAGGAAAAAGAAGCGTTAACCGTTATCCCAGACGAAGGAAGGGGATGAGAGTTAACTCTTACTTCCGCTCGTCACCTCACTCTCCCTTCCTAACTCTCTCTTGGACGAGTTCTCGTGAACACGGTCAAGCGAGGGAAGCGAGTGGACGGTGATAGACGAGAATGGAACGGTCATTATCTTATTTGTCTATCATTTGGACAGTGAGTCTTTCATAGTGACAGGAACTCCAGGAATCCAATAAGAAAGAATCAGGACTGGATTTCGTATGTGGAGTTCATGTGGCTCTAGGACTTACCGTCGTCAGCGGTCGTCAGAAAACTCTAGATGTTCATGATGGACGAAGGAAGGACATCCCGCTCGCAGACGGTTAGGAAACAGAATCATATGCCATCCCTTATTATCTCCTTTCTCTTAGCCAATCTCAACTGGAAAGGAGATGATAGTAAATGATAAACACAAAGATAAAAGCACACAAAAATATGTCTTCCTTTCCAATATTCACCAATATCATACTGTATCTGTCAGAACTATATTGGAGAAGACTTCATGGGAAGGAGAACTAACCCTTGATAGCGTACACCGGAAGTTCCTACCTCAGGGTCTATCTTTTTATTGGGAAACCTTCAGATATACATAGGTAAAAGAGATGAAGGATGAAGAGAGAAGGTAGAAGTAACGTACACAGCTAATCCTTATTTCTGGATTTGGATCCTCTTTATTCATCTTGTTATGTCTGTCAGTCTGGATCTTGGAAAGAGAATAAATATTAAAAACTACAAGATAAAAAGGAATCCAGAATTCCAAGAATGAAGGTTAGACCAAAGAAACCAAATTATTTCACATTGTAGCCTTCTTCCATTCATGTCAATCCTGACTGACAAGGAACCCAAAGAAAAGAAGTGATGAATGCAAAAGATACGGACGTTTTTCCTGGTGACAGGCAACTCCAGGAATGAAAAAAATCTGGAAAGGATGGGGTTCTTCTTCACAATAACAATGAATCCTAAGCAATGGGTGTTGGGGAAAAGGTGAGAAGAATAGCAAGAAATGTTAAATGACAATGGTAAAGAGAGAGAGAGAGAGAGAGAGAGAGAGAGAGAGAGAGTGCATGAGGATGAAAGCAATACGTTCAAGAATAGCAAGAACTATTCAATTACAACGATGAAGAGAGAGTGTGTATGAGGATGAAAGCAAAAACCCTGAGCGCCAACAATCTTTTTCCCCCCCATTGAACGAAGTACGCTTTCAGTGGCTTGGGCTGGATCTCGCAACTTTCAAGCATGAAAGTAGTACGCAAAGTACACTTACGCAGCTTCGGCCGAATCATCGCAACTTTCAAGCACGCAAGTGTTGCGCGAAGTACACGTTCGTAGGTGCGGATCGACAGTTAGACTCACGTCGAAAGGTTGCTGTGTCGTGGTCAGCGCCGCGCGCAGCTAACTTGCTGTGTGAACTTGCTCGTCGAAACTTGTTCCGAGCTTGCTTGCGCAGAGCGCTTGCGGAGCGCAACTTGCACAGAGCACTTGCGCACGCGCAGCAACTTGCGCAGAACACTTGGGCCGAGCGCTTGCGCGGAGCAGCACTTGCACAGAGCTCGCAACACCAAAGCTTATCAGCCGCAGAAGGGCACGCGTGCAACACGTGTGCGGCAAAGGTTTGCGTTGAAGTGTGTGGACAGTCTGCACAAAGATTTTTGTGCAGGCATATGCAGCCATTTACATCATTTTACCTCGGACGGGCTATAAAAATCTTCAGCTGCCGCTTGCACATGAAAAGGGAAGCAAACACACATGCATCTAAAC